TCTTATTTAGTGCAATTTAGTCTGTCAGTTATTGCGTATGTGAGTAACGCTAGATTAACCGTAAGTTCGTAATAAGTACGATGCAGTCTATTGCCTCTTTTGCATGCGTTTGCAAATTGACAATTGGTGTACCTAACAAGTCGTGCTGAGCGCCAGCAGTATTCATCCCTTTCCATGTATCAGAATTTACGAGCCCCAAGGGTGAAGCTATTAGTGACGGAGCGCAGGCTACTGACTATACAAAACTTGATTTGTTCTATGGACTAAACGACTTACATAAAAGGGCGAGCTTTTAATTTGCTCCTCTAGCTTTTCTTCATCTTTCATTAGTATTTTATATGAAAATTAAGTGGAACCATTGCTAATGTACGACACCACCATAAAAAATTACTAAGGTCTTCTGCTAACTTTAAAATTTGTCCACCGAGACTAAACGTTAGTAGAAGGAGGACTGTACGTTAGTTACAAAACGTAATGTTCTCCCCTACTTCACCACTAATTTTGTATGGGCATTTCAACGAGACAGGGTCGGCTAAAAAGATGAACAAGGTGTTGTTCTTGGGTCAGTCTAAAAGTAGTAGTGCTTGCGCTTGAAGGTGATCCCGATTTTAGCTCTCTCCCTCAGCGTCCCATCCCGCGCGTCCTGCGTAACCCCAATGCTTCTAATTATCGTTTAAACGTCGAGTATCTAATAATTTTTACGAGCATTTCATTTTGTAGCAATCAGGAGGGCATATAGAAAAGCGCCGTCTAATTTATGTTATTCATTGTCAAATTCCGTATTAATTGCCATTTTTTTATCTTTTCTACGAAGGCATGCATCCAGGCAATTTGGATGCTTGTATAGATATTTTGTTGCCCCTGGCAACTATCCGATTGACATCCTGAGACTATTGGGGTCTCACGGCTTCAATCTTTGGTAGAGGTCAGTTTCTTGTAGTAGTAATTTATTACACAAAAGCCTCATCATGAGGTTGTATATTATACCAAATGTCAAAATCGATTCCAGGCAATCGCAATTGGTTATAATTTTAACCAATATCATGCTCTAACCCTTCTCTACTCAGTAAAACTCTGCTGCAATGATGTCGATGCATTTGATAAATACTAGCAATTAGGCTACCACCACGTCAAAAAATCTGCTTGCATGAGTATGCCACCAGCAGCACCGATTATGATCGAGTGGATGTGGCAATCATCTTGTACGCTTGTTGTAGCAAGTAAGCATTTATCACAGCTTGATCACAGTTTCACTATAACTATCATTCGTTAGCACCCTAGCGCATATGAAGGCACACATGTCTGGCAATTAAAGAATACAGGTGGGGTAAAACGTTCAATATTCATGTCTCACAGTATTCTACGTCACACCCCGTCTTATGCTAGATGGATCGCCGGGTTGACCAATCCTGCCCCGTTCTACACAGGACTGGGCCCCGATCCCGATAATTTGTGAGGACCACAGAATGGCTTCTCAAACTAAATACTGGTTGTGAGGGAATTATCCATTGCTCCCTAATACGAAAGTACTTCCGCCAGATGAGAAAACGCTTTTTTGCGCTACTTGCGCTTTTTTTACTGCAGTCATGACATGTACAACTGGTGCCTTAAGGAGATCTGCGTCCCTCGATGGCATACGTCACCATCACGGAAAGTGTTTTGCCCTTCGTCAAGAATTTCTTGGACTCTCCAGACAATTGTATGTCGAGCACAGATGATACTACACAAGACGAAGAGAGAGTCATACCGCAAAAATGCGGCTTGCTTAGCGGTGTGATAAGAATTGTCCTATTTAAGTTAAATGAAGTCGAAAGCAAGATCATGATCACCTTAAAAGGAATGCCAACGGCGGATGAAAATCACTGAATCTAGCAAAAGAACCAGGTGTGACAGATAAGAAGATCATGCACGCAATTTTTAGTGTTGGAGCAAAGAGATAGCCCTAGAACCTCTGCGCAGTCTTGCGCGATTCTCTGAAAATTAATATCGTACCAAGCGGCTCGCAAAAAGGTCAGGGCTGATTTCGGATTGGATGCAGGTTGAACCCTTAGGCCACCTTGTACCGGTCCTGAGAAACAGGAGCTTCTATTAAAATGTGCTCCATGGGCGTGTATGTGTTTTCTTTTTTATTAACCGAGCTCAATTGTAGCGGAGCTACCCTAATTAATCTTTTAGTGATAGACTTCTAGACTCGTAGTCTCTAAGATTTCAAACTCAGCGGGTTTTAACTCGAACGGATCTCTAGTCTTGCAGATATGGCAGGGGATAATCCACTTATATAAATCTTGGCGCATTTGTTTCTTTGCTAATGAAATGGTCGCTGGTGCCCACTTCGTACAACGCATTGATCACACAGATCGGGCTGGGCCAACTCATGATCGTTCAGTCTGTCGGCTTGAACGTGAGTCTTTTAATGTAATTTTTTTTGAACCTTAGGTCCACTTGTGGGGCTAAATACCGAAGTTACGGAAGCCCAAAATGAAAATGACGCCCTGACCGGTATCTAAGGGAATCTCCGTTAATTAAATGTAAACGTAATATCCTTCCCTCATCCTAACCGTTGCTTCGACTGTCGACAGCTCGGCAGGCGAAGTTAAAGAGCCATCGAACCGCTTTAGCTGTCCCCGATGCTTACTGATGACTATTAACGCAAAGCAAGAACGAATCAAATACGTTAAAGCTCCACAATCTATTGAAACTGCCACTTGCTCACCGACCATCATACCGCGTTTAACAGCAAAGTTAATTGTTAACCGACCACGTGCACTAAAAAAGCGCTGATAGTGTACTGATCGAGCGCTACCCCACATTCATCTTCTTTTTTCGTCATTTGTGCACTATGGATCATATCGATTTGACCATTTGGTCGCGATGCGTTCCGGTTTCGTGGCCCCGTCGGACATTCTGCGAGTCGATGTCCTGGCTGTTTGCAATTAAAGCACTCTTTGCGCTAGAAGCAATATCCCTTAGACATCACTTTTACATTATCGTAATCAAAAGCAATTGTTAGACATCTTCGAAGCGCGGACGCGGCCGTTATTCTTCTCGACGAAACGGCTGCGCGCGTCTAGGGTCCCAACGCCAAAATGTGGTCGCTTAAAGGCACATACAAAATTGATTTCTCGACTCAACGATGAGCATCGTCGATTCTCGACTTCTGCACGAGTTTGATGCTCAAATTCTTGAGTAAAATATAGAACGAAGTCGACATCACTCATATCTGGACCTGGATCATCAGCTATAGGAAGCAATTAACATAATACCTAGGGTCTTGGTAATAAGCCTGATCCAGGTTTCGCAGCTGATCACGGAGACGTATCTGAAGGTCTGCTGGTACATACTGCTGCTCCAGGTAAGAAGAGAGCTCATCCACAAAGCGTGATCCTGCTTCTTGAGCAAACAAACCACTCTGCTACAGTGCCTACGAGCAAGCTTCCAAAAAAATTGTATTATCGTGACTGACATCGTCGCGCATTTCCAGTTAAAACGCCTTACTGTAATATAATGATGTACTTTTGTTCTTTAAAGCGTTCAAACAATTCTTGCACTTGCCCTCCATACTAGGGAGTCTTCAGTGCGTCCATCTGTAAGCTCTTGAGTGTTGTGGCCTTAACTATATTTCTCATCTTTTCTTGTCGCTGCGACATCATCTCCAACATGCTTTGCATGAGATCAGCTTTGACGACCCGCTCATGGTGTCCATAAACTTCGCACAGCTTTTCGCAGTCAGGTCGGGGTCAAGTCTGGTTCAGGTTCTGCGTGTGCTCCGGTGGAACAAGAAGTGCTACCAGATGTGGTGCCTGGTATGTGATGCCTTGACGGAATATGCAATATTGATTGTATCAGGTCCTTAGTTCACGCGCAAGCTGCTACTCCAATCCTACAGGTTTCTATGCATAATTCTTTCTCGATTTCAACCAGGACGAAACATGATGGATTGCATAACGTGCTCTACTACGGTAGGTCTGCAGCCACTATATAGCGGTATGCACATATTGCGCGTATACGAAGTGAATCGCAATCATTTTGGAGCAAGATTGCACACCGTGCGCGTATATGACGCCGAAAATTATTCTGGAGCGAGCGTCTTTACGCTACAGGTGTTGTGGTGTCAGACGCATTTTTCTTCATGTAACAAACGGTGTGCATATTCCTTAGCAACGTCGCCGACGAGTCACACGCGAACCTTGCGAAGGCGTTGACCGCAAGCTCGAATATTGTCGGTAATTAGAACTAGGGTATTGTAACGGGGCACCCTTTGTCTGGGTGCCACGGAACTTCACGTACACTACTACGTACAGAGGAAGCTAAGTTACTTGAACGAGTCGTTCTAGTAAAGGTAAAAGGAGAACAGTATTTAATATAGTTAAGCTATCAATTGAACTTTGATCTTTATCTAGCTATATTAAACTACGCCGTCGCATGACGACAACCTGCTCACCACTCATTGCGCGCTTCTAGCAGCGATTGGTGGTAATCTATAATTGATATGTCTTATATCAACCAATCTTTGAGCGTCGCATGAATATTATCTAAAGGGGGTAACATTCCTTCAATATTATCTATCTCGGATTATATTGGTAGAATATTGTCATGCTAGACAATATATCTGAAGGCACCGTTTGGTGCCAATTTCATGTAGCGGGCTACCTCGTTACAGTTATTATGGTGCAGTTTTGTGGTCTGAACGTGTTTAAACGTGACAACAAAACATTAGATGCGTGGCCATATCCATAAGCAACTTATGTCGGCGTTGGCACGGCCCTTGATCAGTTCAAACTTGGACATCGTATTCGGATAGTTGTGTCTGTCTGCTGTAGCCAGCCATGAGTGAACTTCTTGCTGAAAATTACTGCTTGTCCATGTTGCTAGAGACAGCTAGCTCTTCGTTTGTAAGCTAGTGCTGTGAAACCTCAGAACATGCGTGATCGAGCCAATCTTTGTCGTTCATCTGATAGCGCACATATTCCAGAACAGTAAATCAGCAATAGCAGCACCACTCATCGAAGCCAAGTTGCGTCAACGATGTACACTTGGTCATGCGTGAACAAAAGAGCAATCGATTCAGCCGTCAAACAATTGCTTCCACCGGACACAGCCGCAACAATAAACTTGACACTGCAATCCACATCATAGCGTGGTGGCAGCGTGTTAACATTCATGAGATAAACGGACAGCGTCGCATGATTCCAAACACAGAACACCTGTGTATTATTCGCACTCGCCACATCGGCGTCTGCGTATATTTGCGCGGCGCCAGTTTCAGTGGTTCCAATATCACGAAACGAGTTCGTACATCCACCGGCCTTTACTAAGACGACTACGGTCTCGCGTTTCCGCGAGCTCAGACCGAATTGCCGGCTCTTCCTCAGCACTGTTGCCATCAGTCGAAATAAGGCGGTAGACAGTTTTTTTGCCTGGCAGGTGGGGTCAAGTACACAACCAAACTTCACTTTCACCGCCAGTGACGGCCCTATAGTGGCCGCTTTAACAACGAAGCGGCAAGGAGCTCACGAAAAAATTGACACAAGTACTTCGTTTTGATTAAAACGCCACTCCAGGCAAAAGAGTGATTGGATCATAGAGTGCTGAATATCGGTGAGCTATAGCGACCAAATGCCGCTATATCTTTAGGTGTCAACAACACACGGTTGCGTGCAGCGCGTTGTTAATAGTATCCTACAATTGATCGCATAGGCAAAAGATACACTCTGTGTACATTCTTATCAACCTCATTTGTTGACATCACGTACTTTTAGATATTGGTAGAGCTCTGGACAATGTTACCTGGACGGGTCATGGAAAGACCGTGAGCAGCATGGGCTTGGCTTCAGTAATTACTCGGACGATAGTTTGATTAATGTATGGAAAAACAGAGACAAGGAGAGACTAGGAACAGCAGCCGTCTTTCGCTTGACCTTGTGACTCGTCCACTCGGAACTTGCTGCCGTTGGCCACGTCTAACCGGTCGTGTTCACTCTCCGCCAGTCGCTTCTGAATATCCACAGCGACGAAGCGGAATGCCTCTTCAATGTTCTGGTTGCTCTTTGCGCTCGTCTCGAAGAACTCAATGCCGAACTCGTTCGCTAGATCCTGACCTTGCTTCGTCGTCACTGCCTGGCAAACCACAACCGTTAAGTTGATCACATCAGTACAAAACCAGCTTTTTGCCAGTACAACGTTATTTGCATACGCACTCGTTCCGACGGATCGACGTCACACTTGTTGCCAATAAGGACTTTATTTACATTCGACGACGCATTTTGCCGAATTTGGGTCATCCAATTGCGAATGTCTGCACGATAGCAACCAACCAGACGTCATAACACGCATCAGTTCCAACTTTATCTCAACTTAACCTTCACGTAGTAATGTCCATTGCAACGTACTCTGGAAGGAATGGTCGTCTGTTACGTCGTAGACCAGAAGAATCCCCATCGCACCACGATAATAAGCTAAAAAAACCGATCAGCAGAGAGATGCATCATCAATGAAGCTTCTTGTACATTACGAGTGTACAACAGCTTTCCATACCAGTCGTGATCGTTCGAAATCGTTCCTGTCCTGCAGTATCCCAAATCTGAAGCTTTATCCGCTTCCCGTCCACTTCAATCGTCTTCACTTTGAAGTCAATTCTGCAGCATCAACGTTAGCCCAGAAACTGCAAAATGTAGCCATTTTCAGTCCATTCAGGTGCTCGTATACACACCCAATCGTGGTGATGAACGACGTTGTGAACGAGTCATCCGAGTAGCGCAAGAGCACGCAGCTCTTCCCCACGCCTGGCAATACAAAGAGACAGTGAACGTTCGACAGCCTTTTTCTTGTATACAGAGGAGACGCAGAGGTACCTCGACTTGTCACGTACCGCTGTCTCCGATGAGCAGGAGCTTGATGAGCAAATCGTACTTACTACTGTGGACCATGACGCTCGAAGAAGATGCGACGATCGGCTTTGCCACGTTCTCATACGGTCGCCCGATGGATGGGTACCAAATAAGTGGTTCACACTGTAGCCATGAAGAAAAAAGATGGGTAAAAAATATGTGCACCTGAACAGCCACTTTTGGGTACTCAAGTGGGATCTTCGATAAGTGACGCGAATTTGTGCTGCCCGCGACGCGATCGACTGTACATCTGCTCACACTCTTCTTATTCTTACGTTGGGATATTGAAGTCACGACGAAGACGTTGTGGAGTCATGGCGTGGTACCTGCGAGAAGTAAAAAGCAACATGTCTCTGAAGGTGCTATGAGATGTCGATATTTGCAGTAGTGTAAACGAACAACTCAGAAGTCGTAATTAGTTAGTTACCGTCGGTACAGCAAATAGCTGCTAGGCAGTGCTTTGCTTAAGGGTGCATCGTACGCTGACATGATCAAAATAGCGAGAAACACCAACTCATACGAGTTGAAGAAGTTACCGTCTTTAAGCTTTTTAGTGGTCTGTGTGATCCTGATTGTGTTTCAGAAGACATACTATGTATTAGTACTTGTTGGAACTGTTGGTTTCCTCAAAAAAGTTAAGCGTTAAGCTTCATTGAGTGTTGAGTCTAGCCTAGTTCTTTAGAACGGGCACACTCTTACACTTGTTGTTATTAGATCCTTGAAACTAAGCGGATGTAAGCCAAAGTCTTCCTCCGACTGAAGAGTGGTGTAGTTCTGTTACACCAAGCCTGTTCAGACGTCCAGATGTATCTCTTGTCAGTATTAAAAATCCTGAAGCACCAGTATTGTGGTGGTTGTCATCTTCTCAGCATTAAATTTGCTGGTTTTGTACTTTTCTTTGCAACCATCGTATTCTTCTTGTAAACAACGACATAACCTGCTTTCGCATAGTCGCCATCACGTGCCCTTGTGGGCTATATGCTTTATCATGTAACCGGCCAGGATGTGGTTGTAACAAAACGGAATACAGTACACAAGAGTGTCTTCGTTTTATTCGCCTCGTAGCTATTCACGAGTGAATGTGGCAGGAGATATTTCACAATAAGTCCTATCCCCACCCAACCTTCGGCGCAAACATGATCCTCCGTATACGGCACTCGTACTTGCACTACTTATCAAATGCCAGTTGGTGTTTGCACAGGACTCGCTGCTCCAGGCAGCACGCGCATGGATCACCGACCCAGTAAAAAGAAGTGGCATCGATCAACCCTGTTTGTTTTTCGTCTTAGTGGATACGGATTGGGTATTAATATTGCAATTCCCTCGGCTGAATATAAACCAATCAAAGAACGGTGCAGCAATGCTTCTGCTCACAATCGCCACTTGCCATGACGACTGCACACCGCCCCACTTGGCACGCCGCTGTCGGCCAGCCAAACGAAGGGGGATGGCATGCTGGAGGTGCGTAGAAAAAGGCTCACTGCGCATAGCAGCGATGGGTGTCGTGCTCGATTCTGTACGTCCATGAGCGCTCATAGGCTTGAAAATGGTCTTTTTCGTACTTAAGGCAAACTAAGCGACCAAGTGTCGGCTCGCGATTTACCGGCGCACAGACACTTGAAAATACGGTACTGATTATTTTATGTGATCATTGTATGGGAGGTGAGTCGTTTATGATGCTAATTGTGTCTGATTCGGTGATTGCGGTGTCTGTAGCCAAGTTGGACAGGGTACAGCTAATGAAGTGGAGCTGCTGGACTTGCGGGAAGAACTGGAGCGGAAGGAGGAGAAATACGAGCTGGAAAAAGGGATCAAGAGAAATACGGCGCAAGGTACGATGTGTACAAGTGTCAACGGGAAGCGGTGTTGTCGAGTTAAGTGACGAGATAAGAACTAGTCAGGAAAGACCTGATGTTGTGGTGTCGGTCTGAACACAGACAAGCTGCGACGTCTGGAGCACAACAAGAGGATTTTGCTGCTGGGCGATGCTGAAACGGACGCACGGGAGCTGCAACTGAAGAAAGTAGCGAGTAAATACAATGATGCAGACGACGGCGCGGAGTCGGACGAGTCGAGCGATTCTGACAGTGACAGGTGGGTGCTGTCTTAAGAGACACGACAGGATAGGTGGATTTGGTTGTATTCTTGTAAGTAGGTAGTAACGAATGTTTGTGTAGTGCTGATGACGATGAAGAGGCCGAACTGATGCGAGAGCTCGAGAAAATCAAGCAGGAGCGCGAAGAGGAACGACTTCGTAAAGAAGAGGAGGAACGAAAAGTGACCGACCAACAAGTTCGTGAGGAGATCCTTCAGGGAAATCCGCTGACGCAGCAGCAAGGTACAAGTAGCGCCAAGATGAAACGTCGATGGAATGATGACGTGGTGTTTCGAAACCAGTCGCGCAACGAGCCGGAGGTCAAGAAGCGGTTTATCAATGACACGATCCGCAACGACTTCCACCGCCGTTTCCTCAGCAAATTCATTCAGTAACCACTGCTACTGTGATGGAAAGCCATGCGTGCTCGACGTTGAAGTCGTGGATGCCTCGCTACATTAACTCCAGCCAGTTTTAACAAACTTGTCTGTAACGATGATCGTGGTTGTGCGCTCCGTTGCGATTCAGTGATCGGGTCGCTCGTAGATAGTAAAGGTACCGATAGGTCGATCGATACATCGATAGATAACGTCTCTGCACCGCCCAACAACTGGTCCCCGAACAACTCAAATCAATTGGTACGAGCACCTAAAATGCTGCTGCATATGCGGCGTCGACCGCACCAAGTTCCTCGCACGAATAGCTTCTTTTCGACGTCAAGCACTAGCAATCCGAGTGTTGCCAACGCCGGAGCGTCAGCATTGTCAGTCAAGTACAACGACGTTCGCAAACTCATTGTGGGATTGGGCAATCCCGGCGACAAATTCGTCAACACGAGGTGCAGCTGATGACGGCAATGCCGTCACTTCAATCGTGTTTTACTCATGGTTGTTCGCACGTCTTTACCAACGACATGCCGTCGATTCATACATTCGTTCTTGCTCAGACACAATATCGGGTCGGTCGTTGTGAAGCACTTTCTCGAAACGTATGCGTCACAAGTGACGGTAAGTCGTTCCCGACTGCACGTCAACAGGTGTCCAACCCTTGACGGCATGTTGTTCTTCTGCTTGTGCTTGTGGTTGCGTCATCGGACAGGCAAAGCCCTTGCAATTGCAACGTGAAGCACGACACCACGGCGACGTCGCTCGATTTCGTGTTGCGTTTCCGAGGGAAGGGTCAAGTGAGACGCCCTGCGACTACCACCCTCTCGACGATCTAGTGAACCGCTCGTCCAGACGTGCCAAGGAACGGACGCTGAAAGAAGGTGTGCCTCACGACAAGGTGAACGTTGCCGTGCTGCTGCCAGCGACGTACATGAATTGCTCGGGCACTGCTGTCCGAGCGTTTATGCAGACGCATCACTGGCGACTGAAGAAGAACCCACTGGCACTGAACCGGCACGATGATGAGCTGCTCGTAATCACGGACGACGTGGCGCTGCCCTTTGGCGAATGTCGATTCAAGGCAAGAGGAGGTCCCGGGGGACAGAACGGCGTGCGAGACATCATCAAGTGCGTGGGCACCGACCGCTTTGCTCGACTGCGCATTGGCGTAGGGGCTCCGTACTGGTTCGTAGGAGGCAACAGTGGAGCGCCCGCAGGCACTGCAATGGACAAGTTTGTGCTCGGACGTTTCAATGGAGACGAGCAGGAAGCGATGCCGGACTTACTACGCTATACGAACGAGCTCTTGCGGCTGTATCTACATCGAGGTGTTGCTCAGAGTACTACAGTTGCCAACAGTATGGACTTGCAGCAATACTTGAAGCACTATGACGCGTCTCACGTAGCGCGTCATTCCTACTAGAGACCTGCTATGATCCAGTCGTGCAGAGACGATCCAGCTGAGCCCCGTACGCATTTGACCGGATCAGCTCGTTCGTCAGCAGCACGTGGCCAGCGCATAAGGATGTCGTTGCTTCCTGTGCCAGCGCAGGTGTCCCAGAAGGACCTGCCTCGGGTTTTTGTGATCCTAGTGGGTGGCTACGCTTCTGTGGCGTGGCTGGCACTTCAGATGGACGAGTACTTTGCTGGAGACGACCAAGAAGAGCGCTTTAGCTTCCCGTGCGTGCAGTGGCGCTGTGTTGACAGAGTTGGCTGTACTAATCTCAATGAATGGCTGTGGCGGGTATAGCAATGTGAGGGCATTTGTTGCGCTCTACGCTGTACTGATGGTGCTTTCTCGCTTCTACGAGCACGGTGCGTGTGTTTGTCCTTGTATGCGATACGACAACAGCATGGACAACGTCTGTGGCTCTGTGGCGGTGAATACACAGGCACGTACGTTCTCTACGAGATGTTATGGGCGTGCAACGTATCACTCGTGCTTGTGGTCATGGCCCTCTCCTTTTCCAAGCCCTTCTTGGTCGGCGTGGCGGTAAGAGTGCGAGGGAATCACTTGCTTGCTTGAAACCGGTCGAGGGGGAACGATAACTTGGCACTTGTTGGATTCAGATGGTGACAGTGTCAGGAGATCAGTTGCTGTGGTATATCGACACGCTCTCGTTTGTGCTCAAGGGGAGGTTCATCACGGGAGCGATGCAGTACCTCACGTATCCAGAAAATCGCAGTTTTTCCAAGACGTTTTTCGCGACGCACCATCTGTGGTTCTTGCCTCTTTGTTTCTACGTAAGTCATATGGAGGAGGCAGTGCGAGTGAGTGGTAGTCTGCTACTCTTACACTGACGCGTTGGTTCCATGACATATAGATCACGAACGGCCATGGTGGCATGCACAATTCCAGCTTCGTTGGCTCGTGTATCTTGACCTCCTTCTTGGCTGCCTTCTGTCGCGCTTTCACGCCTTTTGAAGTCCGTGTGCCTGGCAGCGAACACGTCATTTACCTGAATGTGAATGGGAGCTATGCGTTCTGGAAAGACATTGACATGCCGCTGCTGCATTTGCTGGACCACCACCATCCAGTGCTGTATATCCCGTACCTTGCGATTGTGGGGAATCTTGCTGCGAATGGGCTTCCACACATGCTCGTACTCGGCATCAGCCTCGGACTCCAGCACAGTCCGCTCCTGAAGGGAATCACCCACTGAGACGACTGACGCTTGCCGGCAGTTCCTGTTCTCACTGGTGTCTTGTGCTAAGCAACTATAGTACAAGCACTTCAGTTCCTACGTCGTTGTTACAAGTGAGGTTGCATTAAATTGTGTTCATCTGAATGAGTATCAGCAAGTAGGTTCGCCGTGCGGTCGAGCAGAAGTCGCGTGTAGCTGCCAAGTTGATGCGAATGGCAAGTATGATGAGGCATGCATCGTATCGAGACAGAAGTCACAGAGGCAAGTCTAGCTACTGCAGGCTTCGACTTGGCTTATGCAAGCGTAATCTGACTCCGCTCGACTGAGCGACCAGAGGGTGGTCCTCGACTGTTGCAGATGTTGCGTATCGCACGCCTTTGTTATCGAGCATTCTAGCTGGACAAGTTTGACACCAGTCGACCTGCTAAACTTGTTCAGATAATTCAAAAAGCTCTGCGTGGTCATTTCAATGCAAGCATCGCCACTTATTGCAAGCCAAACAAGAATAGTTTGTACAGTCACTCAAATTTTGTCAGTGGTTGTTGTTACATTCGTGGAGTGTTTACGAAGGTTTACTTGACCATTCCTCAAATTTAGTGTGCAAGAGCTCGAAGAAATAAAAAGCATGTCTTGGTTAGCATTTTACACTGTTCCTTGTGATCAACCTTGCGGCACAATGGCAAAATATAAAAAGCTAGAGCTTGCAGCGACAACGGGGACGCGTCCTGCGGTCTAAAAAAACAGCATAGCTACAAAATGTTTTAACGCACATACGGTCGGGCATCAAATCTGTAATTACATGTCCACACGTTTTAAAAAAAGTGCACTTGTCGTCGTCCCGGTATTCCTGCTCTCGACATGCACCGCCGCGTACTGGCCAAAACGCTGCGCGAAGCGTCTCCGTTCTTCGTTATTGCTGGTCCATGTGTGCTGGAGTCTGAGCAGATCGTCATGGATATCGCTCATCGGTAAAAATTACGTTCCTTGGCAGCTACCGCCTTTGCATGTGGTATGTTGACCATTCATTTTCTAAGTCTACTTTTTTGGTCGTAGCTTGGCGGCAATCCAGCAAAGTCTGCACATTCCTGTCGTCTTCAAAGGGAGTTTTGACAAAGCCAACCGTCAGGACTTGAAGAGTTATCGAGGACCGGGATTGCAGCGTGGACTGGAGATGCTGCAACTCGTTAAGGACTTGACAGGGCTGCCAGTGATTACGGACGTCCATGAGACACACCAAGTGGCTACAGTAGCAGAAGTGGCAGATATCATCCAGATTCCGGCATTTCTATGTCGTCAGACGGACCTGTTGGTATCTGCTGCCAAGTCGGGAAGACTGGTGAACCTGAAGAAAGGACAGATGCTCTCAGCTGAGACCATGGTGCGTTGGTTGGCTGATGCTTCATAGTTGTTGTTTTTGGCCTTGGAGCGAAAGTAAGCGTCATTTTTTCTCTCTTTTTGCATTTCTGTAGCTACTAGCTGCTAAGAAAGTGGCTGTCACCCAAGGAGACAACGGTATGTCGACGTAGTTGTCACGATAGCCCGTGCTAGTTACTTGGGATACTTACACAAAGATTTGTTCTTGTATTTTGTGGTGTCTGTAGATTTTATTCTGACGGAACGTGGCAGTATGTTTGGGTATGGAGACTTGGTAGTAGACGCGAGAAATCTGCCAAAGCTGCGACGATCCAATGGTCTCGTTGTTCAAGATGTTACGCACAGGTCTTGCACAAGGTTTACATCAAACAGCTAAAGTAGACCTTTGCTGATTCGGTGTATGTGTGTTGCAGTGTCCAGCGACCCAGCAGCGCAAGTGCTAACGTCACGACGAGTGGAGGGGACCGTGAGTTCATCCCGACTGTTGCGAGGCTGGCCGCGGCAGTCGGTGTGGATGGATTTTTCTTCGAGACGCATCTTAACCCGAAGAAGGCGCTGTGTGACGCAGCGACAATGCTACCAATTGATGAGCTCGAACCTCTTCTTGAAGAGCTGATTGCAATCTCGAGAGCATCCAGAGCTTTATCGTAACGAAGACATCAGTAGTACAGTTACCACACTTTGGCTTGTGCTCACCATTTACAACATCTTTATAATGACCGCCGGTCGAAGTTGTCGTGATTTCTCATCATACGTGGAGTTAAGAGGTGTACAGGTGTTGAAGTGGTCCGTGTGATACAGGTAGCATACCTCATTTGTGCCATTTTTTAAGACTCGAAAGCTGTCAACAAAAGATGGTGTGCTATATAGTTACATACAAAAAGACGCTGGCACGAACACTAATATCCAAAAGATGACCATACATCTTTGTAGCTAATGAGAGAAATTTTTTCCATTGTGGAATCGAACCGCAAGACCAACTGCCACAAAAAAAGGTTTCACAGGAAAACACAGTCGTCAACACTAAACCGCAATCTGCGCTGAAATGCTACGCGGGCAAGGTGCTGGTGCGCTGCTGTCTTTTGGCCATAAGCTGCATTAAGTTAATGCAATTAATTGCGCGTACCAGGCGCATTGTTGGATCACCACTGCCGACCTGCGGAAACTACCGCCGTCTATGATACGATGACCGAATATAGCCAGCTTCAACTTGTTTCCTCAGTTTAATCTTTGGTAAAACAGAGTGATACAACCGCAACGCGACTCGTGCCGATGCAGTTTGTGCCTGCACCATCTTTGGAACAAAACATGTTGCAGATGGACTTTTTGTGCGCTTTGGAAATGCGCTGGTGCCACCACGTTTGTATTGCACTCATGAAGCACGTCAATCTCGTGTGTATACTACTTCCAGCTCTTTTTTGAAAAGGATGGCAGCTTCTTGCCTGTTCTTAATTTTCAGCAACGAGTTTCGTTCCATGTGCTTTTTAAACCTGGTAGCATAGTTGACGCATGCACAAGTGTGCAAGTATGTAGGCTAAGGAAATGCATAGGCGTGGACGGGTCACACATTTTTGAGGCAAACATTACATTATCTATGTATCGCAATATCTTTCTCCAGGGCGTTAGCTTTGCCCTCCACTGCGACGTCAGACATGCGAAAACTGACCCGTGTCAAAACTGCAGCAAGCTCGATAGCCGTTAACAAAATACGAGGCTAGTCGACAAGGCGAGCACACATCCACCGTGTATTGTTATCACTGGAACAGATTCAGTGGTAGCGATGTCCCACCACATCAAACGGCAGCACATCTCTACAAGTTCTTCTTGCGGAGCACCTCGTTTGCAGCTTCCTCGTCTGGAGTTACGTCGCGGCGGTGGATGAGATAGCGAAAGTGTTGCGTCGAGCGGATCTCCATTTCAAATGACATGAGAAACTTCCTGTCGAGTGGGTCAACCAAGTGCAAGATACGGTACTGCTGGTCACGGTTGGCCTCCAACCAGGTGTGGCAACGGTCAAAGAACAGCTCGTTGTTCCACTGCATGGAATCATTGTGCGCCTTGTCGTAGAACTCCTTGAAGCGGTCAATGTGGATACACACGTGGTGGCCGTCGTACTCGCCCTTATTGTCCCGCTGAGCCTCCTGCTCATCAAAGACGATCGTTTGCAGCGGGCCACAGAATACCGATGTGCGGTAGAGCTTCTCAGTGCCCTCCTTCTTCGAAACGACCGTCTTGGCACCCAAGTAGTGCTCAAAGAAGCGTGAAATGCCTTGGGCGATGCCAGGTCGACATGGGTACAGCAGAAACGGGAGACCTTGAGCCACCCCTTCCGTGTCGTTCGCAACCGGCAACGTCTTCCCTAATGACATGTTGATTGAGTGGTAATTGCGAGGCGTCACGTGGAGCCGCAACTCGTTCCCATACGGGTCATTCACCTTGAGGTGATCGTACTTCATCGTATCCAACAGCTCGTGCCATTTCTCCTGCGGGTACTCACGCGTCGTCTCCGCGCCGCGATTGAAGCGCTCAAAGGCGAACTGCGTGTCCTGCAGTTCGTCCGCAACGGACGCCAGGCTCTTCTCAAGAGCGTCCAAGTCCGGCACAAAGAGATAGATGGAGGCGTTTATGCACTCGCTCTTGCGCTGGCTCGTAAAGAGATGGAACTGGTGGCGACCAGCATAGTTGGCCCAGAAGTGGTAAGCTAGACGCGGGTCGCGCGAGCACTGGAGGCCCCGCATGTAAAAGATGTAGGCAGGAGCTTGCTCCGTGCACTTTTCTGTGTTCGATAGATTGATATGTTCGAGCAACTTGAGGTTCCCGGCCTCTTCGAAGGCCTGGAGGACCGCCTCTTTGCTCCATGTGCCTCCCGTCTCGCTCATTGCGCTTGACTGGAAATTGGGAAGTGAGCTTGAAATGAACAAGGTGGAAAAATGGATGGACGTTTGGTGGCTGTATAGGACTCGACAGACAGTTGATTCGAGTGTTCGTCGGTATGACGTGACTGCGAATGTTTCGCAGCTGTGCGTTTTGCTGAGCAGTTAAGGCGTTTCTATTGACAGACATTTCGATTTCTTTTGTCCGTTTATTACGACAGTAATTTATTTGTGGAGAATAAAGACCTCTATCGCTCGATCTAGCTTTATATCTTCAGGTATGCGACTGTAAGCGACGATAGAAATATAGGAGGACTGCAGGAATTGGAAGTTGTAGGTACAAGTATCGTTGCAACTGATGGAGATTTATGCCGCGTGGTCCTTCAGATCACCCTGGGGTGAACTGCGAATACTCTGACTCCGTTTAAACTCCTTACAGGACCCGCACCCCTCATTACACTATGGGTGTAACGGGGTGAACCGTTACATAACAATTCATAAGAAATTGTTAATAGAATATAACTATAAGAGTTATGTTCTCAGAATATTGTCATAAGGACAAATATTCTGCAGCACTTACGAGTAGTTCCTAATTGGTCGATATAGGCCATTATATCAACCAACAAAGACGCGCCACGACAGACGCACGCAATGAGTGGTGAGCAGATAGTTGATATGCGCATTTGTATTCAGACATAGTTAGATGAGGATAAACAGTGGTTTATTAACAGACATTAATAATGATAATTACAGTTCTACTATTTACTTTGACCGAGTACTCGCTTCTTCTTACCGTCTTCCTCTGCACGTACCAGTGTACGTGAAGTTACGAGGCACCGCCTTATTCTATCGTCAGAATAAGTAGCTTGTACTGTCATCAGTACAAGCTTCAGGGTGCCCCGTTACAATGGGGCTTTTCGGCTTGTAGGGCCTCCGGACGACACCGGCAACTCATTGGTGGTTGCTCGTCTACATAATTAGCCTATTTCCGGCACCCTGTAATCGAACCCCCACCGGGTATCGATCCAGGTACTTCCTTGTGTCTGATGGAAGTTACAGTATGTAGGGCAATTCCCTCTGCATTGATCTAGGCTATTGTTACATACACCCCACTTTATACAATACACACACCCATACCCGAACAAACCCACAATACGATTTGCACGACACATTTTACGCACAAACCTCTGTAAGACCAATTTGTACAGCAATCAACATTTATCGTGCATATTTTAATTGGTTTGACCTATCAATCTTTCTTTGACATGCTATTGCCTAGTCCTACCCCAGATATAGGATGGGCTCGATCAAAACTGCATACTGCTGTTTAGTGCAATTTCTTTATTCCACTTTTGAAGTGGTAGTGTTCGCTGCGACAGATGAATACAATTACGTTCGGTGCAACGTAAGCTTTTATTCCATTCATTTTTGCACCTTTCTCGACTGTAACCTGGCTGTTGCCATTTTTGAGAGATGCAAAAAGCGCCTCAGATGTATTTGGCATGTAGTGACGAGTGCGCGGTAATCGTTGATCCAATCATTTACGAAGGCAAAAGATCTTCAGACGTCCATTGCGTGCTAACCGAAGTTTGCTTGGTAAATCACTTTCCATTGTACGATAAAAGTAGATTGTAGTACGATGATGGTCGTACATAGGATTGGTGGCGCGATATTTGTTGTACAAGCCATACTGTGTTGTAGTGTAGGTGTAGTATGCGGGGTGTATTTGGTTAAAAGTGGGGCGTTTTTAATGATACACGTGATTTAACCTCCATGTCGTGGTTCGACCAATAATTATCGTTGTTCCCTGCTCATTCATCTACCAATTTATATCAAGTCAAGCTTCACGGCAGTGCCCGGAGGTCTTTCTTCGCAACTCAGCGCAAGTGTAAGCTCCAACATTTACTTTGATGCCGAAGGAAGCATACGCGGCTGAGAAATAGGCGTAATTATGAACGCACAGGCACGTTGATTTAACGCCCCAAGGTTGGCATTGTCCTAAGCAACTTGCAACGTCAAGTCATATCTCCATCCCACGAGCTTTTCATTGGGCAAAAAGCTTGAAGCAAGTGCGTGTAGTCTACTTTCTCTTAGCAGTGTAGTGTTTCGACAAAAACGCGACAGTGTTTTAGCCAATCTACCTACGTGACTTTTTGACCGACCTAAAACGAATACGTATACAGCTCACTTTTTCATTACATCATTATCATTTTTTCTCTGATATTGTGGTATTACTCCTGCAGTATGGCAGGGGAAGGATGCACGAGTCAGCCCGCCCGCCCCCAAGACGTGAGTGGATAAATGAATACAGAAAAGAAGTAGCAAAGCAAGCACATGGGGCTACTTGTCCTTTCTATCATGATCGATAGTCCCAAATGAAGCTGAGGAGTCAACAAAGGACACTGCGTATTCTGTATGACGAAGTCAAACAACATCACTAGAGATCTGGCCGATCTGCGCTGTGATGTAATCGGAAAAGTTCTATAAATGTCATAACAATTTGATCAATTGAAAGAGATAATGCATATCCGCCAAAAAGTGAGCGCACAACTGTGTACATGCGATGATTTCGCCTGCTGTTTGTAACAACTAGTTGTGGCTCAAGCAAAACCTTCAAATATTCAGTAGGGGTGTGCGTTCCAGATTGTCATTTCTTAAAATTTCTCTCTCGATAGCAATCTCCATTTTCAAGTAGCCGCACGTGAGAAACCTGATCGAAGCTCCCGATAAATTGGAAATTGTTTGGAATCGAAAGTCCCTGTGTCATGTAATCAATCACTACATCGTACAGGAGTCTTTTTGGTACACTACAGTCATTATGAGGAACTAACGACCCGAAAATGCCCGTCCGGTAGGGGCCTACACATCCCCTGCCGCTGTGCTAACTATCAATCATGTTAACAAAAGCAACCTACGGTTGCAAACCGAGGGTTACCCCCCTGTCTATCGGCTTGTCCAGCCGTATCTCATAGCGTGTCAAGCCAGTGCCCCGTTCGCCACGTAAAGTAAATAGCTTGTAACGACCGCCCACTTGGGTGGCAGCGTTGCCACTTCAAGACCGAGAACCTTTATGCTGCATCCTGAGTCCATCGCGGTGTTCGCCAGGGCGTCCGCCATCTTGAAATTTGTCAAAGGCGATGAGTCCACGTGGCCACGCACAACCGGTTCTCCAGCAAATGACATTTCCTGTACAAGTCTTGGCGATGTTTAGCCTGCGGCGGCCTCCTGCGCCGTAGTTTTCTAGTATCAGTTCGCTGTCCCCAACGATGTGTAGTCGTTGGAGATGATACCCCAGCGCCTGTGAAGCACAAAAAAAAGGGTCTTGTATTCTGCCGCATAGTTTGTTATTGTGGTGGCTGCAAGGGATACGCTGCACATCCAACGCACTCCGGCCGAGTCCGAAGACGTACAGCTTGTAATTATAATAGCGCTCGCACCACTCGGGCCGGGATTGCCACTAGACCTACCACTAAAGAAGAGCACGGCGTAGCTGTCCTCGGCTAGCGGAGACATTCGTGGCACGTCATCTATAACAGTGTCCTCGAACGCTGTGTAATCCACAGCAGCCGCCGCTCGGATGTCGATATGAAAAGTTTTCTCCATGGTAAGGTCACGTAGTGTCAGGTATCCCTGTCGTAAACGGCCCAAAAGCATTGCCTTTGCCCGGAAGGAAGAGTTGTCCAGGGCAATATCATTGCATCTGCAGCGACGAGCCTATATGAATTGCAGGGTGCGCACAAAAGTGTATACTTAAGCCTTGCTCACCACTCATTGCGCGCGTCCATCGTTGATTAGACCGCTAGATCTGGCTGGTACGATATAGGTTATCGTACCAGCCAGATCTAGCGGTCTAATCAACGATGGACGCGCGCAATGAGTGGTGAGCAAGGCTTAAGTATACACTTTTGTAGATGAATATTACTAAGTCAAGACTAATACGTATTTTATCGAATATGACCTAAGAAGGCTTTACTTTTACCAGCATTAGTCAGTCCCTAGTTGCTTCCTCTTCCTCTGCCGAGTTAGCAGATGTAGCGAGGCACCACTCACTCTGCTGTCGGTGAGAGTAGCCCCACACAAGTTGTCTAACATGTTGCTCTGGTGCCTCGTTACTCGGGGAGTCTTTAAGATCGTCCGTCAAGCTTCTAGCCTAGGTTTAAGGGACTAATAACGACTCATAAATCGTACGCACAATGTGCTTTAGAGCATACCACAAGCTGGTGTTTAGTCTTGATGATATACTGACGTCTAAACTAGACACGTGTCAATCGAAGATCAAAAGAGGAACTGAACGTTACTTCTTAGTTTTATCTGTAATAAACCTCATTCAACCACCTAATACTAAGGTTAAACTAATTAGCATTGTAATCTTCAGTCTATTAAACATTGACGGGTGGTACATCATTCTGATTTTAATGGATGACTGAGTTTATCAACCACATCAAGAATCACAGACAAAACTTGGGATTGCATATCACATGTACAAGGTAAATCCCTATAAGGTGGTAAGGGCCGTGTGACCGTGTTACAGAGTGCCTGACTTTGGCAGAGTTTGCAAATAATCGTAGAGTTTATTCTTAATTAGAATGTCACTAGTTAAAGCAGATCTTGATGCGATTCATTTTTTCCAGATGACATTGCAACTGATCCACAGTTTAACAAGATGGTAAATACAAATTAAGAACTCGTTCGACAACAAGAAAGCTTCCTTAGAAAGTATAAAACGCAATGAGCTCAAGAACGTACGAAGTTATACTACGACTAGAATCAAATGCATGAAACGTTCGAGGCAGGTAGTACTCCTCAACGGTAAAAATCTGTATATTCGCCAGTAACGATTCTTCAAAACAAGTAAGTCTTCTTTCTGATTATTGGTCCATAATCTATCGTCAAAAATGTCCATGCACATAAATTCGTACCGTTCACCATGCTTAAGAAACTTCGCATTCATCCCGTTTCACACGTCGCTATTTAAGCTGTATGAAAAAGATTATCATCGTAATCAACAAAAATTTATAATTCTTCTCGCGGATGGCAGTACTGACGGACGTCGTGGGAATGGCTATTACAAGAATCGTTGGATGAGAAAAACTTTGGACTAGGCAACTTCGGAATCCATTGAGGCATTGAAGCAAAATCGCATGATTGATCACTGAATACAGGAACTCCAAAAGTTACTCTTCACTGAAAAAGAGGTCATGCGACAGAACCAATATCCCATTAAGTTCTCGTTATATTTAAAACACCTAGTACAAGTGCTGTTATCTCTATAATTGTCAAAGTAATGCTAGAGTGATAGTTCCGAGATGGTAAAAATATCAGCTGATACGAACCAGTAGAAAATCGATTGCTACGAATGAGTAAAAGATATAGCTGTTACAAAATAGTGAAACAACGGCTGCTACAAATCATTTAGAGTCTGCTGTTACAAACAAGTGGAAAACAGCTGATACGAGTCATTTCTAGAATCTGGTGACCAAGAGACTGTAAAATAGCAAATAAGTTGTAAACTAAGGATCTCAGTTTAATTCACTTTGCAATTTTACAATGGGCAAAACAACCTTCTTCAGCTTCGCATATCATCAGAGCTGTAATCGGGCAACCCATTTAATTAAGTAGTCATACATAAATACATATAATAAGTGTAGATAGTATTCGGATAGCGGATACTGCGCGTCTATTTATTTTCGCTTTATTATTGGGGGGCCAGACCCGATAAAATTAGCCAATAATGATTAGTTCTATATCTGAGTGGTTCCCATGAGCTAGGATACATATTCGCACTTACTGCAAATTATAAAAACACAAAATAAAACAGAGTTAAATTTACCTCAGAGCGCTTCCTCAGCTTTAATATTAGTGTAAGACGGTAACGGGCCCTTACCCCCTTACAAGAGCCCAAATTTTATACATCTGTGACAGGGAGAGGGTCATCTGCTCAGACTTGTAAAAAAACCATGACCCTCGGGGTCGACTGGAAAATCTCTACATGCTAAACTTTGTGGACCATGTAACGATGCTTGGTGCTCTACAGTTCGAGACTTACGAGCTTTCGACATAGCGAGACTTAAGACACGAAGCTACCCAATTGACGACACCAAGATGACGATTTACCACATGATCTAGAAAGTACAAATCAAAAAGCCAAATGTCAACTTTTCCGAGCAGCATGTTGGTCGTCAACTAACCGTCGCTGTTTTTGTGCTTGACTATTCGAGCCGAGAGAGAGGCCGAGAATGCACATCCCTACGGGGCTCGTCTGAGTTGTTGATGTATCGATGTCACATGTACAACCCCGACATCCCCCTTCTATATCTTATACCGATGCGTTCTCGCCAGGGCGTCCTTGAACTGCGAGGAATTCGTCTACTTCCTTTGTGCGCAAGCTAAACAGCTCACACGCGTGAAGTGTCAAATATATATCGCGCGTCGAATCCTTTGCCATGCGAATAATCGTGTCGCAATTTAGGCGTGCTAACTTACTGTGTCAATGCATAAGCGATCCCTTTTGCACTTCTTGACTCACTTCGATTTCATTTCGTGCTAGCACTGTTAAAAGCACATTCTGTCCCTAGTAAAGGCGTTTTTACCCGCAAGACCACAAAATAACAACTTCTCAGTTTCTCCGCGTCTAATAAAGCAATCGCGAGCGGCCTTCTGCTGAGCTTCTGAGGTTAAAAAGCTATATCAGCACTTTCTCTGCACGTGAATCGACTACAGCAAATTTAAAATCTGCAAGCTGAAAATAGAGCTCGTGATTTATGTGGCTGATGCTCAAGAATGGTCTCAGCAAGGCCAATAAATTACACCTATCAGTCGCGGATGAAAGTGTTCTCGGAACTGCACTTGGAGAATACAAGCTGGTACCGGCTAAGGGACCGGTGCACCTGAGTGTTCCGCTAAAATTCGCTTTCATTTTCGAGAAGGGGGTTTTTTCAGCACGCTTCCAGAAATCGCGTACGCAGCGTTGTTTGACACGAAAGACGCACGTGCCTAAGAAATGAGGTGTAAAGATCGCTAGATGCATTGCGCGGTATATGGATGACACAAAATCACTAAAGCTGAGAATGCCATTAGGAAAAGGAGAAATGTTTAAGCTCGCAATCACAGCGTACATAGACGCCTTTTTACTAAAGACATGACGACACGTAAGTCTGTAAGTAGAGCGATCGTTATCAGTGACGGAGAGATCATCGGCTGGTATTGCGTTCAGTAAGGCGCTGTGATGCTTCAACGCCGGAAGCCGAGCCATTAGCCGTAGATACAGCAGCTAAGAATTTTTGGGCATCACGAGCTCCTGTCGGAGTTGCACCTCGATGTGCGAAAGTCAGTGATAGTCAAGATGGACAATCAAGCAGAGATCGAGAATGAATCATTAAGCTCATTAGCAAAGCATGCTGACGCCAAATGCGCGTGTACGTACACACAAATGACAATCTAGAGAGGCTACAGACCAAGGCACTCGCGGATCCACGCCTTACGGAGCTACGCACCAGCGCTTGGCTCAAGTATTGCGACAACGCTATCTGGGAGGATTCTTGAAATCCAATGTGGATCATTGCTGCCAGTGCAAGATAACTATCTATATGGAGCCTGAGTCTCGAGAAAGTGCTCTAGTCAAGAAGATCCGCTGAGCCAATTCCGCGGTATTAAGTCGACCGATGAGTGCGCAAGAGCGACGGAGAAACGAAGGTCGAATAGGCTCAAAGGTATCAAATCGCATTGAAAACAGAGGCATATTCCGGTGGATGAGTGAGGTGCAGATTGTAGAACGATCCGCCAATATTTTTCAGCTCTAGTGGAAACTCCAGAGCTGAAATTTTAGTTATCACGTCGGTAGCACGATTTTAGAGCACTTGCTTCCGTCCATATAACTACTTTAGCTAATAGATGTTTCTTTGTAATTTCGTTACAGCACGCATACCCGAGTGTAAACCGATCTACAATGATGGGCTGGGAATCTATACGGTACAGCCAGAGTATGCGACATTCTACTTATGACCTGAGATATTGGTCTCTATTTTTAATTGACAGCTTTGCATAGTCCCTTTGTCTTGGCGTGCCACAAAAGAACCGCGGATAGATCTCGAGCAGGCTTTGGTTGTAATACAATTATTGGTGTCTCGCTGAAATTAGTAGTTACCATTTATGTTTTGTTGATTATATTGATCGTTTGGAAATTGCTGCAACGTAGCATCAGACAAGTCCAACATTCTTTGAATCTGATAACCGAAAATTCAGGTTAAATTAATAAAAAAATTAATATCGACGTTCAAAAAGGAGACGCCTACTGAAAGTTATATTTAAAAAGGGCGAAACGTAGAACTTGAAACCATAACACGAAGCTGGCAAGGTGCTAGTATTTGACTGCGTACTGTCTGCAGTGTGTCGCGAGCACCCGACGGATGACTAAAGTCTGAAGAAATTAAACCTTATAACTGCAATGTCGCTTAAGTGTCATCTCAGCAAACATTCTCGAATGGTCGTATTACACAATGTCAACATGTCAAAACGAAAGCTACGACTGATGAGGCAATATCGACGCGTGACCTTTTTTGGCCTCAATCTGTCTTGGCCTATTTTTCGCACACAATGTGACCTAGAAAATGAGTCGGAATTGTTTCAAACTGACACTCAAGTGATTTAAGCAGCTTTAGATTTATTTGCAAGATTTTTTTTACTTTGCTACTCCTCCTAAGTCATTCAAATCATCAAGACACAAGTTTGGCCCATCGACACTAATATGAAGATTACTCGAACGACTGGATCATAATTTTAGAGAAAAGGACCAAAATTTACCCCTGAAAAATGCCGAAAAGACACAAATACCCCGCTCCTTTAATCTATGACCAAAATGTCCCTGGCTATAGCTTAGGCATCAAATGCTGGCAGACATCTTTTCTCAAAGCGTTATAAATTCATATGCGCCCACGACAAGTAGAGCTATAATGCCCAGGTTGTTTTGCATCTGCCGCAATGCACGGAACAAAACTCTCTAGGCCTTCCTCCTCTCTATGCAAGAGCTTATTCTTTAGGCGTCCCGATGGGCGCCGTCTACGCGGTGAAAATGCACGTACTTCTTCCCCGTCCTTATCTAACACGTCAGCCCAAATGCTTCCATCGCCAAGTGGGTGCGCCTTTTCACGACAGTCAATGCAGAAGCGGCCTGCCACAAGAGCTTCACCAATGAGACATTTTAAAATGCCTTCCCAAAGTTTTCGCTGATGTGCTGCATGCAAAAGTCATGGTATGCATTGGAAAAAATTGTCTGAACTTTGTCGATGAGTCCTTTCTGACGGTCGAAAAGGAAGGTCAGAAGCTGCATAATTGAAGCATTTGCTCCCGGAAAGTCCGCAGATCTGATAAAAACTAAAGCCAGTTCTCGTCGTTTTTAGCATCGACGACGGCCATTGCCAGCTTTCAGAGAGCGCCGTCACCGTCCACAGCCGTCGCCACTAGGAGCGTCCCCACATACTTTGATCGAAGGTGGGTTCCATCAAGGCCCAGCAGTGGACGGCATCCAGATCCAAATCCTGCAATCGACGCTTGGTAGGCAACAAAAAGGTGCCGAAAATGATCCTCGGGTCCAGTCGTGTACACGACTGCCACGCTTCCTTTTGCAGCAGTCATTGCACCAGCAAGATACTGAGTTTTTTCGACAGGCAAATAAAACGAACACGAGCCATTCATTGCCCTCACTTGGGTTTGTCCAACAAATCTGCCTGCAATACTCCGGAAGACTTTCATAAGCTTTTTTGTAGGAGCCATGAATGGTTTCCATACTCCTCGATTTCTCTCTCCAAGCTTGCTTGTATGAAATTGTGACCCCATTCTTACGACGAAAGTCTTGGATGATTTCCTTTGGTCGGTTTTGGGGTTTGTCACGCAACCGGGCCTCAACTCATACTCGCAACCCAAGAAACTGATGCCTGTTTTTGTCCAAGGTGATTCAGACCTTGACAAGAGTTTTTGTCTCGCAGAGTACTGATGGTGAGCGTTAGTGCGTCGGCTAGCTTGCAGCGTGCAGCCTCCAGGAGCAGCCTTCTTGCACGCAAACCACTTTGAAGCGTCGTTTGTCAATTTTTTTATCACTGCGAGCTCGAACCGTTCAGCGATGGCGCTCGCTTTGACTGAATTGCGGCAGCTTTTTGCATCCGCAAACTCCGTTCCAACGATAAGCTGATGTTCCGCCGTAATATGCGCGGATAATTAGTGAGGTAGGGGCGCGGCGGTAAGGTAAAGTGATGGGATTATGGTGTCCGCTACGCCTTTTGTGCATACATATAGTGTAACGGGGCACCCTGAAGCTTGTACTAGTGACAGTACAAGCTACTTATTCTGATGACAGAATAAGGCGGTGCCTCGTAACTTCACGTACACTGGTACGTGCAGAAGAAGACGGTAAGAAGAAGCGAGTACTCGGTCAAAGTAAATAGTAGAACTGTATTTATCATATTTAATGTCTGTTAATAAACCACTGTTTATCCTCATCTAACTATGTCTGAATACAAATGTGCATATCAACTATCTGCTCACCACTCATTGGGTGCGTCTGTCGTGGCGCGTCTTTGTTGGTTGATATAATGGCCTATATCAACCAATTAGGAACTACTCGTAAGTGCTACAGAATATTTGTCCTTATGACAATATTCTGAGAATATAACTCTTACAGTTATATTCTATATACAATTTCTTATGAATTGTTATGTAACGGTTCATCCCGTTACATCACCCCCCTTAACCATCAGTCACTTTAGTGACTGATTGACCAAATGGATTCTCGTCCCAAATCAGTTAGGACAGGGTTTGCACTTGTTGGTCCGAGTCCACTTTCCAACATATAATCGCATGGTTAACAATCCCATGCGATGCGCGAGAAAGGCCGCCGAGAGCGCGTCCGCACGTCTCTGTGCGGACGCCGAAGCATAAACCACAGCAACTGATGTCTCATCGGTTGCTGAAGCGACTCAGCCGGTGTCACTTGGTGATGCAGGCGCTCGTCATGAAGACACTCATGTCTTCACAGAGTATGAGCTCGGTGTCTCGTACTCTCCTGATACGGAAGACGGATCCGTATCGACGGCGATCGAATCCAAGCCGCCTGCCAAGCGTGGCATGGATGATGCTATGCGTCGTAGCATCTTTGGTTCATCTGATTCATCAGATGAACCATCGCCCAAGCGAAGGCGCTCAAGGTCGCGAGACTCGGGCTCTAACAGTGGTGTCGGTTTTCCAATGGACACCACTACGCAACGAGGTGCCAGCACTTCTGTTGGCACATCGCAGGAAGAGGGGGACCGCAGTGTGTTCCATCTCGCTCATGAGAAGAAGGCATGGATGCCTCCCAAATCTGTCATGTATCACTTGTCGGCGACGACGAGTGATCGTTATCGAACACGATTGTTCGATTCGTCAAGGACCCATCACCTTGACCGCAGCGCGAAAAACTATCGCGCTGAGAATGAATTCTTCATCGACGCTTTCCTTAGACATCGATGGTACATTGGGAATCACAAGCGTGATGGTCCCTCACTGCTTCAAGCGTGGAAAGCCTACATCCATAACCTTGAGGATGTAGGTCGTGACGCTTGGAACGACAAACTTATCAAATCCCGTGATAAGTTTGAAAAGCGAACCCCGACAGGTGCACTCTACAAGCTGTATCGTCTGTCAAGGGAGAAGAGATTACCCTGCCTTTCTTGGGGAGACTCGTGCCCATGTTGTGTGAACAACTCTGCACGAGCACCTAAGGAGGATTACCTCCTTACCAGCCCGTGGTGGCGCGTACGTGTCTCTACTGAGATGTACGAAGGGATTGACAACCTGAAATCCCTTTACGACCGTGCCGGGAAGACTTTCTCCGGCGGTCCTTCTGCGGCACAGGATGTGCCGCGTCGTACTGCTCAACCAGACCCAGTACGTCGATCATCAGTTGGGAGCGGGGCTCCCAAGAATCCCAGGACGGGGGATAGCCGCGCCACCGGACGAGATAACTCGTCCGACGTCCGTTCACGTCGCGGTGGTTCAACAGCTGCTCAACTAGATAGCGCTGGCCACCGCGAGAGTTCTCTAATGGAGGTGGAGGAGGAGGAAAGACGCTCTCTATACCACCTTGGGGAAGCGTGTGTTCCCGAGAGCTTCTTTGATCGCGTAACGCAAGGTTTACGCAACGATCTCGAACATGAGCGGGACAGGCGTCTCCAACTGGCGGACACTGCCTTGAAGCATCGAGCTAAGTTTGCCTTTGCTCAGCTTGAGAACGAGAGAGATCTGACATCTCTTCGTGACGAGCTAAGGGTAGCTCGTTGGATTGTTGATCGGTCTCGGGATGAGATAAATGCTCTTCAGACCCTTGTCGATGTCCACCATCGGGAGCACAAGGCTCTCTGCGAGATGCTTGAGCGCAAGGGCGTTCTTCATCGGAAGAAGCAGCGTACTGATGGTACGGCTTAAGCCGACCAACGTAAAACGTGGGATGCGTTCGCATCTTACGTGGCAACTCGATCTTGTATGCATTGCCTAGGCGGTGCAATACACGAAATGGGCCGATGTACTTGGGTAGTAGTTTACTGCTACCCAAGTTAGTCACTACTTGCTTTGGTGGATTAACCGTAGACAGTAGGACTAAGTCACCTTTACTAAAAGAGTGTTTGCTTTTCCATTCTTGTCTGCGTTTTGCTTTTGCTTATCCACGGCTTCGGCGACGGAGTCTTGGATAAAACGGACTACGTTTCACGAGCCAGTATGAATTAATCGGAGGACTCGTTAGCTTCAGTGCGCTGTGAGTGCACTGCAGCAACATCAACCTTTTCTTTAGTGAGGGCTTCCGCGCTCTCACTGGCATCATCTTCTTCGATATCGATGTTATCGATATCGGCATCAAACGCAATGACCTCTTCGTCAGAGCTTGATGAGCGTGAACCAAATCGATTTTTGCTCGCGCGCGTCCCTCCCCCCTTAAACCAGAGTTACACTCTAGTAAGGTGGGTACACACGGATGGCGCAAGCCATTCACGTAAACCGGTGTATGTGTCGTGGACGCATGCACCGAGTTGTTAATGGCAAACTCTACCATTGGCAAGAACTCACTCCAACTCTTAAATGAGTGTACGTATCCTCGAAGTATCTCTTCTAGGACACGATTGGCACGTTCCGTCTGACCATCTGACTCTGGATGATCAGATGTAGACATCTTCAAGCGCGTTCCGAGTGATTTGAGCACGGAACGCCAGAAATCAGCAGTGAATCGTGGATCTCTGTCTGATACGAGTTCACGGGGCAACCCATGAAGTCGGAAGATGGTGTCAATAAAGACACAAGCACAGCCACTTGCCGTGATTGACTCTGGTACAGCCACAAGGTGTACCATTTTGCTGAATCTGTCAACAAATACGAGAATACCCGTATTCCCGCGTGCGTCTTTGGGTAACCCGAAGACGAAATCCATTGAGATGGATTCCCAGCACTCAGCTGGAACTGGTAGAGGCTGTAAAGGTGCACGCAGTGAAGGACTTGACTTCACTCGTTGACAGACTTGCATGCGCGAACATACTTTCGCACAAACTGATACTGGCGGGGCCAGTAAAAGTCTCGACTCACCGTGAGATATGTTTTCTCCCGGCCACGATGTCCTCCTATAGGAGCATCGTGATGCTCAAACATGATCCGCAAACGCAGATCAGTATCATCTGGAATGACAACACGTGGTGTGTCACCAAAAACGGCTGTATAATACAGTAACACGTTGCGAGTAGTGTATCGATCTGATGCAGATCGATACGCAGACGACAATCGTTCCAACGATTCTCGAGATGGCTGTGAGAGATGTGTCAACAACTTCACAATCTCACCATCATGGGCATACGCCCTCCTCACATCATCATGCAACGTTGAAGATGGTACTGAGGACGTCATAACCGCAACAGTGACTGTCTCACTGTTGGGTTTCACGACTGTTTCAAAGTCGGGACGACGTGAGAGTGCATCAGCGACGACATTAAGTCGTCCTGGTTTGTACCCGACCGTAAAGTTGTATTCCGCAAAGAATGACAACCACCGCGCCATTCGTTGTGAAAGGTGCGGGCTGTTCACTGCCGTGCGTAATGACGCATGGTCAGTGTAAACAATAAAGGGTCTATCTCCCAATAGATAGACTCTGAACTTTGCGAGTGCATACTTCATGGAAAGGAGCTCCTTGTCATGCACTGGATAGTTCCGCTCAGCTGGTTGCAGCTGACGCGACTGATAGCAGACGACGCGTTCAACGCCGCCAAGATCGTACTGCATTAATGCACAGCCGATTGCGAAATCGCTGGCATCACAGACCACATGAAATGGCCTGTCCTGATCGGCTATTGCTAGGACTGGGGATTGTATCAAGCTCTGCTTGATACCCTCAAAGGAGCGCTGACATTCAGCGTTCCATAACCACCTCTCGTTCTTTTTCAACAAACGAGAGAGGTGCACAGTCATCTCGGCGTAATTGCGTGAATACTTGTGCAAATACGCCGCTAGCCCAAGGAATTTTCGAAGACCTTTGACATCAACCGGCACAGGCCAGTCGGTGATCGCCTTGATCTTTTCGGGATCAGGACGTACACCGTTCTTACCAACGATGCACCCAAGAAGTGGTATTTCGCTTGCTGCAAATATACACTTCTTGAGGTTAGCATACAATTGATGCTTTCGCATGATTGTAAGAACCTGTCGGACGTGGTACCTGTGAACCTCAACGTCCGACTTTCCATCCATAGCTCGACTATGGATGAATACGTCATCGAAATAACTTGGCGCAAATTCTCGTACTGGTCTCAACAGATGTGATACACATCTGTTGAACGTGGCAGGGGCATTACTAAGCCCGTGTGGCATTACTAGCCATTCCCAGAGCATGCCGCTAGGCGTGCTAACTGCGGTATAGGGTATATCCCGTTCTCGCATAAGGATTTGATAGAAGCCATCCATCAAATCCATGGACGAAAAGATGGTACTCTTTGACATACCATCAATGATTACGTCCTTCCTCGGTATCGGCGTCTGAGCCGGTACCGTTGCAGCATTCAACTTGTTAAATGCATGCACTATCCGCCACCCTCCTGTTGCTTTTCGCACACAGAAGGTCGGAGAGCTATGTGGGGAAGTTGATTCCCTCACATGGCCCGCAGCTAAACGATCGGCAAAGAACTTGTCGATCGCAAGTACTTGTTCACGAGGCAGTGGCCACTGCTTCATGACGCAGTACTTCAAGCCTGGTTTAAGCTCGACCTCGTGTCGAATACCTTTATCCTTCGGTAATTCGCACGGAACAGTTTCAGGGAATACATCCTTGAATTCAACCAAATCTTCATAGAGAGGATTTTTCTTGAGCGATTCCCATGATTGGGAGTCATATCGCTCAATTCGTGTTTTTTCATCTAGGACACTCTCGTCCATAGATGAACTACTGAGAACTCTCTCGTTCTCAGTAAACACTGTTGCTGACCTTATGTCGGTTACACACTCGTCGTCAGCGACGAGTACGCAGATCTGCTTGACTTTGCCACTACGCAGATCACGCAAGAACCTTTTATGTTCGAGCGTTGGCAACTGAGTGATCTCCGAAGTCAACTTCTGAGGCGCAATCAGATCAAGTGTATGAGCGCCTACACTTGATCCGTTATTGACTATGACATTCAATGTCTCGGTCATTTCCTGGGGACTTATTCCCTCAGGCTTCGAAGGACTTATTCCTTCGGCTTCCCGGGGACTTATTCCCGCGGGTTTCGGGGAACTTATTTCCGCCGTATTTGTAATCTTGGGACTTATTCCCTTTACTTCCTCTAGCTGGGGTTGCGCAACCACAGCGAGATCCGCTACGAAAGACTCTCCAGTCGATCTAGGATTATCGTTTCGCTTAACCTGAGCGATCGATTGTTTCTCTTCTAGATGTTCCCCTCTAGGGATACATCTTTGTCCCAGTCCACTCGACTTATTCGAGTGGTGGACCTTCGGCGCAGCCTGTGTTTCCTCACAGCCGCCGGAACTTTGCTCCGAAGTGTAACTGTTTGTTACACTAAGGTTTTGTGCAGTCGTACTAACGACCGTACCACAAGTGAGGCCATCGCACTCACTCGTAGTACATCCACACGCTTGTGGACGCTCCAAAACGTTCATCAGATGGCCATCTGATAAACAAGCTGCAGGCATCGTTACTGTTCGATGCTGCCAGTTTACTCGTGGTTTGTACCTTCTGAGCCACGGTATTCCAAGGATGACATCAAATTTGTCATCCAAATCCAATACGATAAAGTCATCGTCATATTGGGTATCTTCTAGCGCATAGTGGATCTTCCCTATACGCTTCATGACGGTTACGTATGCGCCTGTCGCAAGACGTACCGTCATCCTCGTAGGAGGTATGTCACATTCAATGAATTTAAAGTGACCATCTTCTAGCGATTGGCGTCGCACAAAATTGTTGGACGCCCCACAATCGACTAGAGCTCGAAGGGACAACTTCTTTGTCACTTCGAGTTTCAAGGTAATGAGTGAGGTCTCATTACCTAGAGCAGCAACGCACAACGTCTGTGTGTTGGGAGCAACCTTCATCAAGAGGCCTACAAATTCTCTTGACGTTGCTAGATCAGTAGGGTGCTCCGCACCTACTGATCCTGTCCGTTTTTTGACGGCCCATCCCGTTGTTGCGTCTTTGCACCAACAGCGGACCCTCGTCCCTACCCCTTTCCCATGGGTGGACGATCACTACGCCCAGTGTTGCGAGACACTGGACGAGGGGCACTACACTCGTAAGCGTAGTGTCCTGTCTTTTGACATCTGTTGCATCTCTGCAACTTCTTGTAGTCTGTAAAGCGAGCCTTCTCGCTCTCTACATAACAGAGTTCCATTGGCTCTGGACCTCCGCTGTCATATCGTCTCGGTGGACGATATGATGTTGAGCTGGCGCGAGCCTGTCTCAGACTGAAGTCTTCCTGCTCCGCAATGGAAATGGCTTGTTCTAGTGAATCTAGTTCAAGCCGGAACAGGTAAATCTTGACGGGACCATCCGCAAGACCCTGCATGAACACCGAAACCAACGTGTGTTCATCCACCGGATTGGAACTTATACAACTCGTAAGATGTCGTATGTGTTGCGCGTAAGCGTGCACATCACGCTTACCCTGCTTGAGATTCAAGAGTTCGGTTCAAGCTCTGAACTCAGCTCTAGGCGGTTCAAACGTTTGTTTGAGCCGCGACTTGAAGACTTCCAACGACCCAAACGCACATGGGTCGTGCAGCTTGAGCCCCAGTGCCCAAGTCTTGGCACGTCCTGCCAGATTTGACTGAGCAAATGCAACTTGCATATCCCCGTCGTCGATGCGACGCGCCCTTATGGCGTCATCCAATTCGACGAACCATCTCAAGAGGGAGTCCTCTTCGACTCCCTTTCAAGGTTTCGGGTCGACGCGAGTGCATCGGCCCACCAGCAGCAGCCTGCTGCTGTCTCAACAGTCAAACTGTTGAGCACCCTGTTCTCTCAACAACTCTGCTTGTTGAGAACCTTGTTGGTGAAGCAAGGCTACTTTCTCGCGTTCAGCGTCAAGTTCATTTTGAATGAACTTGGCGATAGTAGCATGTTGGGCATCTCTATTGGGAGCCTCTAGCATGACGCTAACAGCATGGATGCCCATGGTTGAACCCATTCGTTCGACCGCATCCCATTCGACATCGCTCAAATGGGAGTAGCCGTCACGCGTAGCGTGAAAGCTTTGGTCATCTTCATCATCCAACATATTCATGTTAGATGTGAACGTGGTCCTTGGACGGACTACGAAGTGCTACCAGGTGTAACGGGGCACCCTGAAGCTTGAACTGGTGACAGTACAAGCTACTTATTCTGATGACAGAATAAGGCGGTGCCTCGTAACTTCACGTACACTCGTACGTGCAGAGGAAGACGGTAAGAAGAAGCGAGTACTCGGTCAAAGTAAAAAGTAGAACTGTATTTATCATTATTAATGTCTGCAATAAACCACTGTTTATCCTCATCTAACTATGTCTGAATACAAATGTGTAAATCAACTATCTGCTTACCACTCATTGCGTGCGTCTGTCGTGGCGCGTCTTCGTTGGTTGATATAATGGCCTATATCAACCAATTAGGAACTACTCGTAAGTGCTACAGAATATTTGTCCTTATGACAATATTCTGAGAGCACAACTCTTATAGTTATATTCTATTAACAATTTCTTATAAATTGTTATGTAACGATTCACCCCGTTACATATAGGCTGTAGCCAGGGGCATTTTGGTCATGTATGATAGTACCGGGGAAAGACATTTGCTATCAATCGATGCCTAGGCTATAGCCAAGGGCATTTTGGTTACTTATAAAAGTACAGGGGTATTTTCGTCTTTTCGGCATTTGTCAGGGTATTTGTGGAACTTTTCCCTAAATTATACTTTTTCTTTAGACCGATCATTGCTGATCCCACCCTAATATCCACTCGCTTTGGACTCCCTTTTATCGATCTCATAACTGCAAGTGACTCGGTTACTCATCCGAGCACTCCTTTCCTGTCCATGAACAGTAGCCGTGCTCAAGTCCCAAAATAAATACAGAATGCATCAACTCGAAGAGCTAAATCAACTAATGTAGCCATTCTCACTTCAACATGTCACGACGACGAAAAACAGCCTCGTGCAAAATAATAACACGTCACTAAACTGAAAAACGCTCGGCAATCGCGATGGCAGCGTGGACCCGAGAGTTGCGGCCACTTGCCGAGCAGCTCTGCGTACATGTTAACAGCAGCCGCCAGGGAAACGCAGTGGATCGTCTGCCACTCTCACAGGAGGAGCTGTGTGTACGCGTCAACCGCGTCGTGGGGCTCCTGGGCTCGCATTTGTTCGTGGACTGTGTGCCGCAGGACGTCCAGACGCAGACGAGAGCTCTCGCCACCAAGTTCCGCGTCCATTCGCTGGACGATCGAGCTGAAAAACTCTTGCAATTGGCCCAAGGATGTGACTACCAAGTGCTGAAGCTTTTGCTGGAGCTAGCGACGTCTCCCACGAGCGCAACAGACGAAGAAGCGGCAGTGGATCAGGACTCGCAGATGGAGTGGAACGCTGTGCTACAGCAAGAAAAACTGAGACAAGAAAAGCAGAAAAGGATGGAAGCACAGATTCGTGAGGAGCTGTACCAGATTGCTGCTCATGGCGAGTGGTACCAAGCCTGGGACAACAGTGAGGATGAGAGTAATGGCGAAATGAACAGCGATGATGATTGGGCTGCAATGGACAGTGAACGTGTTGCTAGAACGGCTCAATGCAGTGCTAAAAGCTTGAGAGAAGATGTAGAAGACCAGGATTGTATGAAGCAGAATGACGCTGCAAGCACGTCGCTCGACCCTGCGGGGAGTGATGCAGCAGTGGATGAACGAGAACAACTAGAAGATTTGGAAGAAGATGCGGCACTCCTGGACGAAATTTTGTGTCGTTACCATCCTGAGGTTACACTTCAGGATGTGAGAATGGTGGCAGGTGACCCAACGTGCGAGTTGGACACGAGAGCGCCAGTCTCATTTACATTGGAACGGCCATGGCTGTTGTGTGAAGCGGTAGTAAAAAGTGCAAGCAGCCGCAGACCAGCCGCAAGTGAGTTCTTACCTCGCAGACTGATTCACGAGAAATCTGCGGTGAATATGGTGTTCGAGGCGCTGCACGGAGTTGACTCGCTTTTGTTTGAATTTTGTCCGATCACACCTGTACCGACAATTTTCAGCATTGACTTTCGAGCCAAGGCGGTAAAAAGATCGCAAAGATCGTTGGACACGGCCGTGGGTCACCTGTCTCCCTTGGCTTTTCACAACATACTGGATAGTTTTGCACAAGCAGCGTCCGAGTTACAATTGCTTCGAGATTTTCTCGAGTTCATGCGCCAAGCAGAAGGTTCAAAAGAGCATCATCGCTGCTTGACCTTGGAAGGACTAGCCAATTCGCTGTCGGAAGTTATGCGAAGCATAAGCAGATCCATCCACACTGTTGAGCACCAAATCAATGATGCAGCTGGGGAAGCAGCAAACGACCCTCGTCCGTGGTGTGGAATCAACACACGACAGCCTACTTTACTTGGAATATTCGGTGGTCTCAAGGAGATTTTTGGAACAGTTTCGTGGTTAAGGCGGATATTGGCGGAATCATTTGAAGCTCTATCAGGTCGACATTGGTACGAAGTGAAGCGCGCTGAACAAGCCAAGCGTGTGCTCGATTCGCTATATCATGCGATGGAGGTCGAACATGTTGTAGGCGTGATAGGTGCTGCAAGTCCGAGTGCGACATGTCGCTTAGTACGGTCTGATGTACTATTGCACCTATTTTGCGGGGCGCTGAGTCCTTATTTGGCGGTGATCAATCAGATGATCTTTGAAGTAGGGTGTTGTAAGACAGTTCCTCTGAATGACGAGTTGTTCTTTGCCACGTCGGCATGTACGCAGATCGGAGAGGCTCCAAAACGTGGACAGACTCACAGCTTTCAAGAGGAGCTGCTAGCTCTGGCTCCATTCAAATTGATTCTTAATCTCGTCCCGGCATTTCTTGAATCGAAAACAGATGTGATGAACGAAGCATTGGCAAGCCGACAAATGCTAAACAGCTTTTTGCATCAGAGTTCAACAAAAGTGGCGCTCACAAAAGCTAAGCAAACTCGATTGCCTTTGCACGATTTGCGAACAACCGAACTCAGGACGATGGGAAGCAAACGTGACGGTGACATTTTGTCGCTGACTGCAGCTTCGGCAGCAAACAATGAAAGCGCCCCGACGTTCTCAGAACAAACATCGCTGGAGAGCGTGCCATTTAAAAGTCTTATGGAACTTTGTGTCACTAGGCATCTTGAGACGAAGGTGAATCGTTTTTCGTGTTGCGATTGACTATGATAAGCATGTGCAAATGACGTGCTTGACCGTGTATGCATCCTAGTGTCGCGAACTCAACAGTGAGGTTACTGGCATCTTTCGAAGTGAATTGAACTACATGGAGCACGTGGAAGCTCTTCGGATGTTCGTGCTCATGGAACGGGTAGGGCATCAGCCGCAAATGACTTTTGCTGACCTGTTCTGACACGTTGATGTCACGGATGCTACAGCAAGACTTCTTTAGCATTTTCAGCAAACAAATGGTGTCTCACATGCAGCGAAATCCGATTGCGTGGGCTGACAGTGACGTGATCAGCTCCTTTCACCAGAGCGCAGTCCAAGAAGTTTGCGAAGATAAGTCGCTGTCATCGTTGCAGCGGCAAATTGGTAGTCGGCTGTGCGTTCGCGTCGACTTCAGCTTATTGGATTGTTCTACCAGTGGCGCAAGCATTGATATTGTGACAATGAATTGCGTGCGCTTCGCATTTTCGGTGCAACAGCCTCTTCGTGTTCTTTTCAGCACATCGATCATGCATAAATACTCGAGACTCGGAGTGTTGTTGGTCCAAGTGAAGGCAGTGGAGTCCGCCTTGGTCAAGGTACAAACTAAATTTTTACGAGTCCTAACCTTGCTTGCCAACTGGTTTCTTTGTGTTTCCTATGCACAGTTCAAATCAGCACTTCGGCATCGTCGCTGCTACTCACTGTATGTATCTGATAGCCGTCAACTTCTTTGCTTTTGTATGCATCTACAATAACTCTCTTTTGCGATGGCTTTCGACAGAATTGAGAATGACATGCAACAACTGCTCCTACGAATTGCAGATATGTTGCACTACACGCAGAGTTTACTAAATTATCTCACTAGTCAGGTACGAAACGTGTTTCGGGACAAATTTGCAAGATCGGCTGTACTTACAACCACGACTTCGGTATGCTAGATATCATGTTCGAAATGGCTAGAGTACCGTCACATTCTTCGATCGTCAAGCAGCTTGGCAGAGGTGGGCCGTGTATATTCCCTATGCTATTTGCGACATTATCACACTGATCGTCGGGTGCTTGGGTTTGCACAAACTAGATGAATGCTACACACGAAGAGTACCTGGACTACCTGCTAAACCGCTTCTTTTTACTGGAGAAGGTAACAAGTATTGCCTGCTACTTCCAAATGTAATCGACATTTGACGTGATCTCCTTACGCATTGACATTTGTAGCATGCGAGCGTGACTCGGTATATCCTGACAACCTTCAACCATATACTACGCTTCGTTGGTCAAGCTGAAGAGTTTGTGTGCGCGGTCGACCGGAACGTGCACGCTTATTTTCCCAGTGGCCAGAATGAAGACTTGGACAAGCTGGAACCTACGATACGGATTCGTGAGGCATCACGGGTCCGAATACTTGACCACCCAGACTTTCGCATACTTTACTCCGGAATGATGCGGTGCTCAAGTGAGTTCAAGCGGCAATCACATATTTTAGTGGTGATGCTGACAGCTATGCAAAAGCACGGCGCGTCTCCTCACGTCAACGAAATCGTGACTCAGCTCAACTACAACTACTTCTACCACCAGCAAGAACAGACTCGAAAGCAGAGCCGACATTAGCAGCAAGTCCTACTCAACACGTTCACCGTATCCACCTTCGCAATCAATCAGGCGCAACGCTCTGGTGCCGGGGTTACGAGCTACAGAAAAAAGACCGGTACGAACGCATGTCTGGAAAGGGATAATAGACTGACGGACCTTGCAACAACGGTTTTGACAAGACTATTCCAGCGGTACATTCGTCGAGGACTTTATCTCGAGAAGTATCCGGTGGCGCTGGTAGGTAAAGCTTCGAAGGGAGATCTACCGAGTGCACGAGATGTACTCAAGTATACGTCTAGTATTGAACCAAGTCGTTTGCGTAACGACAGGCGTGTAAATTGGATAGGTATCACCCACCCGACCACGCTTTTGTGGATGCTTCGATAGCCCAGTGATTGACAGATTATCGTTAGTTAGTAAGCTCTTCTCCTGCTTTTGCCTCGTATCACAATCCAAGACCGACCGTCTTCAGTGTGGTCCACACTATCCTAGTGGCACTTCATCCCAGGTCAAGAAGAAAAAGAAGAAAAACGAGCCCTGCGACGTTTCTACCGACTTCCGTACCCATCGTTTCCCAGCAACCAATTGGCCCATGGATATCAAGCAGCACGCACGGGCCGCTCTCAGCAGCCGCAAGACGGACGGCAAGGGCCTGCGCGTGGCCATTGTGCACACGCAGTGGAACGCAGAGATCGTGAACTCGCTCGTGCTGGCCGCGCAGACGGAGCTCCGGAGCGCTGGCGTAGCTTTGGACGACGTGGTCATCGTCGCGGTCTCGGGCGCTTACGAGCTCCCGTATGCCGCGAATCGCCTCATTCTGTCGCAGAAACTGGACGCCGTGATCTGCATTGGCTGTCTCATAAAAGGGGACACGATGCACTTTGAGTACATCTGTGACGCCGTGGCGCAGGGCATCATGCGCGTGCAGCTGGACACGAACGTGCCCGTGCTCTTTGGTGTCTTGACGGTGCTCAATGAAGAGCAGGCGAGAGACCGCGCGGGACTCTCGGACAAGGGCCATAACCACGGGACTGAGTGGGCACAGACAGCTGTTGAGATGGCGCGTCTGCGCGAAGCCACGCTCAAGAGCGGCTGTCCGATGCGCGCTCCCGAACATTTGCCGTACGACAGCTTAAGCAACTGTCCGTTCTTTTCAGTCTCGACGTGGCTGCACGTCGCTACTCTTGGTGCAATTGGAGTTGTCATTGCTCTCGTCTCGAAGAAGCTCACGTAAACGACATTACGGCAGGAGGAGGGAGGAGAAATGGACGTGATGGACGAGTCATGTAGTAAGCAAGACGCACGTGCTGTGCTTTTGGCAGGACGTCAGCTGCATGTGAACGGTCTGGACACGGTGGGTTGAGGTCATGCTGTGTCTGGACTATGCGCTGCGCGCGTTGCCTGCTAGCTCGCAATGCTTTTGGATTCAGGGTTTGCAGGTCCGTGTTGCATGTGTCGCCACTGGAAAAAGGATCAGTAAATCGAGAGCTTTTCGTCTTCCGTGAATATTCTACTCGCAACGCTCGATTGTTGCTAACGTGTATGATGATGTAGCACGTCACCTAATGACGCCACACGTAGAGGAATGAACTTGAAAGGAAGATTGACTGTGTCAAGCAGGAGATGACGGACAGATGGTCCGATGTTCACCAAAACTACATTTGACGAAGAAGGCAGGCACTCGCTCTACGACCCGATTGTTGCTGAGTACCTGATTTCGCTACATGTTCAGGTAGGACATGCAGTCTCCTTCTTGTGGACTCGCACGGCTTCCAGTGTAACGAGCTGTTGCGCGTCGTGCTCGCCCATAACCCACCCGCTTTTGATCAGGTGCCTTTACAAGATTCGTTGCCGCTCCTTCAACTGCTTCAGCACTCAAGTGCTACAATCACGTTTGATACAATTTCTTCGTGAGCGTGGTGTAGTCCTTTCGGATGCTTTCCCTATGCACCTCTTCGACGCTTGTGCATAGTGGTTGGTCCCCGTTCTCAGCTGTAGCGCAAATGACGCTGGGCTCAATGACTAAAGCATCTCGGCCTTGTCGATCCATTTCGACAGCAAGATAGGGCTGCTCTGCGAATCCCTGCATCCCCTCAAAACTCCACAATGACGGTCAATGCATCACGTTCGAATAACATGATGGACGTGCTTTAGCAGCGTATGTATGTACGTATCCAACAGACGTCTACGGCCTGAAAGGATCAAGACTGATTAGTCAGTCACTTGTCGCTCTGGGTGCATGTCCGCATGTTGAAGCTACTCTCAGCCTCCGCTCCGATTGGGTGCCAAGCAATCTTACAGCGTCGACGTCGCCGTGTCATCCTCCGTGTCGATTCTATAAATTAATACAGCCTCCTATCTCATTCGCAACAATTTTGAGAAAAACCTCGTGTCATCCTCGCCCCCCACAACAAAACGAGCAGCCGTCAAAACTAATACTCCCGCCACCGATCGCCCACGTCAGCTCCTCTCGTTCGTCACTTTGCCTTTTGCGCGCTCTCGCACAAGCAGAAGAGGTTCCTGATAACAGAAGAGCCCTAAATCAGGCCATCAGGCCATCACCTTTCACCCAACCCGACCCACCATGTCCGAGCCGCTTCTGAGCAGCTCCCAGATCACCGCCTTGCGCGCCTCGGAGCTCGAGCAGTGGAAGACGCAGGAGAACGCCGCCGACCTCATGGTGCCGCTCATCGGTCGTCTCTACCGCGAGCACAACGTCGTGACCGTGCTCTTTGGCAAAGGCCTCGTGCACCAGAACAGCATCGAGCTCATGAAGCTCCACAGCTTCGTCTGCAAGTACGTGGGCAAGCGCCTGCAGCCAACCGACACGCTCGTGGTCCTCCAAGCGCTCGTGCAGTACGCGCCCAATGCGCGCGGCATGCGCATTGACCTCGGCCGTACGTTCGTCACGGTGGAAAGTCACGTGCGGGACGTGCACGCGCAGCGCGACCCTGCGGCACGCGACGTGCAGGTGCGCGCGATCGGCGAGCAGCTAAACGCTGCGATGGCGCCACTCGCGTCGGCCCCGATCTTCACGCCCAATGACGTGGTTCTCTACGGCTTTGGACGGATCGGTCGCCTCTTGGCGCGGCTGCTGATTGAGAAGAGCGGCCCGGGCGTGAAGCTCATGCTGCGCGCGATTGTCGTGCGCAAAGGCACGAAGGAGGATTTGATCAAGCGCGCGAGTCTGCTGCGGCGCGACTCGGTGCACGGTCCGTTCCATGGCAGTATCACGTTCCACGAGGACGCCAACGCCATTATCGCCAATGGCAACCTCATCCAGATCATCTACTCGGACGGACCGGACAAGTGTGACTATACCAAGTACGGGATCAATAACGCCGTGGTGATTGATAATACTGGACGCTGGCGCGACGCCGAGGCGCTGGGTCTGCACCTCCAGTCGCCTGGTGTGTCGAAAGTCATTCTGACGGCCCCTGCAAAGGCAACGTGCCCACGATTGTTGCGGGCGTGAACGGCCACATGATCTCGAGCACGGACAGGATCTTCTCGGCCGCGTCGTGCACGACCAATGCTATTGCGCCGACGTTGTTTGCTCTGGACAAGAAGTTTGGCATTGTGGGCGGCCACATTGAAACGGTGCACTCGTTCACGAACGATCAGAACTTGATTGACAATTACCATATGAAGGAGCGCCGTGGACGCAGTGCTGTACTTAACATGGTTATTACAGAGACGGGTGCAGCTGCTGCTGTGGTCCAGTGCCTTCCCCTCACTGCAGGGCAAGCTGACAGCCAATGCGATCCGTGTACCCACGCCCAACGTGTCGCTGGCTATTTTGAACGTACAGCTGGACCCAGTCAAGGCAGCAGGTATCACTAAGGGGAGCGTGAACACATTTATGCAAAGAGTATCGCTAGATTCGCCGCTGCAAAACCAGATTGATTTCGTCAACTCGGCTGAGGTCGCGTCGTCAGACTTTATCGGTAGCCGTGCTGCTGGGACCGTGGATGGCAAGGCTACGATCGTCGATGGCGCCAAGGTCATTCTCTACGTTTGGTACGACAACGAGTTTGGCTACAGCTGCCAGGTCATTCGTACTCTACAGCGCCTCGTCGGCATCAACCATACGTGTTTCCCGGCAAAGGAGCAAGCCGAAGAGGTTGACAGCGCTCTTCACCTTACCTGGGACATCTAGATTTGTTCAAGAGCTGGGTGTGTAGACTGGCAAGGTTGACGACGAGAGAAGTGCGCGTGTCTTTGCATTGGTTTGCGAGTACTTCAAGAAGACTATTTCCAGCTAAGCGAGTCGTCCGTTCTAGTTCACGCATGGTATCGCCAGCGATGGTTCGAATGCGCGGGTACGCATTGTAAAATCTAAACACTGTGATACACTATGGTGTGCGGAAATGTTCTGATGCACGATATCAACGTTTGAGTGATTTGATCGATGTCCAGCAGAGAGCAGATGAACAATTGTCTTGCACGGCGAAACAGGCAACTCTGCTTGCTGTTATAGCGTCCAGAGAATAGAGTTTGCCAGTGGCCTCGTCTGTTCCAAACTCTAAACGCGAGCTGTTGCTGTCGAAGGGTACTAGAAGCTCATTCGAAGTACTAGTTGGATCCATGATCTGTAATGGGCGCTACAGGCTCCGCACCAGTACGTCAAGGGTCTCTACTTCTCTGCAAACCGTCTGTAGGCTACACACGCACATGGCAAACGGGGCAGCTGTTTGAGGAGCGAGCAGAAAAGAGCTTGGAACGGAGAGCTGCTACCCTGCGCCAGACTGGAACGTAATTACAGCATCTGTTTACAGAATAATGGGCTACTGACTACCGGTGCTCCGGCAGTTCCTGCACTTCCGCATCGTACACGAATCGAAGGACCACTTGTCGCTGCTGATCGTGTTTGTATTACCAAGGAAGGTATTGACAGGGCGCTGCGTACAAAGTCGTTCAATACCGATGCAGGCTTGCGTCTTCCAAAGCACTCGAAGAATCACAGGAAGTCGAGCCATCCACGCAGGGGAACAAGACTCTTCGGGTGATAATTATTACACATTGACAAGACACACGTCCCCGAGTTGAAAATGCTGTTGACACAGCCACCGAGTCAACTGAAGATCCGCGTGACGCTGCAGACGACGATCCATGGCACAATAATGAATGGGATGCTAAGACGTGACTGACTCCGGATAGTTGCAGTTGAAGCAGCAACCTGGTACAGTCCGGGAGCACTGACCGATGAAAGCCATTGAGCAGGCTGCATTTTTCATAAACAAGTCTCGATACAGCTCCTCGGGTGGATGTCGGCGCGGATAAACGCCGAGCTACTCATACCACTGCAAAGAAGAAGTCGACAACAGCGAGTGAGTAAATCCGTCGCGACTCAAACCAACATCGATGCTAACGGACACGAAACTCACCTTGTCGGAATTTGCCACGGGCTCATACGTCTTGTGTGACGAACCAAGCTTTTGACGCACCATGCTTCTCAGCTCAATCACCTTTGCATCGTCGTGGAAGTGGACCTTTTTCCTTTCACGTGCACCAACTACAGGTGCGCGGTACGTCCTCAGCAGCAGCGACGAGATCACGACCGATACCGACGAGAAAGCCATCGCAAATCCAGCACATGCAGGTGGCATCATTTGGTGGATCAGTGGGAAGAACATACCAGCAGCCAGCGGAATGCCAACAAGGTTGTACACGACCGAAAAGAAAAAGTTCAACTTGATGCGCGAAAACACCACACGAGCCAAATCCAGCGCCACCACCACGTCGGTGAGCGCACTCTTCACCAGTACCATGTCAGCCTCGGCCTTGGCAATCTGCGTACCGGCACCAATTGCCATACCGACGTCTGACTGCGCGAGTGCTGGAGCGTCATTGATGCCATCACCAACCATGCACACGACGCGCGGCTTCAGTGTTATCGGGTTCACTTGCGACTGCAATGCCTTGATCTGGGACGCCTTCTCACCGGGTAGAGCCACCGCCTTGACGTGGTTGATGCCCATCTGCCGCGCAATTGCACTGGCTGTGCGAAGGTTGTCACCCGTGATTAACCACACATCCAAGCCCATGGACTTCAGATGCTTCATGACGGCGGCTGCTTCAGGTCGAGGAGCGTCCGCCAACGCGATCAAGCCCACGAGCTTCTTTGCCACACACACGACCACCACGGTCTTGCTCTCAAGCTCCAACTCGTGCATGTGAGCACGTATCTTGTCGTTAATCTTAATGCCTTTCTCCTCGCAGTACTCCGAGTTGCCAACCAACACGTTCACGGGGGTGTCGCGAGACGTGACCGCACTAGCTGCGACTGTGCCTTCAATTCCACGTCCACACACCACGTGCACGTCGCTCGGATCGTGCAGTTCCAGCTTCTCCTGCTCGGTTGCTGTCATCACGATAGCCTTGCCAAGAACGTGCTCACTCACGCACTCGAGCGACGCGCTGTAATAAAGGAGTTCACGTGGCGTATACGCGCTGTCAGCGACCACTACATCGCGCACGGACGGACGGCCGACGGTCAGCGTGCCAGTCTTGTCGAACACGATCGTGTCGATGTAGCGCGCAGTCTCAAGTGCACGTCCTCCTTTGATCAAGACGCCCTGCTTGGCGCCAACACCGCAGCCAACCATAACAGCCGTGGGTGTAGCTAGCCCCAACGCACACGGGCACGCAATGACGACGACGGAGATCGCAAACAGGACTGCCACGAAGAAATCGTTACCATGGCCGGTGCCTATTGATACACCCAAGTCAAGCTTCCATTGCAAAGGAACAACATCCATCGAGAGCAGCACCATCCAGCTTGCGAATGTCACTATCGACAATCCGAGGACGCACGGGGCAAAGATTGAGGCCAACCAGTCTGCGTACGCCTGGATCGGAGCTTTGTTCAGCTGCGCGTCCTCGATCAAAGCACAGATTTGCGACAACGCCGAACTCTCGCCGCCCATGCAGCTCGACTCGATTACCAACCCACCCTGCTGGTTCGTCGTCGAACCAAACACGTAGTCACCCTCCTTCTTAGCCACCGGCATACTCTCTCCAGTCAGCATCGACTCATCGATTGAGCTCGACCCTAACTTCACCACACCATCCGTCGGGATGTTCGCACCAGGAAGAATGCGTAGCAGGTCTCCGCGCTGCACAAGCTCGATCGGGATCTCACGATCACGCTTGCCCTCACTGATCAGCAACGCCATCTTCGGCTGCAAACTGGCCAGTTCCGATAATGCATCAGCTGTTTTGCCCTTTGCTATCGACTCCATGTACTTCCCCAGCGTCACAAATGTCAGCAACATCGTCGAGGACTCGAAAAAGTGGCGGCCGTGGTAGTGCTCGCTCAGTGTCGACCCGATGAGTGACACGAAACTGTAAGTGTACGACATGGTCGTGCCTGACACGACGAGGAAGTCCATGCCCATGACGCCGTGCTGCAGACCCTTCCACGCTGCGACGTAGAACCGCCAGCCCACACCAAACTGCACGGGCGTCGCCAGCACGAACAACAGCAGCATCTTGATCGACACGGCGTTGAACACGGGTGTCATGAGGACCATCTCCACTGCAGGGATGTACATGAGCACCATGTGGATGAGCATGGCCGGCAACGCGAAGATCATGGCCGTCGTCAGCAGCCTGCGCCACTTTTCCACTTCCGACTTGCTCAGCGCGTTCTGGTCCGTCGTCTTGACCGCCACGTCGGCTGCATAGCCCAGACTGGTGATGCACTCCAGCACGTCACGTGGCCCCGTCGTGGACAGCTGCTTCAGGTGCACGTGTGCTTTGTTCGTAAGCAGATCGACCAGTACCTTGGTCACTCCTGGCAGGTCGCCCACAGCCGACTCGATCCTGTCCACACACGCCGCGGAGCTCATGCCCGTGACGGCGAACTGGAGCTCGAGCGAGTCCGCGTCGCCCGGCTCCACCACGTGCGAGAACGTGGCGTTGTAGCCGGCGTCCTGGATGAGCGTCTGGATCACGCGCTCTCCGTCCTCGATCAAGTCACGATCAAAGGACACCTCGGCCTTCTGACTTATGAGTCCCACACGACAGTACAACACGCCCGCCGTCTTGCTCAGATGGTCCTCAATGGCCTTGACACACGCTGCACAGCTCATGCCTTCGACGTGAAACACAGCGCGTGGATGGCCAGCCGCGTCTGGCACGTCAAGCGCCACGTCCTCCATCTCCGCTTGCAGCTGCTTGTCCTTCTGAGCTTGCAGCTTGACGGCTGCAGCCTTGGCAGCGTCATAGACACTGGCGTCAAAGCCCACACACTCCACCACGTCCACGAGGTCGTCCAAGGTCGGGCCACTGCCTGCGTGTTGCAGTGTCACGGTGGCTTTGCGGTCGGCAAAACTCACGACGGCGCTGGCCACGCCATCGACGCTTCGCAGCGCGTTCTCGACCGTCGAGCCGCAGTTCTTCTGGCACATCATGCCTTGCACCAGCAGCTCCAGCGTCAGGGGGTCACGCATTGTTGTCCTTGTGTGGAGTGTCTCGGGATGATCGTCAACGGTCATTGATGGGTATTGGAGTGAGACTCAGTGACTGACTGACTGACTGACTGACGCCTGGCTCACGCGCTCGATTGCCTCGAAAGGGGCAAATTCAGTTATGAGGGAGGGAGTGAGGGACTAATCGCTCAGGGGTTGGGTCTTTTTTGGCTGTAGCGGTGGGTAGGTGGGACTATCCACTTTGAGTATGGAGTGGAGACGACACCTTCCGTTGATTGAACCGGATGGTCCGGTGTGTGTATTTTTAGAGGCGCTACTGGGCGGTTTCGGGTTTCTCTGCGGGTAGAAATGAGGGCGACTGACGCCACGAGACTCGGACGTGAACAAGTGGAGGCATGTGTGTGTTTGTGTTTGTGTGTGTGTGTGTGTACGCGGGTGTTTTCTCCATCTTGTTCCCTCTAAGGCTGTTCTTTTGGCTCGTTCGAGTCTCTCCTTAGCTGATCAACCCGTTTTGATTGATCGGAAGGTATTATTGCAATGAGAAGTGGAAAGGTTCGGATGGAGCAGTGCGAGCTCCGTGCGCTAGGCGTGAATGGGTACAGTCTCAGTCGCACTTCGACTACTGAAACAAAGTAGCCATGATAGATCGGTTGGCACCGCACCGAGTTGTCAGTTTCAGTCACAATTTTACTTTTTGACTGCTGAAGGCGTGACCGGTTACGACGGGCTGGATGGACGTAAGATAAGTATGGCAGACTCAGACGCATCGATACGCCTAATTAGGACCAGTAACTGACCAGAGCCCTCGTGTCGGAAGAAAGTGTTTAGTTCCTACATTCGACTGGCCTTTTCTGCGCCCAAATCAGTTTGTAGAAAGCACTTTTACGAGGCAATGCTACTTTTCTCATGGAAATGCAGCTTTTTTGGAGATTCCTAAAGCCGTAAACCGGAGACATTGCTGTCGTCAATCGAGCTTCGAGCGTTAACCATGTGTGATACGTCTTCCAAGCATTCAGGAAAGGGAAAAAAGGGCGACAAAACGCCGGATAGGATGGACGTGGGCTCTGCGGACGTAATCTGGCAAGCGCGCGTTTCTATCGTTGCCGAGACACTAAAGTTCGGCCGAGTTTGGCGTAAACATTGCTGACACATGCTTGCAGTAGCGCACTTTCTGCTGGTGCCAGTAAAAGAGGGTACTTGCAGGACAATTCTCACGTACGTGTAGTCTTATGACGGCATGTGCTCGCCAGGTGGACACAAGCGATTGTCTGTTCTTTTTCCATTACGATTGCCCGATGCGTGTTACCAAACTGTTTGTACCGTGTCGTGACGATCGCGAACGCGCTTTTGCGGTAGTTACACGTCCGCAGATGCCAACGTGTCTCACGACTGAAGAATGGCTGCGCTGTGTGGCCTCACCGATCACGAAAAGTCTTGTGGTGTTGGCCTCGGACGTCAAAAGATAGGTGACTTGCACGCACTACCCGTAAACAAGTAGGTGCGGATAATGGTCGAACGTCGGCGGCCATTTATTAGCTGCGCCAGCTATTTACTTTACAATGATGGCATGCTCGCGCTGCCGTCTTCCTCCTATCGAACTGGCGGTCCTGTTTGTTCGACACAGATGTCTCTCTCCGTCATCCCAGCACTTGCCGAGGTCCAAACTATCTCAAGCGCAGCGACCGGAGGGTTCGGCACACGTCTACGCCCAGTGCTGGTTTCTTGACCCAGCTTCTCGGTACCGCGTTGGTGACTGCAGCGATGTCCAAATCGCTTCTGAAGCGCCACGTTTGTCCGCAGTCAGTAGGTTTCAAGGAACGTGGCGACTTAGCACACCACTTCTACGCGGCCGTAGCTACAAGCTGTAATTGCCATAATCATAGCCCGATCGAGCATCTTTTTCAGTGCAGCTCGGTGCGGTGCGCGTGCTACTGCTCTACCTTTGACTGCTCTACAGTTGCGTCTGGAAAGCGCATTGCCCACTTCGTATCGATTTACACATGCACACGTCACCGGACCTCTGTAGACGCCAAAGATGGCCACCAACAGTTGTCAATGCGTAGCCATCGGCTGCAATGAGTACTGGACACTTTCTTCCGTACGTGCGAGTTAACGCTTCGACTGGAGCCAAACACTGAGACAAATACGTGAAGCAATAGCGACACACATCAATGCATCGTGTATCCGACCCAGATGGATAGCAGTCGCCTCCATGCTTTAAACCGTTTTTCATCAAAGAGCCCTCCACAAGCCAACAACCTGTCGCGCACACGCACTCAAGCTACGCCACACCGTCGCTGCATTTTCTGGACCGCCAGAGCTTTGGACTACTGCCTCAAATCGCGGGATGCTTTCGACAGGAGCAATAAATTTGGAGCCGCTTTTTCTCTTCCTCTTCGTGGCATTTTCTCTACGAAGTTCAGGTTCAAACGCTCATCTTCCAGTCTGCCAGTCACAAAATTCTCGGGGTACAATGCGACTTGTTGTCGCGTTGTCGTCGTCTCCAGCAGCGTCGTGATTGGTCTGCTCAACCTCCCACGTCTTCAACATCCCACGTCTTCACTGAATGAGCTTGTCACGATTGCACGACGCACATCCACCGCTGTCGCCTCTTGTCCCTATCGCACACGGACAGGCCAGCAAAGTCCGATCAGATCAAGAAGTTAGAAAGGGCAAGCGACGGTACCTTCGCGTCACCGCATTTTTGCTCCCGAACACCCGGTCAAGATCTCTCGAAGCGAGTCGCCAGCTGTTTTCCTCGCACCTTCGCACCTGATCGGGCCATGCGAAAAACAGCTCCTCATCGTTTCAGCGAAACCAGCTGTCTGGACGGAACGGCGTCGCCCACCACGTCAAGATCATCCTTCCTATACTGAAGCCGAAAGAGCACTTCCGCTCGAGAGCCGAGACGGTGCTCGAACGGAAGACCACTTGCCATCCGCTCGTAGTTCATTTTTCAATTGTCGCCGTCCTGAGCATTCCAAGCCAATCGAAAGCAGCCAACGATGGTGGCGTCTGCTTCTCACTCTGACGTGCTCGAGCTCGCGGTGGAAGGCATGAGGTGCATGAGGAACTGCGGGACCAAAGTCCAGAAAGCGCTTCGCAGCGTCGACGGCGTGGCGTCTGCAGTCGTTAACTTCAAAGAGCGGAGCGCTCGTGTCGTGTGCGTCTCGGGGGTTCAAGTGGCAGCACGTGATTTGGTGGACGCCGTCGAGAACGTTGGCTTCAAAGCAGCACTCAAGGCACGAGCTGGGCATGAAGAGTCCAGGACAACAACGCGTGACCCCCTGACGCTCGAGCTGCTGGTGCAAGGCATGATGTGCCAGAAGAACTGCGGCTCGACGGTCGAGAACGCGCTGCGAAGCGTCGATGGCGTGGCCAGCGTCGTCGTGAGTTTTGCTGACCGCAAAGCCACCGTGACACTGCAACACGCAGGCAGTGGCCCGACCTTGGACGACCTCGTGGACGTGGTGGAGTGTGTGGGCTTTGACGCCAGTGTCTATGACGCTGCCAAGGCTGCAGCCGTCAAGCTGCAAGCTCAGAAGGACAAGCAGCTGCAAGCGGAGATGGAGGACGTGGCGCTTGACGTACCAGACGCGACCGGCCACCCGCGCGCCGTGTTCCACGTGGAAGGCATGAGCTGTGCTGCATGTGTGAAAGCCATTGAGGACTATCTGGGTAAGACAGAGGGTGTACTGTACTGTCGTGTGGGACTCATAAGTCAGAAGGCCGAGGTGTCCTTTGATCGTGACTTGATCGAGGACGGAGAGCGCGTGATCCAGACGCTCATTCAGGACGCCGGCTACAAGGCGACTTTCTCGCACGTGGTAGAGCCGGGCGACGACGACTCGCTCAAGCTCAAGTTTACAGTCATGAGCATGAGCTGCACTGCGTGTGTGGACAGGATCGAGTCGGCTGTGGGCGACCTGCCAGGAGTGACCAAGGTACTGGTCGGTCTGCTTACGAACAAGGCGCACGTGCATCTAAAGCAGTTGTCCAAGACAGGTCCACGCGACGTGCTGGAGTGCATCAACAGTCTCGGCTATGCAGCCGACGTGGCGGTCAAGACGACGGACCAGAACGCGCTGAGCAAGTCGGAGGTGGAGAAGTGGCGCAAGTTGCTAACGACGGCCATGATCTTTTCATTGCCGGCTATGCTGATCCACATGGTGCTTATGTATATTCCTGCTGTGGAGATGGTTCTCATGACACCCGTGTTCAACGCCGTGTCGATCAAGATGCTGCTGTTGTTCGTGCTGGCGACGCCCGTGCAGTTTGGTGTGGGCTGGCGGTTCTACGTCGCAGCGTGGAAGGGTCTGCAGCACGGCGTCATGGGCATGGACTTCCTCGTCGTGTCAGGCACTACCATGTCGTACACTTACAGTTTCGTGTCGCTCATCGGGTCGACAGTGAGCGAGCACTACCACGGCCGCCACTTTTTCGAGTCATCGGCGATGCTGCTGACGTTTGTGACGCTTGGCAAGTACATGGAGTCGATGGCCAAAGGCAAGACAGCCGACGCTCTATCTGAGCTCGCGAGTTTGCAGCCAAAGACTGCGTTGCTCATCAAGGAGGGCGAGCGTGATCGCGAGATCCCGATCGAGCTCGTGCAGCGTGGAGACTTGCTCCGGATTCTTCCGGGCGCGAACATCCCAACGGACGGTGTGGTCAAGTCTGGCTCGAGTTCAACTGACGAGTCGATGCTGACGGGCGAGAGCATGCCGGTGGCCAAGAAAGAAGGCGATCATGTGTTTGGATCGACCGTGAACCAGCAGGGCGCGTTGGTCATCAAGTCGAGCTGCATGGGCGGCGAGAGTTCGGCGTTGTCGCAAATCTGTGCTTTGATCGAGGACGCGCAGCTGAACAAAGCTCCGATCCAGGCGTACGCAGACTGGTTGGCCTCGATCTTTGCCCCGTGCGTCCTCGGGTTGTCGCTCATGACGTTCATCGCGTGGATCACTCTTCTTCGTTTGCGGCTCGTTCCAATGGAGTGGAGGGTCGGTCTTGGAGTCGAGACGTTGAGCGATCGCTCGGAAGACTTGTACGTGGCAGTTCTGTATGCGATCTCGGTCGTCGTCATTGCGTGCCCGTGTGCGTTGGGGCTAGCTACACCCACGGCCGTCATGGTTGGTTGTGGTATTGGGGCCAAGCAGGGTGTCCTCATCAAAGGTGGGCGCGCACTTGAAACGGCTCGCTTCATCGACACGATTGTGTTCGACAAGACTGGTACGCTGACCGTCGGCCGTCCGTCCGTGCGCGATGTAGTGGTGGCTGACCGCAAGTACACGCCGCGTGAACTTTTATACTACAGTGCATCTCTTGAGTGTGTAAGTGAGCACGTTCTTGGCAAGGCTATCGTGATGACAGCAACCGAGCAGGAGAAGCTGGAACTGCACGATCCGAGCGACGTGCACGTGGTGTGTGGACGTGGAATTGAAGGCACAGTCGCAGCTAGTGCGGTCACGTCTCGCGACACTCCCGTGAACGTGTTGGTTGGCAACTCGGAGTACTGCGAGGCGAAAGGCATTGAGATCAGCGACAAGATGCGTGCTCACATGCACGAGCTGGAGCTGGAGGGCAAGACCGTGGTAGTCGTGTGTGTGGCAAAGAAGCTCGTGGGCTTGATCGCGTTGGCGGACGCTCCTCGACCTGAAGCAGCCGCTGTCGTGAAGCACCTGAAGTCCATGGGTCTCGATGTGTGGCTGATCACGGGTGACAACCTTCGCACAGCCAGTGTGGTCGCGCGCCAGCTGGGTATCAACCACGTGAAGGCAGTTGCTCTACCTGGTGAAAAGGCGTCTCAGATCAAGGCGCTGCAGTCGCAAGTGAACCCGCTGACACTGAAGCCACGCGTGGTTTGTATGGTTGGTGATGGTATCAATGATGCGCCGGCGCTGGCGCAGTCGGACATTGGTATGGCCATCGGTGCCGGCACACAAATCGCCAAGGCTGAGGCCGACATGGTACTGGTGAAAAGTGCGCTGACGGATGTAGTGGTGGCGCTGGATTTGGCTCGTGTGGTGTTCTCTCGTATCAAGTTGAACTTTTTCTTTTCGGTCGTGTACAACCTTGTTGGCATTCCGCTGGCTGCTGGTATGTTCTTCCCACTGATCCACCAAATGATGCCACCTGCGTGCGCTGGGCTCGCGATGGCTTTCTCGTCGGTATCGGTCGTGATCTCGTCGCTGCTGCTGAAGACATACAAACCACCGCAGCTTGTTCAAGCGAAGGTGCAAAAGGTGCATTTTGAAGAGGATGCCCAGGTCGTGGACCTCAAGAACCTTGTACGGTTGAAGGTCAACAACGTGGGGTATGCTCCGTTGACGAACCGTGGACCCGTCGAACGCGCGTACAAGGTTATTGCACAGTGAGTGTGATGAGTGATCGATCCCCTATCGCTGGGAGCTCTTGTTAGTACCATTAGTTGCGTGTTTGTGTGCCAGCTACGAAGTATCTTGTCAATAAATTGTTTATCTAGTACGTACACGACGCGATGTATGGGGTTTGGTGGTCAAGTGACGAGTTTAGCTGCACAGAGGGACAACAGCAAGTCAAAAAACACATGAACGGCTGTACACTGTTGTGCATCGCGATTATTCAAGTTTACCTCGGCTACTTGACACCAACTGAAGGAGTGCGTCGTTGCGAAACAAGGGTGTGAACGAGTGGCAGCGCATCAGTGTGGCAAGATTACCAACATTGACTGAAAAGAAGACGAGACCAGCCACCCAAAGAGGAAAGAACGTGTTGATGCCTTGCATCTCCAACTGATACGCCCAGAACAACCAGTGAAGCTGAAAAGTAGCACAACACGTACTGTCAGTACAGTTCCTCGAGCAATGTAGTACATCCTGTTGCATCCCTTACCTCGCTTCCAAGCCACGCTGCAATCATCGCCATGCCCTTCCACTTGAACCTCAAGCTTGTCTGCGGGAATACGAGAGGTAGGAAGGCGATGTACCACAAGAAGTACTGCGTCAAAACATGAATACGTCAGTATAGTTCCATGTGATTATGCTTTACGCACAAACAAAGTTTTGCGTACCTGTGCCGTGCACACCTTGTTGAATATGACGAAGACCATGGTCAGCGCAAATAGCGCGAAGGGTAAGTCGCGACCATATGCAGACGATATCACGACGAGTGACGTCAGCTGAGGTAGGAAAGCAAGAAGGCCGACTCCAAAGCCCGACGGAGTGTTGTACCGGAGATAAAGACTGTAGAAGTACAGCGAGAAGTTGTGGCGGTTGTCGGTGCGCGTGAAATGGTAAAGATAAGCTTCATGCAGACACTGGTATCCGTAGCTAGATCATGGTTGACAAGCAGACACGATTGTTAGAAAGCCAAATACAGCTGAGTCACAAAAGCCATGGAGTGTAATGCGCACAGATAATAGCACCCGGCTGCAAGAAAGAGGAACAGTCCACCGCTGACGAGACCGAAAGTCAAGCGGCCACGATTCAGCTGCAGTATGCAAAGACGGAGCAACGGGTTGCCCGATGAAGCCAGCTCGACATGTTTTACTGCTGTAAAGTCACCATTGAGAAACTAGCCGAAAATGTAAAATGAGCATCAACACGTCGTCAATCATCACTCACGGTCTTCCCACACAAAAAACCAAACGCAAGCACCTACCACAAGGAAAGCCAGAGCATAGACGATAGGGAAGATCTTAAAGTGGACGGCAGCACCATATCTAGCCATCCGCAGCACATCAAAAGTGAGACTCAGAAGCAGTTGTAAGGAGAAGGAGGAACAAAAACAAAACACACGCAATAGCTGACAGCACGACTTGCTTGCGCATGATCAGCAGCAACGACAGCAGCACCAGAAGCACGACAATAGAGTCCGCATTACCTCGCGTCGAGATATTTATCGAGAACGGGTGAAAGAGCCACACGCTACATCGTCACCAAAGCCACAAGCCCAGCATCAGCACTTGTTATGAAAAAGTGACGCTCATTTATTGCTGGCACTTCCTACCAGCAGTAATTAACAGCGTCTATTGTTCCCGCACCATGCAAACACATGTCACATCCTGAGTGCATCAACATCAGAACCTCCTAACCGCTTCTTGCTCCTCACCTGTATCTGGTAGTCCTCTGAGTCGTAAGATTCGGTACAAAACATATCCGACGAGCAGGTCGCAGCCCACAAATAGCACCTTTCCGAATACTTGATGCACGTAAATGTTTGGTAGTAGCAAAAAAGCTCTATAATTCCAAAAAAACGACAATAAAGGATCAGGCGCAAATACACAGAAGTTCTGACCCTATAAATTTGAAGACCCAAAACTTACAGCACTGGAGTATACCGATACGTCGTGCGCTCAAAAGGCGAATGACCATCCGTGATCTCCCGGGCTGCGTCAGTGTACACGTCGTAGTCTACGTCCGTATACTTGACACCCATATACAGATCCTGGAAATGACCGTAGAGAAGTAGCGCGAACCGCACCGCGAATGCACTGCTGAAGAGCGCGAGTGTCCTTCGAGACATTGCCATGGTGGTCGTGGACAAACTACACCCGGTACTCTACTGTTACACTTGCTTGTACTATGCTATCGCTCTCTCCTGCGGGCGAGCTGTTAAAAAAAACACACACACGATACTATGAGTTTTGCCAGTCTAACTAGCCCCGGATCAAATAATGAGTACCCACTCGATTCTACAGTTTACAACTCAGTTTCCAACTCACGCGCAAAAATATATCAAGTTTGGCAGGCGTCCACTCGCGTTTGCGTGATTTGTACCACCACTAATTAGCAAAGCGGGTGCAGCGTTCAGGAATACCGCGCCTTCATTTGCTATCTAGACTGACAATTTCCTTGGATGTACGCTCCATCATGGCTTTCCAGGCATGCACCGAGTGAGCTGGTAGTAGCCGAGCCGTGTTGGTCACAGCAACTCTATTGGGTTGGTTGTAGGTTGCCACGGAGTTTGTGGGTTCGGTCACTACTTTGCTCAGCACATGCAGGAGTTTAGCAAGGCTAACCCATGCATGAGCTGTAGAGGCATCGATTGCAGATGCTTCAGAGTATCTTATCGGTCAAAACGACTGACTGAAGCTTTGATTTGATCACTTTACAATGCGGCCAGAGAACTCAAGGAAGTCTCCGGGAAACAACACACCTTTACATGAGGTCGCAAGCACTGCGGCGGCAAGGGGAGAGAGGGCTACACTCACCCCTATTTTGTCGGATGCTAATGAAGCACAACACTGCAGTGCGACCGTCTCATAAATACCTGATGATCTAACACTATAACTTAAGAATCCATTCCACTTGGATAGTCTGAGGGGAGACATGAAAGCACCAAACTGTTCATCGGGACGCTTTGTAGGACATCAGGTAAGTGTGGACAATGTCATACAGCGTTATACGCTCTTCCTGCAGTCTACCACCTGCCTGTCTAGAGTTTCGACTTCTAGCATAGCAAAGTTGTGCCTCAGTTGGAAACTCGCGCGATCACAATTGTATTGACGCCTCCGTTGGCATGTTCGAACACCTCAACCTCACTAATTTCGCTTCTAAGATGACATCTACCATAGAATCTTGGCACAAAAAGAAAGATCGGGGAGCAATCGCGCCCCTTAATAAAAGTAGTTCAGTTCGGAGAATTGAATCAAGTCGCAAAGCGCTATACAACATCAGACACTGAAGAATGAGGATAATGCTGTAATTTGTCAGTATGAACACGGTACAGTATCTATGGCAAGGCGACGCGATCGGTCTGTGCTTACGAGCGTCAAGCATTTGATTTTGTTTGCCGAAGCATTAGAAAGCTGTACGCAGTTGCATGCCTTTTTCTGATCGAAACACCGCACTTCAACAAATGTGGAGGATGTGATAATATGGACGGCAGCCTGCGGATCCAGCGTATGCAATGCTCTGATCGATAAGAACCGGTACAGTTGGACGGCAGCGTAGCGAAAGGGGATGGGGTAGACCGAGTCACACCCCTTGTCTGTCGTTCCGTTGCACCTGAGCATTGGGCAGCTACTGATTAGAGCGATTTCGAACTTTAGTCGCTATGGTTTACAGACCGTTTACAGACTATCAGCAGTCGTGACTCGTTTGCTATTTCGCCTAGTGTAGTGGATCGATAATCAGAATAGCTTGTGTTACTCCCGTGAACTTCACGAGTAGCCGCTTCGTGTTGAAGTGAACACTGTAAGGTGATTACTGGCAGTGGAAAAGAAGTTTGGCTGTATCCTTGACTCCATCCAGCTGTCGGTAATAAAGAAACCGCCAGCCGTCTTAACTACGCTGATGACAACACTGTTGAAGAAGGGCCAGTGACCTGTTCGGAACTTGTGAAACACAAGGGCATAGTCACCTCTGTGAAAGGCCGACGGATGCGCGACCTTATGATCAGAATCTTTTTCATTGATATGGGAACGTCGAAGTAGCAACATCTTGGCCGCGATCGGTGCCATTTGCACCATCGACATCGACCGATCTGGCATCAATGACAAGCGAAAGATGGTTCGGAATAAGAACAGTGTTCTTCCGTCCGAAGTATGCGTTTAGATCTTGGTTGGAGCTCTTAGTACCACCTAAAAAAGCAACGCCACGCAAATCGGCGCAGACGCCGATGTGGCTGGTAAAAAGAATACACAGGTCTACTGTGTTTGGAATTGCACGTCTCCGCCTGTTTTTTCATGGAGTTTAAATGATGCTACTACACCGTGGTGTTGATTGCAGTGTCAAGTTTACTGTTCCAGCTGTGTGTGACAGAAGCAAACGTCTGACCGCTGAATCAATCGTTCTTTTGCTCACGCATGGCCAAGTGTACATCGCCAACGACGATTAAGCAACAATGAGTGGTGATGCTATTGCTGGTTTACTGTTCTGGAATGTGTGTGCCCCTGTGCTGTTGAAGAAACGACAAAGATCGGCTTGCTTACGCGTGTTCTGAGGCTTCACAGCGCTAGCTTACAATCGAGCAGCTAGCTTTCTCTAGCATTACAGACACAGCAGTAAATTTCAGTAAGAAGCTCAACTCGTACCCGGTTTCAGCAGACAGGTGGAGCTATCAATGACGGTTTCGATCAAGTCTTAACTTATCACGGGCGGTGCCTACGGCGAAATAGGTTGCCTAAGAATATGACAACACCTTTGAAGTTTTTGGCACAGTACACTCAGACCGGAAACCTGCACCAAATTACCTAGTTTTCGAACCATCGACAGTATCCGATATGATGGCCAAGGCCTCCGTCAGGTTCGCGCGCGACGCGTCGAGAACTCTGCAAAAGAATGCACATATTTTGTTACATGTCGAGAAATGCGTCTGGCATTACATGTGTTGCGAGATGATCTTTCGTCCTACAAATTTGCTCTCATCAAACCGTAGGACGGGCATACTGCGTTGCAGTGTGATAAAAATGTGTACACTTTCAGCTTTCTATTCGTTAAGGTTAGCAAGGACGCTGTCTACAAACAACGCACCAAACTCCGCCATAATGTCGTGTGTGTCTGTAGACACTATTGCGACGGCAGATGGTTCGCGATCAGGCACATCCTCGAGAATTTTGCGTACCCCTTCCAGTGTCTTCTTTTCTTTCACCCACTGAGCAGCCAGATCTTTTTCAAACTCTTCGGCATATTTGTTGTGTTTCACCATCGCCTCCTGCCTCAATCCGATGTTGATATCGCCATACCTAGCACGTAGATACGATGCCGAACATTCACCTCCTGCCTTTTTCCCCTGGATAATCGCCCTTACGACATTGACGTCGCCACCAAGCTCACGCCTTAGATATGTGAGCACTATCAAAAATACATCAGAGGTTTGCCCTTCTGTCAGTTCAACGTACTGGAAAAACGTATCCAGGCTCTCGTATGTGATGCCTCTCGAACCTAACGAGCTAAGCTCAAGCATAATAGCAACCTGATCGATGGATAACCTAGCCCATTGCCAGGTCTCTAGCAGCACCTTCCGAGCCTGCGCCGCTAGGTTTCCAGTAATAGGGCTTTGTCGCGCGACCGACAAAAAGGATGCATATCGGGCTGCACCGCCAAAGCCTCTCAATAGCGTACCCTGATCGGGTAAGCTGTTTTCCACTCGGCATTGAACTCGTCAAGATAGACAGACAACGCATGCACGTCCGCGAAGGAAAAATGTTCAAAGAACCCGTGTTTATCCAGGACCTCGAGGAGCTCGCTTGGCGGTTGGTCCTGCATCCACTCCACAATCTTGTTCTTCATAGTTTCAAGCCTTTCGGCAAAATACTGTTTTTTAGAGACTTGAATGATTTTTTCTAAAGGTTCCGCCGCAAGCTCTGAACTCTCTCCAGGAAATGTCACATCCTTATCCGCATCATGCACCTTTAGTAGATTTTCCGCGCGCTTCAAAAGTTCCTCGTCTGCTGTTATCACTGCCCTCTGACCTGCTGGAGTGAGCACGTTCTTGCTGGTGCGATACAAATCGAACAAAACGTTTTTCAGCACACCGCATAGCAAGGCGGGTGCGCCTCCCCCTGTCATTCTATCTTCATTAAGTGTGGTATTGTGTGTTCTCGACACGTTATTTGCTGGAGCGTCCGAGAGGTCAGCGACAGAGAGAGGATCATTGTCCATCATGTTGACACCTTTCATCAAAGGGCGGGCAATTTCTGCTGCACCCGTAATGTGTGTCACAACTGCAATAGAAGCAAGGAACTCGAACGAGCGGAAGGGCATCTTCATTGGCAGGCGGAGCTGTTGGTTTGGAGACAAAATATTAAATTTTAAATAGGTGAACCATTCGGCTGAATAACAGGCTGAGGCCGTCCATAATTTTTTTTATACCGAATGTTACTATGTGACTATTTTCTACTTAAACTATGACATTAAAAAGGATATTTTTATGATGTTAACACAGTGAAAAATAATCGGTTGCTGTTGGCAACACTATGCTCACGAATTGAAACAGGTCATGATGACAAATAATAAGGCCACGCAACGACAGACTTGTGTAAATGTTTGGTGACCAGTGATCCATTATTTTCATTTATACTATCATTTTGAATGCGACACTCGAAATTGCCTTTTTCAATGACCTTGACAAAAGTGACAGCATTTTCTTATGGTATTGTAATCGGGTATTGTTAAAATGATGGGAAACGTTATTCAGCCACCACCCTTTCGTTAATCAGCCACCATCCACCAATGATTACTAAAATTCTACGTTCTTTTGAAAGACGTTGTGTTTGATTGGATAAAAGCAAGGTTGAGTGTTCCTAAGCAATTTCTGATAATTACACGTTGTCCGTTTTTTTGCTGCCTTCTAAATGAATTTTTAAGCTTGTGTATTCATTGCTCACTACAATGAAAATTGGACACCTCCTGAGATCGAGTACGATTCTTTGGAGTAAGCAAATGCAACAATTGAAGCCCATGCACGACAGCAAAGCAATGTCGTTGTTGTCAAACGTCCAAAGGTTAGGCAATAGAAAAATGGTATCGTAATATGTTTATTCTTTGCCTGCTCCCAGTCAAACCCTCAGAGATACGGAATGGACCTCGCCAACGAGCTTCTTCCAGCCGTAGCACAGGGTGTTTGTCCAAGTCCAACATCATGTGTCAAATAAATGGACATTGGCGAACACAGGTCACATGAGGAGATCACAATTGTAACGGTGCACTAATCACTAGCACTGCTTGAGTACTAGTGCACCTGCACTGACAGCAGTGTAGGTAGTGCCGTGTGTAAGGGGCCCCCTTAGTTCGGGGTGCCACGAAACTTCACGTAAACTAGTACGTGCAGAGGAAGCTAATTTACTCAACAGCTAAGTTGAGTGAAGGGTAAAAAGAAAACTGTATTGAATATAGTTAAGCTATCAACATAACTTTCATCTTTATCTAGCTATCTTAAACTACGTCGTCGCATGACGACAACCTGCTCACCACTCATTGCGCGCGTCTAGCAGCGATCGGTGGCAATCTAGGGTTGATACGTCTTTTATCAACAATCTTGGAGCAGCGAATGAATGTTATTCAAAAGAGGATAACATTCCTTCAATATTACCCATCTCGGATAATATTGGTAGAATATTTTTATGCTAGACGATATCACTATTGACGCCGTTTGGTGTCAATGTCATGTAACGGGCTACCCCTTTACATCACCCTCCCCCCTTAACCACCAATCACCTGTTGATTGAATTATAATTGATTAGAACAGGGTGACCACCGTTGGATAACACTGGGAAAGGGAGCACTTGTTGGTCAAATTCCATTCATTTGCCAATCCAACGCATGGTTTCGAAACCCATGCGCGTTGCTACTGCAGCAGCAAGAAAGGCGGCTGCAAGCACGCGTGCAGCCGCAAAAAGTGCCTCCACGCCTCAGCAGCTAGCGATTCGTCGCTTGTTGTCGTGAAAACTCCACGTGGTGAGTCACCACGTGCGACAGGTACATCCGTTGCGTCTGCAGCGGGTTTCTCGAATCGTAATCAAGACGAGTCTGAGATAGAGCTCATATATTCCGGTGAGTCGGATGATGCATCGGACTCGAAGGCGACTCTTCACGCCTCGGGATCACCCGGGGCGGACTCTGCTAAAGCCAGGCTGACTGGCTCTTGTCAGCGCGGCAAATCATGACCGAGATCATCGGATCGAGTGATTATTCCGATGATTCTTCGCCTTACGCAAGTCCTTCCAACGATAGAACGCGCGGAGATGGTGGTGATGCCCCTATACATCACCACGAGCGAAGTAGCTCAAGGTATTGGGGGTAACACTGGTGCCAGTGCTCATGCTGAAACCAATGAAGAGGCCAGGGACCGAATTGTCCTGCGTCACGCTCCTCAAGTGGAGTCTCCTTGGATGCCGTCATCTAGAGAGTTAGACCGGTTGGCCGGCATCACTACCGATCGGGACCATATCCCGTTGCTCGACTTTAGGAAGATCTGCCCTCCAAATTCCAGCACGGAAACTATCCGTGCTGAGGAAGAATTCTTCACCGATGCATTTTTTAAGCACCGGTGGTACTACGGCAGCCGTGGTCGAGACGGTACGGCCCTGGTGAAAGGATGGAATGCCTTTACCTACAACATCGAGTGTATTGGCTTTTAGGCCTGGCTCAATAAACGTTATGCAGCTCGCATCAGGTTTGAGAAACGCAACCCAGCCAGGGTTCGATGCAAGTTGCACCGACTGTAAAGAGAGGCACGATTAACCCGTCTCTCGTGGGTGATTCGTGTCCAGGTTGCCTGGACAACTCGAACTGTGCCCGTAGGGAGGCCTACCTCCCTAATAATCCCTACTGGAGGGCGCGCATCTCTTCCGAGATGGCCAAAGGGATCGACACTTTGCAATCCCTGTACTCGCGTTCGGGGAGGTCGTTTTCCGACGGCCCTTCTTTAAATGCAGCGGGTGGGTCTTGTCGTACTGCTCGACGAGACCAAGGACATCAACAATCAGCCGGGCAAGAGGCTCCCCAGCTGTCCCACGCCGGTGGATAGCCACGCCAGCGGACGAGGTAACTCGTCCGGACGCCATTTACATCACGGTGGGTTCCAAAATACGCTCCACTAGGGAAGCATTGACCACCGCTTGAGTTCACCAAAGGATATGATGGCGGCGGGAACACCTGATCCGGCTCGAGGGTTCGATTAAGCTAATGTTCAAGAGCTGAACCGTGTTACCGATCAGTTACAAGATGACCTGGCTCATAAACGGACTCGGCTTTGTGGGCTTGAGGATCTTGTAGGGGATAATTACATTCTTAACGCACGATCGTTTGGACGATCGTGCCGCTTTTGCGTTCGCGCAACTTGAGAACGAACTTTCGACTCTTTCTCTTCGTGATGAGATGGCTGCAGCTCGTCGAGACATCGCTCAACTGCGTGAGCAGGTCGCTTCGCTAGTCGACCTGACTGGCTCGTTGGAAACGGGACCACTCGAGGGTGGTATCGGCTCTTGACCGCGGAGGTGTTCTTCGCATCTCGAAACGGGCTGCTACTGATAGTTTGTGTGGACACGTCCAACGTAAAACGTAGGATGCGTACGCATCTTATGGGGCTGTTCAATCGTGTATGCGTTGCCCATGCGGCGCAAGACACGAAATTGACCGATGTGCTTGGGCAGTAATTTACTGCTGCCCACGCTCGTCCACCGCGTGCTTCGGTAAGATTGCTGTAGACAGTAAAATGAGGTCCTCCTTTATCAAATAAAAGAACATTTGCTATTCCATGTTCGTCTGCGTTTATTTTCTGCTTATCTATTGAATCTGCAATAGAGTCTTGAGCGAAACAGACCACTGCTTTCGCAAGTCAGCAGAAATTCCTCTGCTGTTTCATCTCTGTCAACAGCAGTGCGCTTCGTGTGCACTGCTGAAAGAACGTTGTCTTCACCCGTGAGGGCGTCCTCGTCCTCACTGTAGTAGTCGTTGGCGATGCTGAACATACCAGCATCGTCGTCATATCATCATCGATGTCGATGTGACCGGATATCAGCATCCATCAGGTCGACACCATTGTCGACGTGTGATGAGCAAGAACCAGATCGGTTTACGTTTGAGCGAGTCCACCTCCCTTAAATTAGAGTCACACTCTGAGAAGGCGGGTCAACGTGGATGGCGTAGGCCATTCACGAATAACAGTTTATGTGTTGTCGACGCGTGCACCGAGTTGTTGATGGCGAATTCCGCCATCGGCAAGAACTCACTCCAGCTCGTAAACGAGTGGACATACTCCTCGAAATATCTCTTCGAGGACGCGGTTGACACGTTCCGTCTGGCCACCTGTTTCTGTATGGTCAGAGGTTGACATCGTCAAATGTGTTCCTAGGGAACGGAACACGGATTGTCAGAACTCCGCTGTGAAGCGGGGGTCCCTGTCGGAGAAGAGCTTAAGGGGTAACTCGTAAAGTCAGGAGAAAGTATCGATGAAGACACGCGCACATCCCTGGGCTGTGATTGACTCTGGTACAGCAGCAAGATGTACCATCTTGCTGTACCGATCAACAAACACAAGAATACAAGTATTCTTGTGAGCGTCTCTGGGAAACCGATAGACGAAGTCCATCGATACGGACTGCCAGCACTCTGCCAGAGTCGGTAGCGGCTGCAAGTGTGCACGGGATGAACGACTAGGCTTCACCCGTTGGCAAACTTCGCAAGCGCGAATTCATTTCCGCACAAACTCATACTGGCGGGGCCAGTAGAAGTCACGACTCACCGTAAGCTAAGTCTTTTCTCTACCGCGATGACCACTTGTCGGGGCATCGTGACACTCATACATGATGCACAATCGCAAATCAGTCTGAAAAGGCGGGAACGACGACACGAGGCGTGTCGCCGTTGACTGCTGTACTAGTACAGCAGTCCATCACGAACCGAATACTGCTCGGCTGAAGAGCGGTATTGAGACGTCAACCTTTTCAAAGCTTGGCTGCATGGATTAGAAACAAAATTCATCAATTGCAGATGGACTCATCTTCTGTGTATGCTTTTTCGCACGTCATCGAGCAGATTCGATGACGTAACACTCACTGTTAGTGTCGCGAAAGTGGGATCACCCCCTACTGTTGGGTTGCGCAGTCGGCTTGAATCGGCCGACGCGAAAGAGCATCAGCGACGACATTGGGTATTTCTGGTTTATACTCGACGTAGAAGCTGTACTCCGCGAAGAAAGACAGCCACCTCGCCATTTGCCACCTCGCCATTCCGTTGCGAGAGGTGTGGACTGCTTAAGGCCGTGCGTAAACACCATGGTCGTTATAAACGATGTAGGGCCTATCTCCTAAGAGATATACCCGAAACTTAGCCAGTGCATATTTCCTGGCAAGGAGTTCCTTGTCATGCACCGGGTAATTACCGCTCAGCCGCTTGCAGCAGACGCGATTGATAACAAAAACGCGCTCAACGCCGTCTGCATCGTACTGCAATAACGGGCAGCCGATTGAAAAATTGCTGGCATCACAAACCACGTAGAATTATCTTTGCTGATCTGCAATTGCAAAAACAGGCGATTGTATCAACTTTTTGAACCCTTTGATGGAGTGCTGACGCCCAGCGCTCCACGACCACCTCCTCGTTTTTCTTTAATAGACGAGAAAGATGTACAGTCATCTTGGCATTGTTGCGCGAGTATTTGTGCAATTACTACGTCAAGCCAAGGAACTTTCGAAGTCCTTGACGTCGACTGGCACGGGCCAGTTTCTAATCGCCTTGATCTTTTCCGGATCAGGGGGCGTACACCGTTTTTACCCACGATGCAGCTAAGAAGTGGTATTTTGTTCAGCCGTAAATATGCACTTCTTGAGGTTCTCACGAACAACCCTTATGCTCCTGCATTAGAGTTAGAACCCTTCCGGGACATGGATTCTACGAACCTCCACGTCCGCTTTCCATCCGGAAATCCCGGCCAAGGACGAAAAGACATATGTCATTAGTAACTGTGCGCGAAGTATCGCATTGATCGCAACAGGTTGGTAATACATCTGTTGAACGTTGCAGGGGCGCTGCTTAGACCTTGTGGCATCAATTATCCCGGAATCAGGACCGCTCGGAGTGTGCCACAGCCGTGTACGGGAAGTCCGTCACGCATTGGGATATGGTAGAGCCCATCTATCAGATACGTGATTGAAGAGATGGTCACTTTTTGCCACACCATCTATGATTACGTGCCTTCCCTTTGGTATCGGCGTCTGAGCCGGTACCGTTGCAGCATTCAACTTTGTTAAATGCATGCACCATCCGCCACCCCTCCTGTTGCTTTTCGCACACCGAAGGTCGGAGCGCTATGTGGGGAAGTTGATTCCCTCACATGGCCTGCAGCTAAACGATCATAAAGAACTGTCGATCGCAAGTACTTGTTCACGAGGCAGTGGCCACTGCTTCATGACACTGTTTTTCGAATCGGATTTCATCTCGATCTCATGCCGAGTGCCTTTTCCCTTAGGCAGCTCGCATGGAACAGTTTCAGGGAATACATCCTTGAATTCAACCGAATCCTTATATCCTTAGCTAGCGGCGTATTTGCATAAGTATTCACGCAATTACGCCGAGATGACTGCACCTCTCTCGTTTGTTGAAAAAGAACGAGGTGGTTATGGAGGAACGCTGAATGTCAACGTCCTTTGAGGTATCAAGCAGGAGCTTGATACAATCCCCAGTCCTATCAATAGCCGATCAGGACACAGGCCATTTTCATGTGGTCTGCGATGCCAGCGATTTCGCAATCGGCTGTGCATTAATGCAGTACGATCTAAAAGGCGTTGAACGCGTCGTCTGCTATCAGTCGTCGAGCTGCAACCAGCTGAGCGGAACTATCCAGTGCATGACAAGGAACTCCTTGCCATGAATATGCCCTCGCGAGAGTTCAGAGTCTATCTCTTAGGAGATAGACCCTTCTTTAGTTTAACACTGACCATGCGTCATTACGCGGCAGTAAAAAAATCCGCACCTTCACAACGAATGGCGCGGTGGTTGTCAATTCTTTGCAGAAATACAACTTTACGGTCGAGTACAAACCAGGACGACTTAATATCTAATCGTGGCCTCTCACGTCGATCCCCACTTTCAAACAGTCCCGCAAAATGAAACCCAAAGGAGTGAAACCCAACGGGCAGACAGTGATGCGGTTGCGGTTATGCACGTCCTCAGTTCCATCTACAACGTTGTATGATGATTGAGGCGGGCATACGCCCAAGATGGTGATATAGTGAAGTGTTGTCACATCTCTCCCAACCATCCCGAGAATCGTTGAAACGATTGTCGCCTGCGTATCGATCTGCATCAGATCGATACACTACTTGTAACGGTTTACTGTATTATACAGCCGTTTCTGGTGACACACCACGTGTTGTCATTCCAGATGATACTGATCTGCGTTTGCGGATCATGTTCGAGTATCACGATGCTCCTATAGGAGGACATCGTGGCCGAGAGAAAACATATCTCACGGTAAGTCGAGACTTTTACTGGCCCCGCCAGTATCAGTTTGTGCGAAAGTATGTTCGCGCATGCGAAGTCTGCCAACGAGTGAAGTCAAGTCCTTCACTGCGTGCACCTTTACAGCCTCTACCGGTTCCGGCTGAGGGCTGGGAATCCATCTCAATGGATTTCGTCTTCGGGTTACCCAAAGACGCACGCGGGAATACGGGTATTCTCGTATTTGTTGACAGATTCAGCAAAATGGTACACCTTATGGCTGTACCACAGACATGTGGTGTACCAGAGACAGTCACTGGCCTGTGCCTGTGGCTTTATGGCTTATTGACACCATCTTCCGACTTCATGGGTTGCCCCGTGAACTCCGTATCAGACAGAGATCCACGATTCACTGCTGATTTCTGGCGTTCCGTGTTCAAATCACTCGGAACCCCCCTAAAAGATGTCAACATCTGATCATCCAGAGTCAGATGGTCAGACGGAAACGGGGGCCAATCGTGTCCTTGAAGAGATACTTCGAGGATACGTACACCCCTTTAAGAGTTGGAGGTGAGTTTTTGCCAATGGTAGAGTTTGCCATCAACAACTTGGTGCATGCGTCCGCGACACATACACCGTTTTACGTGAATGGCTTGCGCCATCCGCGTGTACCCACCTTACTAGAGGGTCGCTGTCAGTTTGGTGTAAGGGGGGAGGGACTCGCGCGAGAAAAAACCGATTTGGTTCACGCTCATCACGCTCTACGAAGAGGCAAAATATTGCGTTTGATGCCGATATCGATAACATCGATATCGAAGAAGATGATGCCAGTGAGAGTGCGGAAGCCCTCACTGAAGACAATGATCCCAGTGAGAGTGCGGAAGCCCTCACTGAAGAAAAGGTTGTTGTTGCTGCAGTGCGCTCACAGCACACTGAAGCTAACGAGTCATCAGATGAGTTCATACTGGCTCGTGAAACGGTAGACCGTTTTGTGCAAGATTCCATCGCCGAAGCGGTGGATAAGCAAAAAAGCAAAACGCTGACAAGAATGGAAGGGCAAACACTCTTTTATTTAACAAAGGTGACTTAGTCCTACTGTCTACGGTTAATCTACCAAAGCATGTAGTGACTAACTTGGGTAGCAGTAAACTACTACCCAAGTACATCGTGACCATTTCGTGTATTGCACCGCCTAGGCAATGCATACACGATCGAGTTACCACGTAAGATGCGAACGCATCCCACGTTTTACGTTGGTCGGCTTAAGCCGTACCATCAGTACGCTGCTTCTTCCGATGAAGAACGCCCTTGCGCTCAAGCATCTCGCAGAGAGCCTTGTGCTCCCGATGGTGGGCATCAACAAGGGTCTGAAGAGCAGCTATCTCATCCCGAGACCGATCAGCCATCCCACGAGCTACCCTTAGCTCGTCACGAAGAGATGTCAGAGATCTCTCGTTCTCAAGCTGAGCAAAAGCATACTCAACTCGAGGCGTCGAGACAGTGTCCGCCAGTTGGAGACGCCTGTCACGCTCATGCTCGAGATCGTCGCGTAACCCTTGCGTTACGCGATCAAAGAAGCTCTCGGGGACACACGGATCCCCATGATCGTGTGGAGAGCGTCTTTCCTCCTCCTCCACCTCCATTAGAGGACTCTCGCGGTGGCCAGCGCTATCTAGTTGAGCAGCTGTTGAACCACCGCGACGTGAACGGACGTCGGACGATTATCTCGTCCGGTGGCGCGGCTATCCCCCGTCCTGGGATTCTTGGGAGCCCCGCTCCCAATTGATGGTTGACGTACTGGGTCTGGTTGAGCAGTACGACGCGGCACATCCTGTGCCGCAGAAGGACCGCCGGAGAAAGTCTTCCCGGCACGGTCGTAAAGGGATTTCAGGTTGTCAATCCCTTCGTACATCTCACTAGAGACACGTACGCGCCACCACGGGCTGGTAAGGAGGTAAGCCTCCTTAGGTGCTCGTGCAGAGTTGTTCACACAACATGGGCACGGGTCTCCTCAAGAGAGGCAGGGTAATCCTTTCTCCCTTGACAGACGATGCAGCTTGTAGCGTGCACCTGTCGGGGTTCGCTTTTCAAACTTATCACGAGCTTTGATAAGTTTGTCGTTCCAAGCGTCACGACCTACATCCTCGAGGTTATGGATGTAGGCGTTCCACGCCTGAAGTAGTGAGGGACCATCACGTTTGTGATTACCACTGTACCATCGATGTCTGAAGAAAGCATCGATGAAGAATTCGTGTTCAGCGCGATAGTCTTTCGCGCTGGGGTCAAGGTGATGGATCCTTGACGAATCGAACAATCGTGTTCGATAACGATCACTCGTCATCGCCGACAAGTGATCCATGACGGATTTAGGAGGCATCCATGCCTTCTTTTCTGGAGCGAGACGCAACACATTGCGGTCCCGCTCTTCCTGCGACGTGCCGACAGAAGTACTGGCACCTCGCTGTGAAGTGGTGTCCATTGGAGAACCGACACCACTATTAGCGCCCGAGTCTCGCGACCTCGAGCGCCTTCGCTTCGGCGATGGTTCATCTGATTCGTCAGATGAACCAAAGATGCTGCGACGCAAAGCATCGTCCATGCCACGCTTAGCAGGCGGCTTGGATTCAATTGCCTTCGATACGGATCCGTCATCCGTATCAGGAGAGTACGAGACACCGAGCTCGTACTCTGTGAAGACATGAGTGTCTTCATGACCAGCGCCTGCATCACCAAGTGACACAGGCTGAGTCGCTTCAGCAACCGATGAGACATCATTTGCTGTGGTTTCTGCTTCGGCGTCCGCACAGAGACGTGCGGACGCGCTCTCGGCGGCCTTGCTCGCGCATCGCATGGGCTTGTTTACCATGGGATGAATTGTTGAAAAGTGGACTCGGACCAACAAGTGCAAACCCTGTCCCAAAATGATTTGGGACGAGTATCCATTTAGTCAATCAGTCACTAAAGTGACTGATGGTTAGGGGGGTGATGTAACGGGGTGAATCGTTACATAACAATTTATTAGAAATTGTTAATAGAATATAACTATAAGAGCTGTACTCAGAATATTGTCATAAGGACGAATATTCTGTTGCACTTACAAGTAGTTCCTAATTGGTTGATATAGGCCATTATATCAACCAACGAAGACGCGCCACGACAGACGCACGCAATGAGTGGTGAGCAGATAACTGATTTACACATTTGTATTTAGACATAGTTAGATGAAGATAAATAGTGATTTATTGCAGACATTAACTATTATAAATACAGTTCTACTTTTTACTCTAACCAAGTACTCGCTTCTTCTTACCGTCTTCCTCTGCACGTACGAGTGTACGTGAAGTTACGAGGCACCGCCTAATTCTGTCATCAGAATAAGTAGCTTGTGTTGTCACCAGTACAAGCTTCAGGGTGCCCCGTTACACCTGGTAGCACTTTGTAGTCCGTCCAAGGACCGCGTTCACATCCAACATGAATATGTTGGATGATGAAGATGACCAAAGCTTTCACGCTACGCGTGACGGCTACTCCCATTTGAGCGATGTCGAATGGGATGCGGTTGAACGAATGGGTTCGACCATGGGCATCCATGCTGTTAGCGTCATGCTAGAGGCTCTCAATAGAGATGCCCAACATGCTACTATCGCCAAGTTCATTTAAAATGAACTTGACGCAGAACGCGAGAAAGTAGCCTTGCTTCACCAACAAGGTTCTCAACAAGCAGAGTTGTTGAGAGAACAAGGTGCTCAACAGTTTGAACTGTTGAGACAGCAGCAGGCTGCTGCTGGCGGGTCGATGCACTCGCGTCGACCCGAAACCTTGAAGATTGACATCTTTAAGTGTAGGGGGGTCGAAGAAGACTCCCTCTTGAGATGTTTCGTCGAATTGGATGACGCCATAAGGGCGCGTCGCATCGACGACGGGGATATGCAAGTTGCATTTGCCCAGTCAAATCTGGCAGGACGTGCCAAGACTTGGGCACTGGGGCTCAAGCTGCACGACCCATATGCGTTTGGGTCGTTGGAAGTCTTCAAATCGCGGCTCAGACAAACGTTTGAACCGCCTAGAGCTGAGTTCAGGGCTCGAACTGAACTCTTGAAGCTCAAGCAGGGTAAGCGTGATGTGCACGCTTACGCTCAACATATACGACATCTCACGAGTTGTATAAGTTCCAATCCAGTGGATGAACACACGTTGGTTTCGGTGTTCATGCAGGGTCTTGCGGATGGTCCCGTCAAGACTCACCTGTTCCGGCTTGAACTAGATTCACTAGAACAAGCCATTTCCATTGCGGAGCAGGAAGACTTCAGTCTGAGACAGGCTCGCGCCAGCTCGACATCATATCGTCAACCGAGACGATATGACAACGGAGGTCCAGAGCCGATGGAACTCTGTTATGTAGAGAGCGAGAAGGCTCGCTCTACAGGCTACAAGAAGTTGCAGATATGCAACAGATGTCAAAAGACAGGACACTACGCTTACGAGTGTAGTGCCCCTCGTCCAGTGTCTCGCGACACTGGGCGTAGTCACCGTCCACCCATGAGAAAGGGGCAGGGACGAGGGTTCGCAGTTGGTGCAAAGACGCACCAACGGGATGGACCGTCAAAAAACGGACAAGATCAGTAGGTGCGGAGCACCCTACTGGTCTAGCAACGTCAAGAGAATTTGTAGGCCTCTTGATGAAGGTTGCTCCCAACACACAAAAGTTGTGCGTTGCTGCTCTAGGTAATGAGGTCTCACTCATTACTTCTTGAAACTCGAAGTGACGAATAAGTTGTCCCTTCGAGCTCTAGTCGATTGTGGGGCGTCCAACAATTTCGTGCGACGCCAATCGCTAGAAGATGGTCACTTTAAATTCAGTGAATGTGACACACCTCCTACGAGGATGACGGTACGCCTTGCGACAGGCGCATCCGTCCCCAGTCATGAAGCGTATAGTGAAGATCCACTATACGCTAGAAGATACCCAATATGACGATGACTTTATCGTATTGGATTTGGATGACAAATTTGATGTCATCCTTGGAATACCGTGGCTCAGAAGGTACGAACCACGAGTAAACTGGCAACATCGGACAGTAACGATGCTCTGCCGCTTGTTCATCAGATGGCCATCTGATGAACGTTTTGGAGCGTCCACAAGCGTGTGGATGTACTACGAGTGAGTGCGATGGCCTCACTTGTGGTACGGTCGTTAGTACGACTGCACAAAACCTTAGTGTACCAAACGGTTACACTTCGGAGCAAAGTTCCGGCGGCTGAGAGGAAACACAGGCTGCGCCGAAGGTCCACCACTCGAATAAGTCGGGTGGACTGGGACAAAGATGTATCCCTAGAGGGGAACATCTAGAAGAGAAACAATCGATCGCTCAGGTTAAGCGAAACGATAATCCTAGATCGACTGGAGAGTCTTTCGTAGAGGATCTCGCTGTGGTTGCGCAACCACAGCTAGAGGAAGTTAAGGGAATAAGTCCCGATATAACAAATACGGCGGAAATAAGTTCCCCGAAACCCGCGGGAATAAGTCCCCGGGAAGACGAAGGAATAATTCCCTTGAGGCCTGAGGGAATAAGTCCCCAGGAAATGACAGAGACATTGAATGTCATAGTCAATAACGTATCAAGTGTAGGCGCTTATACACTTGATCTGATTGCGCCTCCGAAGTTAACTTCGGAGATCACTCAGTTGCCAACGCTCGAACATAAAAGGTTCTTGCGTGATCTGCGTAGTGGCAAAGTCAAGCAGATCTGCATACTCGTTGCTGACGACGAGTGTGTAACCGACATAAGGTCAGCAACAGTGTTTACTGAGAGCGAGAGAGTTCTCAGTAGTTCATCTATGGACGAGAGTGTCCTAGATGAAAAGACACGAATTGAGCGATATGACTCCCAATCATGGGAATCGCTCAAGGAAAATCCTCTCTATGAAGATTTGGTTGAATTCAAGGATGTATTCCCTGAAACTGTTCCGTGTGAATTACCGAAGGATAAAGGTATTCGACACGAAGTCGAGCTTAAACCAGGCTCGAAGTACTGTGTCATGAAGCAGTGGCCACTGCCTCGTGAGCAAGTACTTGCGATCGACAAGTTCTTTGCCGATCGTTTAGCAGCGGGCCATGTGAGGAAATCAACTTCCCCACATAGCTCTCCGACCTTCTGTGTGCGAAAAGCAACAGGAGGGTGGCGGATAGTGCACGCGTTCAACAAATTGAACGCTGCAACGGTACCGGCTCAGACGCCGATACCGAGGAAGGACGTAATCATTGATGGTATGTCAAAGAGTACCATCTTTTCGTCCGTGGATTTGATGGATGGCTTCTATCAAATCCTTATGCGGGAACGGGATATACCCTATACCGCAGTTAGCACGCCTAGCGGCATGCTCTGGGAATGGCTAGTAATGCCACAAGGGCTCAGTAATGCCCCTGCCACGTTCAACAGATGTGTATCACATCTGTTGAGGCCAGTACGAGAATTCGCGCCGAGTTATTTCGATGACGTATTCATCCATAGTCGAGCTATGGATGGAAAGTCGGACGTTGAGGTTCACAGGTACCACGTCCGACAAGTTCTTACAATCATGCGAAAGCATCAATTGTATGCCAACCTCAAGAACTGTGTATTTGCAGCAAGCGAAATACCACTTCTTGGGTGCATCGTTGGTAAGAACGGTGTACGTCCTGATCCCGAAAAGATCAAGGCGATCACCGACTGGCCTGTGCCGGTCGATGTCAAAGGTCTTCGAAAATTCCTTGGGCTAGCGGCGTATTTGCATAAGTATTCACGCAATTACGCCGAGATGACTGTGCACCTCTCTCGTTTGTTGAAAAAGAACGAGGTGGTTATGGAACGCTGAATGTCAACGATCCTTTGAGGGTATCAAGCAGAGCTTGATACAATCCCCAGTCCTATCAATAGCCGATCAGGACAGGCCATTTCATGTGGTCTGTGATGCCAGCGATTTCGCAATCGGCTGTGCATTAATGCAGTACGATCTTGAAGGCGTTGAACGCGTCGTCTGCTATCAGTCGCGTCAGCTGCAACCAGCTGAGCGGAACTATCCAGTGCATGACAAGGAACTCCTTGCCATGAAGTATGCACTCGCGAAGTTCAGAGTCTATCTCTTAGGAGATAGACCCTTCGTTGTTTACACTGACCATGCGTCATTACGCACGGCAGTGAACAGCCCGCACCTTTCACAACGAATGGCGCGGTGGTTGTCATTCTTTGCGGAATACAACTTTACGGTCGAGTACAAACCAGGACGACTTAATGTCGTTGCTGATGCACTCTCACGTCGTCCCGACTTTGAAACAGTCGCGAAACCCAACAGTGAGACAGTCACTGTTGCGGTTATGACGTCCTCAGTCCCATCTACAACGTTGTATGATGATGTGAGGCGGGCATACGCCCAAGATGGTGAGATAGTGAAGTTGTTGTCACATCTCTCCCAACCATCCCGAGAATCGTTGAAACGATTGTCGCCTGCGTATCGATCTGCATCAGATCGATACACTACTTGTAACGGTTTACTGTATTATACAGCCGTTTCTGGTGACACACCACGTGTTGTCATTCCAGATGATACTGATCTGCGTTTGCGGATCATGTTCGAGTATCACGATGCTCCTATAGGAGGACATCGTGGCCGAGAGAAACATATCTCACGGTAAGTCGAGACTTTTACTGGCCCCGCCAGTATCAGTTTGTGCGAAAGTATGTTCGCGCATGCGAAGTCTGCCAACGAGTGAAGTCAAGTCCTTCACTGCGTGCACCTTTACAGCCTCTACCGGTTCCGGCTGAGTGCTGGGAATCCATCTCAATGGATTTCGTCTTCGGGTTACCCAAAGACGCACGCGGGAATACGGGTATTCTCGTATTTGTTGACAGATTCAGCAAAATGGTACACCTTGTGGCTGTACCAGAGACAATCACGGCAAGTGGCTGTGCTTGTGTCGTTATTGACACCATCTTCCGACTTCATGGGTTGCCCCGTGAACTCGTATCAGACAGAGATCCACGATTCACTGCTGATTTCTGGCGTTCCGTGTTCAAATCACTCGGAACGCGCTTAAATATGTCAACATCTGATCATCCAGAGTCAGATGGTCAGACGGAACGTGCCAATCGTGTCCTTGAAGAGATACTTCGAGGATACGTACACTCCTTTAAGAGTTGGAGTGAGTTTTTGCCAATGGTAGAGTTTGCCATCAACAACTCGGTGCATGCGTCCGCGACACATACACCGTTTTACGTGAATGGCTTGCGCCATCCGCGTGTACCCACCTTACTAGAGTGTCACTCTGGTTTAAGGGGGGGAGGGACTCGCGCGAGCAAAAACCGATTTGGTTCACGCTCATCACGCTCTGACGAAGAAGTCATTGCGTTTGATGCCGATATCGATAACATCGATATCGAAGAAGATGATGCCAGTGAGAGTGCGGAAGCCCTCACTGAAGACAATGATCCCAGCGAGAGTGCGGAAGCCCTCACTGAAGAAAAGGTTGTTTTTGCTGCAGTGTGCTCACAGCACACTGAAGCTAACGAGTCATCAGATGAGTTCATACTGGCTCGTGAAACGGTAGTCCGTTTTGTGCAAGACTCCATCGCCGAAGCGGTGGATAAGCAAAAGCAAAACGCTGACAAGAATGGAAGGGCAAACACTCTTTTATTTAACAAAGGTGACTTAGTCCTACTGTCTACGGTTAATCTACCAAAGCATGTAGTGACTAACTTGGGTAGAGTAAACTACTACCCAAGTACATTGGCCCTTTTCGTGTATTGCACCGCCTAGGCAATGCATACACGATCGAGTTACCACGTAAGATGCGAACGCATCCCACGTTTTACGTTGGCCGACTTAAGCCGTACCATCAGTACGCTGCTTCTTCCGATGAAGAACGCCCTTGCGCTCAAGCATCTCGCACAGAGCCTTGTGCTCCCGATGGTGGGCATCAACAAGGGTCTGAAGAGCAGTTATCTCAGCCCGAGACCGATCAGCAATCCCACGAGCTACCCTTAGCTCGTCACGAAGAGATGTCAGAGATCTCTCGTTCTCAAGCTGAGCAAAAGCATACTCAACTCGAGGCGTCGAGACAGTGTCCGCCAGTTGGAGACGCCTATTCCGCTCATGCTCGAGATCGTCGCGTAACCCTTGCGTTACGCGATCAAAGAAGCTCTCGGGGACACACGGATCCCCATGATCGTGTGGAGAGCGTCTTTCCTCCTCCTCCACCTCCATTAGAGGACTCTCGCGGTGGCCAGCGCTATCTAGTTGAGCAGCTGTTGAACCACCGCGACGCGAACGGACGTCGGACGATTATCTCGTCCGGTGGCGCGGCTATCCCCCGTCCTGGGATTCTTGGGAGCCCCGCTCCCAATTGATGGTTGACGTACTGGGTCTGGTTGAGCAGTACGACGCGGCACATCCTGTGCCGCAGAAGGACCGCCGGAGAAAGTCTTCCCGGCACGGTCGTAAAGGGATTTCAGGTTGTCAATCCCTTCGTACATCTCACTAGAGACACGTACGCGCCACCACGGGCTGGTAAGGAGGTAAGCCTCCTTAGGTGCTCGTGCAGAGTTGTTCACACAACATGGGCACGGGTCTCCTCAAGAGAGGCAGGGTAATCCTTTCTCCCTTGACAGACGATGCAGCTTGTAGCGTGCACCTGTCGGGGTTCGCTTTTCAAACTTATCACGAGCTTTGATAAGTTTGTCGTTCCAAGCGTCACGACCTACATCCTCAAGGTTATGGATATAGGCGTTCCACGCCTGAAGTAGTGAGGGACCATCACGTTTGTGATTCCCACTGTACCATCGATGTCTGAAGAAAGCATCGATGAAGAATTCGTGTTCAGCGCGATAGTCTTTCGCGCTGGGGTCAAGGTGATGGATCCTTGACGAATCGAACAATCGTGTTCGATAACGATCACTCGTCGTCGCCGACAAGTGATCCATGACGGATTTCGGAGGCATCCATGCCTTCTTTTATGGAGCGAGACGCAACACATTGCGGTCCCGCTCTTCCTGCGACGTGCCGACAGAAGTACTGGCACCTCGCTGAGAAGTGGTGTCCATTGGAGAACCGACACCACTATTAGCGCCCGAGTCTCGCGACCTCGAGCGCCTTCGCTTTGGCGATGGTTCATCTGATTCATCAGATGAACCAAAGATGCTGCGACGCAAAGCATCGTCCATGCCACGCTTGGCAGGCGGCTTAGATTCAATTGCCTTCGATACGGATCCGTCATCCGTATCAGGAGAGTACGAGACACCGAGCTCGTACTCTGTGAAGACACGAGTGTCTTCATGACCAGCGCCTGCGTCACCAAGTGACACAGGCTGGGTCGCTTCAGCAACCGATGGGACATCAGTTGCTGTGGTTTCTGCTTCGGCGTCCGCACAGAGACGTGCAGACGCGCTCTCGGCGGCCTTGCTCGCGCATCGCATGGGCTTGTTAACCATGCGATGAAATGTTGGAAAGTGGACGCGGCCAACAAGTGCAAACCCTGTCCCAAATGATTTGGGACGAGTATCCATTTAGTCAATCAGTCACTAAAGTGACTGATGGTTAAGGGGGGGGTGATGTAACGGGGTGAATCGTTACATAACAATTTATTAGAAATTGTTAATAGAATATAACTATAAGAGCTGTACTCAGAATATTGTCATAAGGACGAATATTCTGTTGCACTTACAAGTAGTTCCTAATTGGTTGATATAGGCCATTATATCAACCAACGAAGACGCGCCACGACAGACGCACGCAATGAGTGGTGAGCAGATAACTGATTTACACATTTGTATTTAGACATAGTTAGATGAAGATAAATAGTGATTTATAGTAGACATTAACTATTATAAATACAGTTCTACTTTTTACTCTAACCAAGTACTCGCTTCTTCTTACCGTCTTCCTCTGCACGTACGAGTGTACGTGAAGTTACGAGGCACCGCCTTATTCTGTCATCAGAATAAGTAGCTTGTGCTGTCACCAGTACAAGTTTCAGGGTGCCCCGTTACAGACACGATGGCAGCGGGTCCTACCGAGCGACATTCGCATCCTGTTGAGGCTGCTGCTGATGTAGCTGCGAAAAAGAGCCTACTGCCGTCATCGGTGTGGAAGGCAAGAAGTCCAAGGAGTGGTGGGGAGGCTTGGGATGGGGACGTCCCTGGGGTGGCTTCGGAGGATGGGGTGGATACGGTGGATGGGGAGGCTACGGTGGCGGATGGGGATGGTAGACCTCACACATGCTGGACATCGCGCCGACTGACATGCTGCAGTCATGCAGACGGGCTCACGAACGAGACGACACGGAAGCCAAGCAAGAAGAAAAATCTGCGTGCACCGCCGGACTCGCTCTTGTTTGTGAGGCTGTTTGTCGCTACTTTTCGTCACCACTTGGCTCAGCATGTCAACCTGTCGACGGAAGAATCGACCACCTGTACTTTCGGTGCTGTCGGGCAGTTGAAGCTCGCCAATATATATACTGTCGAGGCTTTGCAGCCAGTTGTCAGCCAGCCACCTCGCGAAGGTCAACACGTTCTTCCAGCAGCACGTTCAGATCAGATCATCTTGTCACGACCAATGTCTTTGTATCTGCATGTTCACATCGATACGAACATGTCGAGTCGTTCAGACGGACACGTTTTCTCTTAGCGAGATTAGCATGCTCCGTCCAGTCTCTCCTTCTATGCCATCGATTGCCGAAAAGTGTCAATGTCCATCTCAAACAAACGCACTGGTATTCGTACCACTTGCACAAACTGTCATCGCAAGGGCCCTCCTTGCATTCATTGTCAAGCCACCAAACATAGACGACGTCCACACACAACTCAGCAGCCACCTGGTTTGATCACCACGTCGACGTTGATGTCGACGGACACAACGCAGTCATCGACGTCGGTCACCAACATTGATCACCAGCCAGAGATACACACGCCTCCACCGTTCTACTTAAAAAAAAAATAAATTATGGGACAAAAAGTTATACCAATTAGTTTAAGATTAAAAAAACATAAAAATTGGAATTCAAAATGGATGGACCTTCACCATTCTACTTATGGTTGTCTTCTAGCAGGTACCACCGATTCATGAGCGACGGAACCGGACTACTACCCTCCGCGACCTTCTTCGACGACCGTCAACCGTCCATCATGTCGACAAAACTACAGTGGAATTCAAACCTCGCTCGAAGTTCTATTCCACGCTCGTGACTGGAAACGCGATCGAGACGCGCCGACTTTTCAACCATCTACTCGATTTGCAATCAATCAACTCAATCAATTGAAGCAGTCACCATGACGCTACGTGACGAGTCACTCGTCACAACACCAGCCCACTCGCTAGCTCGTACATCGATCGCACTCACAAACCAACTGGCACTACCACACCAGCACCTAGCGAGCAAATACTCGACCAACCGACCAAATCGACCATGAAGTGCACTGCTCTCGCCGTCACCGCGCTAGTTGCTGTAGCAAGCGTCGCCTCAGCTACTGACTACCAGCCGGCGCTCCGAGCCCTTGCTGCATCGGAACCAGCTACACCCAGCACTGACACGATGGCAGCGGGTCCTACCGAGCGACATTCGCATCCTTTTGAGGCTGCTGCTGATGTAGCTGCGGAAAAAGAGCCTACTGCCGTCATTGGTGCGGAAGGCAAGGTGTCCAAGGAGTGGTGGGGAGGCCTGGGATGGGGACGTCCCTGGGGTGGCTTCGGAGGATGGGGTGGCTACGGTTGATGGGGAGGCTACGGTGGCGGATGGGGATGGTAGACCTCACACATGCTGGACATCGCGCCGACTGACATGCTGCAGCGCATGCAGACGGGCTCACGAACGAGACGACACGGAAGCCGAGCAAGAAGAAAAATCTGCGTGCACCGCCGGACTCGCTCTTGTTTGTGAGGCTGTTTGTCGCTACTTTTCGTCATCACTTGGCTCAGCATGTCAACCTATCGACGGAAGGATCGACCACCTGCACTTTCGGTGCTGTCGGGCAGTTGGAGCTCGCCAATATATATACTATCGAGGCTTTGCAGCCAGTTGTCAGCCAGCCACCTCGCAAAGGTCAACACCTTCTTCCAGCAGCACGTTCTTCCAGCAGCACGTTCAGATCAGATCATCTTGTCACGACCAATGTCTTTTTGTATCTGCATGTTCACATCGACACGAACATGTCGACTCGTTCAGACGGACACGTTTTCTCTTAGCGCGGTTAGCATGCTCCGTCCAGTCTCTCCTTCTATGTCATCGATTGCCGAAAAGTGTCAATGTCCATCTCAAACAAACGCACTGGTATTCGTACCACTTGCACAAACTGTCATCGCAAGGGCCCTCCTTGCATTCATTGTCAAGCCACCAAACATAGACGACGTCCACACACAACTCAGCAGCCACCTGGTTTGGTCACCACGTCGACGTTGATGTCGACGGACACAACGCAGTCATCGACGTCGGTCACCAACATTGATCACCAGCCAGAGATACACACGCCTCCACCGTTCTACTTATGGACCTTCACCATTCTACTTATGGTTGTCTTCTAGCAGGTACCACCGATTCATGAGCGACGGAACCGGACTACTACCCTCCGCGACCTTCTTCGACGACCGTCAACCGTCCATCATGTCGACAAAACTACAGTGGAATTCAAACCTCGCTCGAAGTTCTATTCCACGCTCGTGACTGGAAACGCGATCGAGACGCGCCGACTTTTCAACCATCTACTCGATTTGCAATCAATCAACTCAATCAATTGAAGCAGTCACCATGACGCTACGTGACGAGTCACTCGTCGCAACACCAGCCGACTCGCTAGCTCGTACATCGATCGCACTCACAAACCAACTGGCACTACCACACCAACACCTAGCGAGCAAATACTCGACCAACCGACCAAATCGACCATGAAGTGCACTGCTCTCGCCGTCACCGCGCTAGTTGCTGTAGCAAGCGTCGCCTCAGCTACTGACTACCAGCCGGCGCTCCGAGCCCTTTCTGCATCGGAACCAGCTACACTCAGCACTGACACGATGGCAGCGGGTCCTACCGAGCGACATTCGCATCCTGTTGAGGCTGCTGCTGATGTAGCTGCGGAAAACGAGCCTACTGCCGTCATCGGTGTGGAAGGCAAGAAGTCCAAGGAGTGGTGGGGAGGCTTGGGATGGGGACGTCCCTGGGGTGGCTTCGGAGGATGGGGTGGCTACGGTGGATGGGGAGGCTACGGTGGCGGATGGGGATGGTAGACCTCACACATGCTGGACATCGCGCCGACTGACATGCTGCAGCGCATGCAGACGGGCTCACGAACGAGACGACACGGAAGCCGAGCAAGAAGAAAAATCTGCGTGCACCGCCGGACTCGCTCTTGTTTGTGAGGCTGTTTGTCGCTACTTTTCGTCATCACTTGGATCAGCATGTCAACCTGTCGACGGAAGGATCGACCATCTGTACTGTCGGTGCTGTCGGGCAGTTGGAGCTCGCCAATATATATACTGTGGAGGCTTTGCAGCCAGTTGTCAGCCAGCCACCTCGCGAAGGTCAACACGTTCTTCCAGCAGCACGTTCAGATCAGATCATCTTGTCACGACCAATGTCTTTGTATCTGCATGTTCACATCGACACGAACATGCCGACTCGTTCAGACGGACACGTTTTCTCTTAGCGCGGTTAGCATGCTCCGTCCAGTCTCTCCTTCTATGTCATCGATTGCCGAAAAGTGTCAATGTCCATCTCAAACAAACGCACTGGTATTCGTACCACTTGCACAAACTGTCATCGCAAGGGCCCTCCTTGCATTCATTGTCAAGCCACCAAACATAGACGACGTCCACACACAACTCAGCAGCCACCTGGTTTGGTCACCACGTCGACGTTGATGTCGACGGACACAACGCAGTCATCGACGTCAGTCACCAACATTGATCACCAGCCAGAGATACACACGCCTCCACCGTTCTACTTATGGACCTTGACCATTCTACTTATGGTTGTCTTCTAGCAGGTACCACCGATTCATGAGCGACGGAACCGGACTACCACCCTCCGCGACCTTCTTCGACGACCATCAACCGTCCATCATGTCGACAAAACTACTGTGGAATTCAAACCTCGCTCGAAGTTCTATTCCACGCTCGTGACTGGAAACGTGATCGAGACGCGCCGACTTTTCAACCATCTACTCGATTTGCAATCAATCAACTCAATCAATTGAAGCAGTCACCATGACGCTACGTGACGAGTCACTCGTCGCAACACCAGCCCACTCGCTAGCTCGTACATCGATCGCACTCACAAACCAACTGGCACTACCACACCAACACCTAGCGAGCAAGTACTCGACCAACCGACCAAATCGACCATGAAGTGCACTGCTCTCGCCGTCACCGCGCTAGTTGCTGTAGCAAGCGTCGCCTCAGCTACTGACTACCAGCCGGCGCTCCGAGCCCTTGCTGCATCGGAACCAGCTACACTCAGCACTGACACGATGGCAGCGGGTCCTACCGAGCGACATTCGCATCCTGTTGAGGCTGCTGCTGATGTAGCTGCGGAAAACGAGCCTACTGCCGTCATCGGTGTGGAAGGCAAGAAGTCCAAGGAGTGGTGGGGAGGCTTGGGATGGGGACGTCCCTGGGGTGGCTTCGGAGGATGGGGTGGCTACGGTGGATGGGGAGGCTACGGTGGCGGATGGGGATGGTAGACCTCACACATGCTGGACATCGCGCCGACTGACATGCTGCAGCGCATGCAGACGGGCTCACGAACGAGACGACACGGAAGCCGAGCAAGAAGAAAATCTGCGTGCACCGCCGGACTCGCTCTTGTTTGTGAGGCTGTTTGTCGCTACTTTCGTCATCACTTGGATCAGCATGTAAACCTGTCGACGGAAGGATCGACCATCTGTACTGTCGGTGCTGTCGGGCAGTTGGAGCTCGCCAATATATATACTGTGGAGGCTTTGCAGCCAGTTGTCAGCCAGCCACCTCGCGAAGGTCAACACCTTCTTCCAGCAGCACGTTCAGATCAGATCATCTTGTCACGACCAATGTCTTTGTATCTGCATGTTCACATCGACACGAACATGCCGACTCGTTCAGACGGACACGTTTTCTCTTAGCGCGATTAGCATGCTCCGTCCAGTATCTCCTTCTATGCCATCGATTGCCGAAAAGTGTCAATGTCCATCTCAAACAAACGCACTGGTATTCGTACCACTTGCACAAACTGTCATCGCAAGGGCCCTCCTTGCATTCATTGTCAAGCCACCAAACATAGACGACGTCCACACACAACTCAGCAGCCACCTGGTTTGATCACCACGTCGACGTTGATGTCGACGGACACAACGCAGTCATCGACGTCGGTCACCAACATGGATCACCAGCCAGAGATACACATTCGTTAATGGGGTTGCACGTTGTTATTGAACCGGTTTTATTGTGTGTCCACACTAAGTAAAGATTGGTGGGTCTGAGTGGTTTAGTCTTGGTACCACGTACTTTCGGTAATACCGTACCTTATCGGGTAGGGATGAGGGATAATTGAAGTCCTACGACAGAAGTCCTATGACTTCTATCCTAGGATCATAATGCAAACGTCTTATGATTTCTGTCATAGGATCGCAATGTAGAAGTCAATCAGACAAGGCTTTGGAGCTTTATTACCGTAGTTCAAGAATTAATAAAGTTCAGTTCCCCTTTTGAATCGTTGGACACTAGTGGCGAGTCAAGGCGTAGTGTGTCGTAAGGGTGTTAGCCTTGTAACGGCGCTTACTCTTGTTTAACTAGATGTCTCTAGTTAGTGTGTGATTCTATGAATCGTAACCCCTTTGGAACTGGGATTGTTAAGCTTGTACGGTTGAGCGACTGTACGTCGTTGTTAGTTTGTATAACAAAGAGACTATTTGAGTCGAAGACTTCCTCTGTTAAGGAGCGCTAAGTATCTCCGCTACACTTTGTAGCACTTGTAGTCAATCTACACCTGAGTCTTCACGGACTGAAATCTCTGCGAGGATGGAAACGGCCATGAACCTCTCTGAGGCCCAGCAGGTCACGCTTGAGAAGCTCAAGGCGTTGATCGAGCACGAACAAGTGGCTATTATAGTGTCGCAAGGTCTGGAAGCACTTCGTGCACGTCTCGAGGCCTTCTCGAACTTTGATTCCACGTTGATCGGACAGGTGCATGACCATGTGGCATCTGCCATGCCCACTCGGTATGTCCCAACGGACACTGAGTCGAGAACTCGTCCTCTAGTCTTAAGTGTCAAGACTTTTGAGGGGAAAAGGGGGAAAATCTTTTTTTTGTGGGTTCGGGAGATGGAGGTTACCATCAGCTCGGCCTTGCTGCGGTCAGAGCAGCAAAAGGTGGGCCTGTCCTTATCGAAGTTAGGTGGGCGATCCAGGGAGTGGGCCGTCACTTCTGGTACCTCGACAGGCGAGGCTTTTCCCATCCGGAACATGCTGAAACAGCAGCTATCTTGAGTGTTTGCACCGCCTAATCAGGGCATATCCCGTGCGATCACGAGTCCTGTCAACCCGCCAGAAAAAAAGGACTTATTCGATTATGTCCAGGAGTTTTGAAGTCTCATTGCTGCTATGCAGCTTGACCCTTTACCTGAGACGGTTTTGGTAGCCATTTTCATGGAGGGTCTTTGCACTGGCGTTGCCAGAACAGAAGTGTTTCGTGCACAACCATTGACATTTGAGGGTGCAGTGGACATAGCGTTGAACGCAGACTTCAACTTATAGCTGCCCTACATGGGACTCATGGGCTCCAATCGAACTCGTCGAGCAATGCTCATCTCATTTATAGGGCAGAACCCATGGATCTTAGTCTCTCTGAGAGAGACGAAGAAGCTTAGCTCTATGACGTCGGACAGCGTTCGAAAATCCGTAGATGTTTTACGTGCGGAAGCATCAAACACCTTCGCCCTAAATTGTCATTTCAGAAGGACCAGACAAGCTCGTTCGAGCCGACCTTCCGTCGCTAACCAACGAGTTGGTAAGGCGCGGAAAACGTCGAGTCTCAGTAGGCGCGGGGCGCCCTGATGGTGAAAACCTAGGCTCTGTTGTACATCTGGGAGGTGATAGAGAACAGGGCTTAGCCCCAAGTGGCTTTGAAGCAATGTCACGAAACATGAGTACAAGCCAGGCTTGTTAGTTACAAAATCATGGTAAAGGGCTTTGACAAGCTACGGTCGATATTGATCGACTCCGGGCGTCGAGAAATTATGTCCGACGTTGTTCCCTGGAAGGAAGTCAGCAGTATGCTGAGGCGCTGAAAGCACGAAATAATGAGACTACCACTGTTTTGCATGGCGACAGATGCATTATTCACTATGGCTAAAGTTCATGTGAGCGCTTAGGCGTTAAGTTTTCGGACTTTGACGGTATCGAACGCTGTTTAGTCCTTGACTTGGATGAGAGGTATGTCCTTGATATGGCTTGGCTAGAACGCCATGAGCCATGGAGTGACTGGAGGTCAAAGACCTTAGGCGCAACGCGCACTGTTCCTATTGAAGAAGCAGTAGTCGCTGCAAAAACGTGGCAGTCGCCCGACCACTTCAGTTGAATGGCAGTTTCTATCCTGGGATGGTGTAGTAAAATCAGGGCGAAAATGGTTGGTGTCGAAGAGATGGAAGCATGGTAGAAACTTGGTAACGACAATAACACTTCTACATTTTGCATTGGCATCTTCCTATTCTAACAGGTTATGAGCCCAAACGGTGATACTGATGCCGCTGGTGCAACTGGCGCGCAACCTAGGGCACTGACTGGTCGCGAAAGGGCCAGCAATCTACAAGGCGAAAATTTAGAAGTCAAGGCAGAGGCGGTGCCAGGGAACACGGAGCAAAGGATGTTGGACCTACTGACGGGACTAGCGGAGCGGATGGCTTAGCTAGAGGCGTCACAAGGGACCAAGGACCAGCCGATGGACAAGGAGTCCAGTGTGTTCGGGTCAGCAATAGGTCTGGGGCAACCGATGAATCGGCGTGCTCTCGACGTGACACCGCCGAGGGCTCCTTCTCCACATATGTCGCCGGGGACGTACTTCGGGATGAACCAACCGGGGTATGCAAGGGCGGCTGAGAACGTCGAGAGGGCACAGGCGCCGCAGCCGGGGTTACCACAACACTTTGTGCCACCTCCAGTGTACCAGCAGGCGCAGATACCGCAGCACGTCCCGTCGTATGCGAGAGTGCCGGACGCTAGACAGCGCAAGCTGAACATCCGTCATTTCGATGGAAAAGAGCTTTACCAGGGGCTAGGGAGCGGTTTTCTATCCTGGGGGAAGAAGTTTGTACGGGAAGTCTCTTTTGCTGAGCGTGCGAGCGGATTTCCGTGGAGTGAGGATGTCAAGATAGACGTCCTTGGACACAATCTCACGGGAATGGCTGAGCGGTACTATAATCGCCAAGTTGAAGGGTGGTGGCAAGAAGAGCCAACATTGGAACACGCCATGCAAAGGCTGCTTCATACATTCGCAACTAAGATAACGCCAGCGCAAAGTATGAAGCTATTTACTGCTGCCAAGAGCCCCAAGCGCAGCTGGACAGAACACTATTTGTATTTGGTCGCAGTAAGCGAGGCATGCGGTGGAGCAGACAACTTGGTCCAAGACAACATAGTCCACTACGCTGATCCGGCAATGAGAGTTTCAATGCTGGCGCGTTTGAATCTAAAAGAATTGATTACTTGCGCCAAGCGGAGGAGCTGGCTCACTTCGCGCAGTCGACGGAGATCGAGCTGCGCGGAAAGCACATTGGAAAGGACGTCGTCAACAACGTTCGACATGTGCGCGAAAAGACACGAAACGGGCGTAAGGACAATCGCAAGTGCTACAGCTGTGGGAAATCTGGACACATAAAAGCTGCGTGCCCGGGGAACAAGGTCTCAAGAGAAGCAAGCGTCGACGTGGACTTCGTGCTCGCAGTGGGCAACCCGAGCGCTAACCACGGCTATTGGATACTGGACAGTGGCTCGAGTCGTCACCTGGTAAACGATGTGAGCATGCTCGAGAACCCAGAGGACTGCCAAAGCGAGTGTATCGCAGCTGACGGAGGGCCCTTGCGCATAACGAAGCGAGGAAGCGTCACAATCACGACCACTGTAATTGGCAAGGTCACTAAAGTGCGACTCCTGGACGTGCAATATGCCGAGAACCTCGAAAGGAACATTATATCCTACGGTATATTGGAGGCTAAAGGGTTTGGGATAGCCTACATGGGTGATCGCAGGGTCGTCGGCAACATTGACAGTGGGGTGGTTGTCTTTGACGTGGAGAAGAAGAACAACGTGCTAATAGTGCGGGACCACGATCGCGGAAGTGTTCAGCTACCATCGGACATACTAATGACGGCTTTAGCGCAAGGAGAATTCGAAGTGAGTCAAGACGTGCAACGGGGCACGCTTATGCACTTTGACAGAAGGTTGGCTCACCTGAATTATGACACGATCCTTCGCATGGCAAAGGATCCAGCCTCAGGGATACAGCTGACCGATGAAACGCGTGAGAACTGTCTAGCTTGCGCTCAAGGTAAACAGACCAAGAACCGGCAGTCGAGAAAAGACACTGGCACGAATGCGCCGATTGATGTTATCAGAGGAGTCATCTGCTCTGACCTGAAGGGTCCTATGACTCCTCGCGACAGATTGGGAAATCGTTACATGGTTAATTTTGTGGATCATCGCACGAACTACTGCAGAGTTTTCCTGGCGAAGAGCAAAGACGTGGCGGCCCAAAATTTTAAACACTTCATGGCATTTTTCGAGAGGCAATTTAATTGTCGCATTCACGTGCTGCGAACGGACGGCGGAGGAGAATATCGTACTCTGGACCTCTTTTGCAAGGAAACAGGAATTGCGAGGCAAATTAGTGAGCCAAGCAACCAAGCCAGTAATGGGAAGGCCGAGAGGATGCATCGCACCATTATGAATATGGTGCGTAGCATGGTGTTTGCGTGCGGACTGCCGCTGAGCTTCTGGGGGGACGCGGCGGAGTATGCGGCCTACATACTGAATCGAAGCCCAAGTAAAGCCAACGCTGGTCGCCTATCACCTCTACAGATGTTGACCAAGAAGGTACCTGTTTTAAGTGATATTGTGGTTTTTGGGTCACCGTGCACTGTGCACCAGGACGCGAAGATTAAGTCACTAGGAGCTCGTGGCAAGCAAGGCGTGATCATAGGCAAGAGCGATGTAGTGAAAGGGTACCGTGTGTACATTCCAAGGGACAAGGTCGTGGTCGTACCTCAACATGTTAAGAACGTTGAAACCCTTACGAAGGAACAAAACGATCAACTACGGCGCGTGCATCTGAAGGAGATTGATGAAGTTGCGTGCGATGGCTCGACGCAGAAAGAGAAGACGCAAGCGAGTGTTCATGATGCGATGAGAAGAAACCACTCGAAAGTTGGTGGCTGGACGCGAGAGGCGCATATGACGAGGGCGACTTCGAGAAAGTCACGCGAAGACAATGCAGAACAAAAAGAGGAGGAGGTTTCGGATGTGGTGAATGTCATTCGTGAGAGCGACCCACAATCCTACGGTCAGGCTATGAAGAGCGGCTTAAAAGATAAGTGGGTGGCAGCAATGGATGAGGAGCTGCGAGCTTTGGAAGACAACGATGTGTGGAAGGTGGAAGTGCCGCCCAAGGGAAGCCATGTCCTACACACCAAATGGGTGTTCAAAACCAAGTTGAACGCAGAGGGAGAGATCGATCGTTTCAAAGCGAGGCTTGTGGCATGCGGGAACGAGCAGGTCTACGGTGTCGACTACGGGTTGACGTTTGCTGCGGTGATGGAATTGAGCACGGTGAAGGTCATACTGGTACTTGCCCTACGTTGGGGGAGTACCAGCAAGACATGGTGACGTACCTAACGCCTACGTGAAGGCGAACAAAGAGGAACACTTGGAGATTTTTCTTGCCATACCTCAAGGCATGACTGTACCTAATGTGATTTTGAAGCAATTTGGAACACAAGGCAGCGACAAACTGGCGCTCAGGCTTAAAAAGTCGCTTTACGGCCTTAAACAGGCGGGTCGTCTTTGGAGCAAATTGCTGGACACGAAACTGGTCGAGGCTGGTTTTAGTCGATGCATGTCTGACGCATGTCTGTACTTCAGACACGACGGAGGCGAGCTGACAATTGTCGGGGTATATGTTGATGATTTGTTGGTGACAGCGACAAGTCAGGACAAGGTGGAAGAATTCTTTAAAGCGATGAGTGTCCTTTCTATTAAGGATTTGGGTCAAGTTAACAAGTTCCTGGGCATAAGGATGGCTCTAAAGGACTCGAAGACTTACACTGTCGATCAGACTACGGCGATCGATGAGATGCTAAATCAACATGGTCTGGATGCAGCAAATGGCGTGAGGGCGCCCATCGGTGACGACAGCAACGACGATGCGTCAGAAGGTGTGTACCTGTCGGCAAATCGGGGCAAGAAAGGCGAGCCTACTGTCCGAAACTTTCAGTCTTTAGTGGGTAGCCTTCTATGGATTGCCCGGTGTTCAAGGCCTGACATTAGCTTCGCGGTTCACAGAGCCACAAGACGTACGCACCAGCCCACTGTCAGCGACTGGAAGCTGGAAAAACGCGTCGCGAGATACCTGAAGACAACAAAAGACATGAAACTCAAGATGAGCCTCGAAGATGAGAAAGATGTTATCACGGTGACATGTTGGAGTGACTCAGACTTTGCGGCAGATAAGTCCGACCGCAAGTCAATAACCGGTGGAGTACTTACGGTGAGTGGAGTCATTGTGCATTGGATCTGCAAAAAGCAGACCGGAGTATCCTTGTCTACCATGGAGGCCGAGTTTACCTCGGCGTCGCACGTTGGACGAGAGCTGCTGGGATTGCGAGAATTGCTGAAGGAGATTGGACTTCCTGTGACGGAGCCAATGAGCATGCTAATGGACAATCAAGCAGCAATCAAGATGTTAGAGTCTGAAGGAAGCATGGCGAGTGCGAAGCACGTGGATGTGCGGATGAAATTCATCTGCGATTATGCTAAAAAGGGTATCGTCAAACCTGAATTCGTCGAGTCGAAGTTGATGAAAGCAGACCTGTTGACGAAGACACTGCCGGCGCCAAGGGTCGCGGAGCTACGCGAATTGTTTAACCTTGTTTGAATGTTGCAGGTGGACCGGATGAAGCGCGTCGTCCGAGGAGGAGTATTGAAAAAGCAGTAGTCGCTGCAAAAACGTGGCAGTCGCCCGACCACTTCAGTTGAATGGCAGTTTCTATCCTGGGATGGTGTAGTAAAATCAGGGCGAAAATATTTGGTGTCGAAGAGATGGAAGCATGGTAGAAACTTGGTAACGACAATAACACTTCTACATTTTGCATTGGCATCTTCCTATTCTAACAGTTCCTAGTGAAGCTTTGGAGAGTCATGAGTCCACCTCTGCTAGAAAACAGAAGCGATATTGGTGCGAGCCACGGACTGAGACAGTCAGTGTACTGGACATCGGTATGGCTGAACTCGTTGAGCTGGAAGATGTCAAAAACGTTAGTTGCGAGCCAAGCTCGTTGAATGGGAAACGGCACGTAACCCTTCGATCAATAATCGTTGTGATTACGAATCAACGAATGCTGAACGCATTGTTGGTCTAGAGCCAAGTCATCATGGATTGAACCCATCTGATGAGCGTGGAGTAGCACGTGCATACCTACTGAGTGATGTTAGCCGTGATTGTGACAAACTAAATGTCATTCAAGACTTTGTTGGTGAAACGCCATTTCGTCAAGGGCGATACCCATTTGATGAGCGAGGAGTGGCACTTAAATACCAACTGGGTGATGATATCACTGGAAGTGACTCATCACCGAATGTCGGCAATGACGTCAGATCGGATATAGATCAAGTTGAGGTTGACGTAGTTCTTTACTTTGGGAACAGTGTAGTTCCAGATGTCGGTAATGACATCGGCCCTGATATTGGGCAAATTTAGGTTGACGTAGTTCGTCACCTTGGGGACAGTGTAGTCCCAGATTTCAGTAATGACATCGTCCCTGATATTGGGTATGTTAAGGTTGACGCAGTTCGCCACCTTGGGGCGGTATAGTCCCGGATGTCGGTAATGACATCGTCTCCGATAGTGAGCAACTTAAGGCTGATGGGCATGTTAATCTCGGGAACATTGCTGTCCCGGGTGTCGGTAATGACACCGACTCTTGTACAGAGCAAGTTAAGGATGATGATGATATCAACCTTGGGAACGAGAAAGTTCCAGTCTCTTTAAGGCGTTCAGTCTCGTTACAGAGACGACAGCGACGCCAGATTGCTTCTATACAACGCAAGGCGTCTGTTACGTCACTGAGTCATACTAGCGAGCAGCTATCTACACTCGTTTATGGTGTGACCGGCCACGTAGATGGGTCAGTGAGTCTTGAGACCCTACCCTCACTGAATTCTCTGTTAGAGCTAGACGAAATGTCTGTCGATGAGCTCGGCCTGATCTTAAAGTCAGGTGACTTATCTGAAGTGGTGGTCATCAGATCCGATTGTAAGTTGAACTCGTCGTCACTCCTTGATGAAGCTGTATTGGAAGACACAAAGGCGGCACTGAGTGCTCGAAGTGGGTCATCAATCTTGAAAGATCCCCAAGACTCTTTTATCCTTTGGTCAAGGAGTTTCAGGATTCGGTGTGTCACGATCCACCTTCCACTCTTCCTTCTGATCGAGGCGTACGTCACGAAATGGACCTGGTTCCTGAAAACAAATACTTTATGACACGGCAATGGCCCCCACCGAAGGAGCAGTGTGACGTCATTGACGACTTCTATCGTGCAAAGCACGCGGTCTGGAATGATGCTTGAGAGCAAGTCTCCACACTCGACACCGACATTTTGCGTCAGAAAGCCAGAATGGCAAGTGGCGCATTGTGCGTGCTTACAATAAGCTCAATACAGCCACGATACCGGCACAGACGCCTATTCCTAGAAATGATGTTCTTTAGAACGCTATGGTAGGTTGTAACATGTTCAGCGCACTTGACTTGGTCGATGAGTGCTGTCAATTGATAATGCGAGCGAGTGATATTCCGCTCACAGCGGTTGATACTCCAAGCGGTATGCTTTGGGAGTGGCTTGTTATGTCTCATGGGATGTCTAATGCCCCGGCTACAGTTTATCGTCTTGTGACACAATTGTTCTGACCTCACCGAGTATACGCACAAAGCTGTTTCGATGACATCTTTGTCCATAGCCGTGCAGACCATGGTAGTACAGATGTGGACAATCACATTGACCATTTACGAGTAAAGCTCGGTACCACTACGTGGTACCGAGCTTGGTGGGGGAGGAATAGCCGATTGGCTTGGTGATGTCAGCCCAACTGCTGTTCAGAAACAGGTGGGCGATTTTCTCGCTACGCGATTGATTGCCTTAAGACACGTACGTGTTGCAATGGATGATAGCCAGGACAAACAAAAGGAATAAGCTGATGCCAAAGGTAGAAAGTGTATTGAGAGCTATGAAGTTGGAGACCTAGTCTTACTTAACGCTAAGAATATACCTACAAGGTGGTGTCAGCGGTCTGCAGGACCAAGTTGCGTCCTCGCTTCATTGGGCCGTTTGCGGTCGTGGCCAAGAACGGCCTAGCGTATACGCTCAACATTCCACGCAAGATGCGAGCACACCCTGTGTTTTACGTCGGCTTGCTTCATCCTTATCTTGAATTGTAGCTGATGGATCACGAGGCGCTGGCGCCGAAAGAGTTGGTAATGCCACAAGTCGAGGAACCCTCAAGAGAAGATCCAGTTGTCCTTCAAGACTCGCCACTCGGTTACGTGGACCGTGCCCCTCGTGCGCTAGCTCGTCGACGACGCGTCAAGCTTCACCGAACACCGCCTGCTCTCGTTGACGAGCCAGGGGATCAATAGTACCATCTTGAGAGAATCCTGCAGCGACGTCGTCGCGACGGTCAGTACCAGTACTTGGTACAGAAGCGGAGGTACCCGGAGTCGGAGAACTCATGGGAGTACGAAGTGCCACTGTGGTAGGATTGTCCGTGTGCCGTTGACGTTTTTGAACGTCGTCTTCAGGGTCTGTCGATCCACACCGCATCCCACTAGTCTGTGTGGGAGTGGAGAGGTTTGCAGCAGCAGCAGGAGCGCTGATGCGCGGGTTCGTAGCTGCCGCATCATAGCGGGTGCGATAAAAAAACGATCGCAGCTGGCATTTGGCCGTTTGTTTTGCAAAATCAAAGCGCATCTTTCGTTTGAGCCGAACGTCAGCAAGTGGAGCTCTCTCTTGGAGAATAAACAGGCTTGGCAGACGGCAGGCTTTTTAAGCCCAACGAATGAAGGCGACATCATCTGCCGCCTTTGTCTCACCAGGACGAGAATAACGGGTACTGTCCGTGAGGCGGACGCTGATGCAACTGGAGCTTGCAGATTCATCTTTTTAAGGTGAGTTTGAGTGGATTTACGCTCGAACACCAGGTATCTCGCTCGAGAGCCTCTCTCTCCGCTAGTGCTGTCGATGTGGCAGCCTTGGGTCCCGTGATCTGTGTTGCCAGTGACTTCTCGGCAGTCTGACGAATGCGTTTATCTACACTCGGTCGTGTGAAGCGGTAACCACTGTGAGCATAAGCTGTGGCTACACTTTGTGCTGGATGCCTGTGGTCATCGATTAACTGAAGATGTTGAGCTTGATCTTCATCAAATGTGTTGTGCAACACACCCAACGCAGCTTCGACGGCTGCACACTGTGCAAGGGGTAAAGGAACCTCCTCGCGTTCCACGAATGGATTAGGCGCGATGCACGTGGTGTCCCGCGCCGGCGGCGTCGCTAAGGCGGTTCATCGATACTAGAAGCGGCGGTGTCACTCGCATAGTCCACCATACTAAATTCTAGAAATTCTTTAGAGTGTTGGACGAAGCCTTTGGCTCATTCATTTTGTGATGTGTTGTGAACACGATGGTCAAGGACCAGAGCGTTGAGACCTCAAAGAGCAGTAGCATTATTTTCGACACAAGGGTGTAGACAATTTGGTAGAGGAAGGTGTAACGGCGTTACACGCGGTTATTGAGTCAGTTGTATTGCGTGTCCACACTAAGTAAAGATTGGTGGGTCTGAGTGGTTTAGTCTTGGTACCACGTACTTTCCGATAATACCGTACCTTATCGGGTAGGGATGAGGGATAATTGAAGTCCTACGACAGAAGTCCTATGACTTCTATCCTAGGATCATAATGCAAACGTCTTATGATTTCTGTCATAGGAACGCAATGTAGAAGTCAATCAGACAAGGCTTTGGAGCTTTATTACCGTAGTTCAAGAATTAATAAAGTTCAGTTCCCCTTTTGAATCGTTAAAAACAAGTGGCGAGTCAAGGCGTAGTGTGTTGTAAGGGTGTTAGCCTTGTAACGGCGCTTACTCTTGTTTAACTAGATGTCTCTAGTTAGTGTGTGATTCTATGAATCGTAACCCCTTTGGAACTGGGATTGTTAAGCTTGTACGGTTGAGCGACTGTACGTCGTTGTTAGTTTGTATAACTAAGAGACTATTTGAGTCGAAGAATTCCTCTGTAGCGGTGCAACTTAGCGCTCCCTAATTAAATATGCCTCAGTGTACGCCACGAGGACAGTACCCGTTATTCTCGTCCTGGTGAGACAAAGGCGGCAGATGATGTCGCCTTCACTCGTTGGGCTCAAAAAGCCTGCCGTCTGCCAAGCCTGTTCATTCTCCAAGAGAGAGCTCCACTTGATGACGTTCAGCTCAAACGAAAGATGCACTTTGATTTTGCAAAACAAAAGGCCAAATGCCAGCTGCGATCGTTTTTTTATCGCACCCGCTATGATGCGGCAGCTACGAACCCGCGCATCAGCGCTCCTGCTGCTGCTGCAAACCTCTCCACTCCCACACAGACTAGTGGGATGCGGTGTGGATCGACAGACCCTGAAGACGACGTTCAAAAACGTCAACGGCACACGGACAATCCTACCACAGTGGCACTTCGTACTCCCATGAGTTCTCCGACTCCGGGTACCTCCGCTTCTGTACCAAGTACTGGTACTGACCGTCGCGACGACGTCGCTGCAGGATTCTCTCAAGATGGTACTATTGATCCCCTGGCTCGTCAACGAGAGCAGGCGGTGTTCGGTGAAGCTTGACGCGTTGTCGAAGAGCTAGCGCACGAGGGGCACGGTCCACGTAACCGAGTGGCGAGTCTTGAAGGACAACTGGATCTTCTCTTGAGGGTTCCTCGACTTGTGGCATTACCAACTCTTTCGGCGCCAGCGCCTCGTGATCCATCAGCTACAATTCAAGATAAGGATGAAGCAAGCCGACGTAAAACACAGGGTGTGCTCGCATCTTGCGTGGAATGTTGAGCGTATACGCTAGGCCGTTCTTGGCCACGACCGCAAACGGCCCAATGAAGCGAGGACGCAACTTGGTCCTGCAGACCGCTGACACCACCTTGTAGGTATATTCTTAGCGTTAAGTAAGACTAGGTCTCCAACTTCATAGCTCTCAATACACTTTCTACCTTTGGCATCAGCTTATTCCTTTTGTTTGTCCTGGCTATCATCCATTGCAACACGTACGTGTCTTAAGGCAATCAATCGCGTAGCGAGAAAATCGCCCACCTGTTTCTGAACAGCAGTTGGGCTGACATCACCAAGCCAATCGGCTATTCCTCCCCCACCAAGCTCGGTACCACGTAGTGGTAGCGTTAACGGAACGAGTGGGTGAGTGAGACCATTCAGCTACAATTTAGTTATCCCGTAGAGGAATGAACAGCTTTGTTTACCGCAAACTCGACCCCATGACCATAGAGAACCGACGCCTAGGCGTATCAGCACAAACACTGCGCAGTGTCATCAATGACACGGTTGACACGCTCAGTTTGACCATCGGTATGCGGATGATCTGCTGTGGACATGTCCAACCTGGTGCCCAGCACACTGAAGATGGAAGTCCAAAACTTCGCAGTGAAACGTGGAAAAAGATCAGAGACCATTGACACAGTCAAACCGTGTTGACGAAACGCACCGTCGATATACATCTTTGCTGTAACTTACCATCGATGTAATCAGGCACAGCCGCCAAATGATCCATCTTGCTCAAACGGTCAACCAAGACCACAATACCAGTGTTGCCGTCCGAATCCTTTGGTAGGCCTACCACAAAGTACGTACTGATGGACTCCCAACACCCAGTGAGTAAAGTTAAACTAGCAATTGGTGCAACCGCATGTGCTGAGGGTTTGACCCGTTGACACGTTTCACATGAACGCACATATGTGCTCACCCATTTGTACAAGTTGGGCCACCAATGTGTCTGGCTAACTGAGCTATAGGTCTTCTCACGACCGAGATGACCGCTCAAAGCAGTTTCATATGCATCAAGAGGATGTGATACTTCATTTCCTCATCACGAGGAGCAAGGATGCGAGGCACATCCTCAACACCCGTGCAATAGCATAACAACCCACCATAGATGACATACCGATGTAGGCTCGCACGTAAACGTGCCAACAATTTGACGTCCGAGTCTTTAAACTACTCGCTTCCAAGAGCATGTAGCAATGCTACACATTGCTCACCACGTGCATATGCCGAAAAAATTAAACACACAATGGATGACGACAGAATCTTAACATGATCAAGCTCGCAATCAGGTCTGCGTGACAACGCATCAGCCAAAGCATTTTGCTTGCCCGGATTACACTTAACCTCGAAGTTGTGTTCAGCAAAGAACGAAAGCCAACGGTCCATACGATGTGAGGGGTGAGGCGACTTTTTCGCAGTGCGTAAAGACGCATGATCTGTGAAGATCACGAAAGGATGATCCAAGGCGACGGGGACTTAACAGGACTTAACAAGATAATACTTCATTGCAAGTAACTCTTTGTCATGAACTTGGTAGCTTTTCTGTAACGCTTTGTCATGAACTTGGTAGCTCTTCTGCAAAACCAATAGCAAAATCAGACGGGTCACAGACGACACTGAAATGCCGCCCAGGGTCAGGCAAAGCCACAATTGGAGCATGAAGGAGACTGTCCTTTATAGCTTCAAAAGCTTGAGCATGAGCTGCGTTCCAATACCAAACTGCATCCTTCTTGATGAGGTTGGTTAATGGCCTTGTCATGTCAGCGTAGTTTGCACTGTACTTGTGCAAGTAATTAACAAGGCTGATTCATTTACGCGAGTCCATTTAGTTCGACGGAACCGACCAGTCTACAGTTCACTTTACCTTAGCGGGGTCCGCTCGAAGGCCACTCTTTCCAACGAAGCACCCGAGAAATGAAATTTATTCTGCACCAAAAATGCATTTCGATGCATTTGCATACGGCGTGTTTGTACGCATGCACTCGAGCATTACTCGTAAATGGTCAATGTGATTGTCCACATCTGTACTACCATGGTCTGCACGGCTATGGACAAAGATGTCATCGAAACAGCTTTGTGCGTATACTCGGTGAGGTCGGAACAATTGTGTCACAAGACGATAAACTGTAGCCGGGGCATTAGACATCCCATGAGACATAACAAGCCACTCCCAAAGCATACCGCTTGAAGTATCAACCGCTGTGAGCGGAATATCACTCGCTCGCATGAGCAATTGACAGCACTCATCGACCAAGTCAAGTGCGCTGAACATGTTACAACCTACCATAGCGCTCTAAAGAACATCATTTCTAGGAATAGGCGTCTGTGCCGGTATCGTGGCTGCATTGAGCTTATTGTAAGCACGCACAATGCGCCACTTGCCATTCTGGCTTTCTGACACAAAATGTCGGTGTCGAGTGTGGAGACTTGCTCTCAAGCATCATTCCAGACCGCGTGCTTTGCACGATAGAAGTCGTCAATGACGTCACACTGCTCCTTCGGTGGGGGCCATTGCCGTGTCATAAAGTATTTGTTTTCAGGAACCAGGTCAATTTCGTGACGTACGCCTCGATCAGAAGGAAGAGTGGAAGGTGGATCGTGACACACCAAATCCTGAAACTCCTTAACCAAAGGATAAAAGAGTCTTGGGGATCTTTCAAGATTGATGACCCACTTCGAGCACTCAGTGCCGCCTTTGTGTCCTTCAATACAGCTTCATCAAGGAGTGACGACGAGTTCAACTTACAATCGGATCTGATGACCACCACTTCAGATAAGTCACCTGACTTTAAGATCAGGCCGAGCTCATCGACAGACATTTCGTCTAGCTCTAACAGAGAATTCAGTGAGGGTAGGGTCTCAAGACTCACTGACCCATCTACGTGGCCGGTCACACCATAAACGAGTGTATATAGCTGCTCGCTAGTATGACTCAGTGACGTAACAGACGCCTTGCGTTGCATAGAAGCAATCTGGCGTCGCTGTCGTCTCTGTAACGAGACTGAACGCCTTAAAGAGACTGGAACTTTCTCGTTCCCAGGGTTGATATCATCATAATCCTTAACTCGCTCTGTACAAGAGTCGGTGTCATTACCGACATCCGGGACAGCAATGTTCCCGAGATTAACATGCCCATCAGCCTTAAGTTGCTCATTACCAGAGACGATGCCATTACCGACATCCGGGACTATACCGCCCCCAAGGTGGCGAACTGCGTCAACCTTAATATACCCAATATCAGGGACGATGTCATTACTGAAATCTGGGACTACACTGTCCCCAAGGTGACGAACTACGTCAACCTAAATTTGCACAATATCAGGGCCGATGTCATTACCGACATCTGGGACTACACTGTTCCCAAAGTAAAGAACTACGTCAACCTCAACTTGATCTATATCCGATCTGACGTCATTGCCGACATTCGGTGATGAGTCACTTCCAGTGATATCATCACCCAGTTGGTATTTAAGTGCCACTCCTCGCTCATCAAATGGGTATCGCCCTTGACGAAATGGCGTTTCACCAACAAAGTCTTGGATGACATTTAGTTTGTCACAATCACGGCTAACATCACTCAGTGGGTATGCACGTGCTACTCCACGCTCATCAGATGGGTTCAATCCATGATGACTTGGCTCTAGACCAACAATGCGTTCAGCATTCGTTGATTCGTAATCACAACGATTATTGATCGACGGGTTACGTGCCGTTTCCCATTCAACGAGCTTGGCTCGCAACTAACGTTTTTGACATCTTCCAGCTCAACGAGTTCAGCCATACCGATGTCCAGTACACTGACTGTCTCAGTCCGTGGCTCGCACCAATATCGCTTCTGTTTTCTAGCAGAGGTGGGCTCATGACTCTCCAAAGCTTCACTAGGAACAGTGCGCGTTGCGCCTAAGGTCTTTGACCTCCAGTCACTCCATGGCTCATGGCGTTCTAGCCAAGCCATATCAAGGACATACCTCTCATCCAAGTCAAGGACTAAACAGCTTTCGATACTGTCAAAGTCCGAAAACTTAACGCCCAAGCTTACATGAACTTTAGCCATAGTGACTAATGCATCTGTCGCCATGCAAACAGTGATAGTCTCATTATTTCGTTCTTTCAGCGCCTCAGCATACTGCTGACTTTTTCCAGGGAACAACGTCGGACATAATAACTCGACGTCCCGGAGTCGATCAATATCGACCATAATTTATTAAAGCCCTTTACCAGGATTTTGTAACTAACAAGTCTGGCTTGAACTCATGTTTCGTGACTTTGCTTCAAAGCCACTTGGGGATAAGCCCTGTTCTCTATCACATCAAAGATGTACAACAGAGCCTAGGTTTTCCCCGTCAGGGCGCCCCGCGCCTACTAAAACTCGACGTTTTCCCGCGCCTGGCAAACTCAATGGTTATCGACGGAAGGTCGGCTCGAACGAGCTTGTCTGATCCTCCTCAAATGACAATTTGTGGCGAAGATGTTTGATGCTTCCGCACGTAAAACATCTATGGATGTTCGAACGCTGCCCGACAGCATAGAGCTCAGCTTCTTCGTCTCTCTCAGAGAGACTAAGATTCATGGGTTCTGCCCTATAAATGAGATGAGCATTGCTCGACGAGTTCGATTGGAGCCCATGAGTCCCATGTAGGGCAGCTATAAGTTGAAGTCTGCGTTCAACGCTATGTCCACTGCACCCTCAAATGTCAATGGTTGTGCACGAAACACTTCTGTTCTGGCAACGCCAGTGCAAAGACCCTCCATGAAAATGGCTACCAAAACCGTCTCAGGTAAAGGGTCAAGCTGCATAGCAGCAATGAGACTTCAAAACTCCTGGACATAATCGAATAAGTCCTTTTTTTCTGGCGGGTTGACAGGACTCGTGATCGCACGGGATATGCCCTGATTAGGCGGTGCAAACACTCAAGATAGCTGCTGTTTCAGCATGTTCCGGATGGGAAAAGCCTCGCCTGTCGAGGTACCAGAAGTGACGGCCCACTCCCTGGATCGCCCACCTAACTTCGATAAGGCCAGGCCCACCTTTTGCTGCTCTGACCGCAGCAAGGCCGAGCTGATGGTAACCTCCATCTCCCGAACCCACAAAAAAAAGATTTTCCCCCTTTTCCCCTCAAAAGTCTTGACACTTAAGACTAGAGGACGAGTTCTCGACTCAGTGTCCGTTGGGACATACCGAGTGGGCATGGCAGATGCCACATGGTCATGCACCTGTCCGATCAACGTGGAATCAAAGTTCGAGAAGGCCTCGAGACGTGCACGAAGTGCTTCCAGACCTTGCGACACTATAATAGCCACTTGTTCGTGCTCGATCAACGCCTTGAGCTTCTCAAGCGTGACCTGCTGGGCCTCAGAGAGGTTCATGGCCGTTTCCATCCTCGCAGAGATTTCAGTCCGTGAAGACTCAGGTGTAGATTGACTACAAGTGCTACAAAGTGTAGCGGAGATACTTAGCGCTCCTTAACAGAGGAAGTCTTCGACTCAAATAGTCTCTTTGTTATACAAACTAACAACGACGTACAGTCGCTCAACCGTACAAGCTTAACAATCCCAGTTCCAAAGGGGTTACGATTCATAGAATCACACACTAACTAGAGACTTCTAGTTAAACAAGAGTAAGCGCCGTTACAAGGCTAACACCCTTACGACACACTACGCCTTGACTCGCCACTAGTGTCCAACGATTCAAAAGGGGAACTGAACTTTATTAATTCTTGAACTACGGTAATAAAGCTCCAAAGCCTTGTCTGATTGACTTCTACATTGCGATCCTATGACAGAAATCATAAGACGTTTGCATTATGATCCTAGGATAGAAGTCATAGGACTTCTGTCGTAGGACTTCAATTATCCCTCATCCCTACCCGATAAGGTACGGTATTATCGGAAAGTACGTGGTACCAAGACTAAACCACTCAGACCCACCAATCTTTACTTAGTGTGGACACGCAATAAAACCGGTTCAATAACAACGTGCAACCCCATTAACGAATGTGTATCTCTGGCTGGTGATCCATGTTGGTGACCGACGTCGATGACTGCGTTGTGTCCGTCGACATCAACGTCGACGTGGTGATCAAACCAGGTGGCTGCTGAGTTGTGTGTGGACGTCGTCTATGTTTGGTGGCTTGACAATGAATGCAAGGAGGGCCCTTGCGATGACAGTTTGTGCAAGTGGTACGAATACCAGTGCGTTTGTTTGAGATGGACATTGACACTTTTCGGCAATCGATGACATAGAAGGAGAGACTGGACGGAGCATGCTAATCCGCGCTAAGAGAAAACGTGTCCGTCTGAACGAGTCGGCATGTTCGTGTCGATGTGAACATGCAGATACAAAGACATTGGTCGTGACAAGATGATCTGATCTGAACGTGCTGCTGGAAGAACGTGCTGCTGGAAGAAGGTTTACGTGTTGACCTTCGCGAGGTGGCTGGCTGACAACTGGCTGCAAAGCCTCGACAGTATATATATTGGCGAGCTCCAACTGCCCGACAGCACCGAAAGTACAGGTGGTCGATCCTTCCGTCGACAGGTTGACATGCTGAGCCAAGTGATGACGAAAAGTAGCGACAAACAGCCTCACAAACAAGAGCGAGTCCGGCGGTGCACGCAGATTTTCTTCTTGCTCGGCTTCCGTGTCGTCTCGTTCGTGAGCCCGTCTGCATGCGCTGCAGCATGTCAGTCGGCGTGATGTCCAGCATGTGTGAGGTCTACCATCCCCATCCGCCACCGTAGCCTCCCCCATCCACCCCGTAGCCACCCCATCCTCCGAAGCCACCCCAGGGACGTCCCCATCCCAAGCCTCCCCACCACTCCTTGGACACCTTGCCTTCCGCACCGATGACGGCAGTAGGCTCTTTTTCCGCAGCTACATCAGCAGCAGCCTCAACAGGATGCGAATGTCGCTCGGTAGGACCCGCTGCCATCGTGTCAGTGCTGGGTGTAGCTGGTTCCGATGCAGCAAGGGCTCGGAGCGCCGGCTGGTAGTCAGTAGCTGAGGCGACGCTTGCTACAGCAACTAGCGCGGTGACGGCGAGAGCAGTGCACTTCATGGTCGATTTGGTCGGTTGGTCGAGTACTTGCTCGCTAGGTGTTGGTGTGGTAGTGCCAGTTGGTTTGTGAGTGCGATCGATGTACGAGCTAGCGAGTGGGCTGGTGTTGCGACGAGTGACTCGTCACGTAGCGTCATGGTGACTGCTTCAATTGATTGAGTTGATTGATTGCAAATCGAGTAGATGGTTGAAAAGTCGGCGCGTCTCGATCGCGTTTCCAGTCACGAGCGTGGAATAGAACTTCGAGCGAGGTTTGAATTCCACTGTAGTTTTGTCGACATGATGGACGGTTGATGGTCGTCGAAGAAGGTCGCGGAGGGTGGTAGTCCGGTTCCGTCGCTCATGAATCGGTGGTACCTGCTAGAAGACAACCATAAGTAGAATGGTGAAGGTCCATAAGTAGAACGGTGGAGGCGTGTGTATCTCTGGCTGGTGATCAATGTTGGTGACCGACGTCGATGACTGCGTTGTGTCCGTCGACATCAACGTCGACGTGGTGACCAAACCAGGTGGCTGCTGAGTTGTGTGTGGACGTCGTCTATGTTTGGTGGCTTGACAATGAATGCAAGGAGGGCCCTTGCGATGACAGTTTGTGCAAGTGGTACGAATACCAGTGCGTTTGTTTGAGATGGACATTGACACTTTTCGGCAATCGATGACATAGAAGGAGAAACTGGACGGAGCATGCTAATCGCGCTAAGAGAAAACGTGTCCGTCTGAACGAGTCGGCATGTTCGTGTCGATGTGAACATGCAGATACAAAGACATTGGTCGTGACAAGATGATCTGATCTGAACGTGCTGCTGGAAGAACGTGCTGCTGGAAGAAGGTGTTGACCTTTGCGAGGTGGCTGGCTGACAACTGGCTGCAAAGCCTCGATAGTATATATATTGGCGAGCTCCAACTGCCCGACAGCACCGAAAGTACAGGTGGTCGATTCTTCCGTCGACAGGTTGACATGCTGAGCCAAGTGATGACGAAAAGTAGCGACAAACAGCCTCACAAACAAGAGCGAGTCCGGCGGTGCACGCAGATTTTTCTTCTTGCTCGGCTTCCGTGTCGTCTCGTTCGTGAGCCCGTCTGCATGCGCTGCAGCATGTCAGTCGGCGCGATGTCCAGCATGTGTGAGGTCTACCATCCCCATCCGCCACCGTAGCCTCCCCCATCCACCGTAGCCACCCCATCCTCCGAAGCCACCCCAGGGACGTCCCCATCCCAAGCCTCCCCACCACTCCTTGGACACCTTGCCTTCCGCACCAATGACGGCAGTAGGCTCTTTTCCGCAGCTACATCAGCAGCAGCCTCAACAGGATGCGAATGTCGCTCGGTAGGACCCGCTGCCATCGTGTCAGTGCTGGGTGTAGCTGGTTCCGATGCAGCAAGGGCTCGGAGCGCCGGCTGGTAGTCAGTAGCTGAGGCGACGCTTGCTACAGCAACTAGCGCGGTGACGGCGAGAGCAGTGCACTTCATGGTCGATTTGGTCGGTTGGTCGAGTACTTGCTCGCTAGGTGTTGGTGTGGTAGTGCCAGTTGGTTTGTGAGTGCGATCGATGTACGAGCTAGCGAGTGGGCTGGTGTTGCGACGAGTGACTCGTCACGTAGCGTCATGGTGACTGCTTCAATTGATTGAGTTGATTGATTGCAAATCGAGTAGATGGTTGAAAAGTCGGCGCGTCTCGATCGCGTTTCCAGTCACGAGCGTGGAATAGAACTTCGAGCGAGGTTTGAATTCCACTGTAGTTTTGTCGACATGATGGACGGTTGATGGTCGTCGAAGAAGGTCGCGGAGGGTGGTAGTCCGGTTCCGTCGCTCATGAATCGGTGGTACCTGCTAGAAGACAACCATAAGTAGAATGGTGAAGGTCCATAAGTAGAACGGTGGAGGCGTGTGTATCTCTGGCTGGTGATCAATGTTGGTGACCGACGTCGATGACTGCGTTGTGTCCGTCGACATCAACGTCGACGTGGTGACCAAACCAGGTGGCTGCTGAGTTGTGTGTGGACGTCGTCTATGTTTGGTGGCTTGACAATGAATGCAAGGAGGGCCCTTGCGATGACAGTTTGTGCAAGTGGTACGAATACCAGTGCGTTTGTTTGAGATGGACATTGACACTTTTCGGCAATCGATGACATAGAAGGAGAGACTGGACGGAGCATGCTAACCGCGCTAAGAGAAAACGTGTCCGTCTGAACGAGTCGGCATGTTCGTGTCGATGTGAACATGCAGATACAAAGACATTGGTCGTGACAAGATGATCTGATCTGAACGTGCTGCTGGAAGAACGTGCTGCTGGAAGAAGGTGTTGACCTTCGCGAGGTGGCTGGCTGACAACTGGCTGCAAAGCCTCGACAGTATATATATTGGCGAGCTCCAACTGCCCGACAGCACCGAAAGTACAGGTGGTCGATTCTTCCGTCGACAGGTTGACATGCTGAGCCAAGTGATGACGAAAAGTAGCGACAAACAGCCTCACAAACAAGAGCGAGTCCGGCGGTGCACGCAGATTTTTCTTCTTGCTCGGCTTCCGTGTCGTCTCGTTCGTGAGCCCGTCTGCATGCGCTGCAGCATGTCAGTCGGCGCGATGTCCAGCATGTGTGAGGTCTACCATCCCCATCCGCCACCGTAGCCTCCCCATCCACCCCGTAGCCACCCCATCCCCCGAAGCCACCCCAGGGACGTCCCCATCCCAAGCCTCCCCACCACTCCTTGGACTCCTTGCCTTCCGCACCGATGACGGCAGTAGGCTCGTTTTCCGCAGCTACATCAGCAGCAGCCTCAACAGGATGCGAATGTCGCTCGGTAGGACCCGCTGCCATCGTGTCAGTGCTGGGTGTAGCTGGTTCCGATGCAGCAAGGGCTCGGAGCGCCGGCTGGTAGTCAGTAGCTGAGGCGACGCTTGCTACAGCAACTAGCGCGGTGACGGCGAGAGCAGTGCACTTCATGGTCGATTTGGTCGGTTGGTCGAGTACTTGCTCGCTAGGTGTTGGTGTGGTAGTGCCAGTTGGTTTGTGAGTGCGATCGATGTACGAGCTAGCGAGTGGGCTGGTGTTGCGACGAGTGACTCGTCACGTAGCGTCATGGTGACTGCTTCAATTGATTGAGTTGATTGATTGCAAATCGAGTAGATGGTTGAAAAGTCGGCGCGTCTCGATCGCGTTTCCAGTCACGAGCGTGGAATAGAACTTCGAGCGAGGTTTGAATTCCACTGTAGTTTTGTCGACATGATGGACGGTTGATGGTCGTCGAAGAAGGTCGCGGAGGGTGGTAGTCCGGTTCCGTCGCTCATGAATCGGTGGTACCTGCTAGAAGACAACCATAAGTAGAATGGTGAAGGTCCATAAGTAGAACGGTGGAGGCGTGTGTATCTCTGGCTGGTGATCAATGTTGGTGACCGACGTCGATGACTGCGTTGTGTCCGTCGACATCAACGTCGACGTGGTGACCAAACCAGGTGGCTGCTGAGTTGTGTGTGGACGTCGTCTATGTTTGGTGGCTTGACAATGAATGCAAGGAGGGCCCTTGCGATGACAGTTTGTGCAAGTGGTACGAATACCAGTGCGTTTGTTTGAGATGGACATTGACACTTTTCGGCAATCGATGACATAGAAGGAGAGACTGGACGGAGCATGCTAATCGCGCTAAGAGAAAACGTGTCCGTCTGAACGAGTCGGCATGTTCGTGTCGATGTGAACATGCAGATACAAAGACATTGGTCGTGACAAGATGATCTGATCTGAACGTGCTGCTGGAAGAACGTGCTGCTGGAAGAAGGTGTTGACCTTTGCGAGGTGGCTGGCTGACAACTGGCTGCAAAGCCTCGACAGTATATATATTGGCGAGCTCCAACTGCCCGACAGCACCGAAAGTACAGGTGGTCGATTCTTCCGTCGACAGGTTGACATGCTGAGCCAAGTGATGACGAAAAGTAGCGACAAACAGCCTCACAAACAAGAGCGAGTCCGGCGGTGCACGCAGATTTTTCTTCTTGCTCGGCTTCCGTGTCGTCTCGTTCGTGAGCCCGTCTGCATGCGCTGCAGCATGTCAGTCGGCGCGATGTCCAGCATGTGTGAGGTCTACCATCCCCATCCGCCACCGTAGCCTCCCCATCCACCGTAGCCACCCCATCCCCCGAAGCCACCCCAGGGACGTCCCCATCCCAAGCCTCCCCACCACTCCTTGGACTCCTTGCCTTCCGCACCGATGACGGCAGTAGGCTCGTTTTCCGCAGCTACATCAGCAGCAGCCTCAACAGGATGCGAATGTCGCTCGGTAGGACCCGCTGCCATCGTGTCAGTGCTGGGTGTAGCTGGTTCCGATGCAGCAAGGGCTCGGAGCGCCGGCTGGTAGTCAGTAGCTGAGGCGACGCTTGCTACAGCAACTAGCGCGGTGACGGCGAGAGCAGTGCACTTCATGGTCGATTTGGTCGGTTGGTCGAGTACTTGCTCGCTAGGTGTTGGTGTGGTAGTGCCAGTTGGTTTGTGAGTGCGATCGATGTACGAGCTAGCGAGTGGGCTGGTGTTGCGACGAGTGACTCGTCACGTAGCGTCATGGTGACTGCTTCAATTGATTGAGTTGATTGATTGCAAATCGAGTAGATGGTTGAAAAGTCGGCGCGTCTCGATCGCGTTTCCAGTCACGAGCGTGGAATAGAACTTCGAGCGAGGTTTGAATTCCACTGTAGTTTTGTCGACATGATGGACGGTTGATGGTCGTCGAAGAAGGTCGCGGAGGGTGGTAGTCCGGTTCCGTCGCTCATGAATCGGTGGTACCTGCTAGAAGACAACCATAAGTAGAATGGTGAAGGTCCATAAGTAGAACGGTGGAGGCGTGTGTATCTCTGGCTGGTGATCAATGTTGGTGACCGACGTCGATGACTGCGTTGTGTCCGTCGACATCAACGTCGACGTGGTGACCAAACCAGGTGGCTGCTGAGTTGTGTGTGGACGTCGTCTATGTTTGGTGGCTTGACAATGAATGCAAGGAGGGCCCTTGCGATGACAGTTTGTGCAAGTGGTACGAATACCAGTGCGTTTGTTTGAGATGGACATTGACACTTTTCGGCAATCGATGACATAGAAGGAGAGACTGGACGGAGCATGCTAATCGCGCTAAGAGAAAACGTGTCCGTCTGAACGAGTCGGCATGTTCGTGTCGATGTGAACATGCAGATACAAAGACATTGGTCGTGACAAGATGATCTGATCTGAACGTGCTGCTGGAAGAACGTGCTGCTGGAAGAAGGTGTTGACCTTTGCGAGGTGGCTGGCTGACAACTGGCTGCAAAGCCTCGACAGTATATATATTGGCGAGCTCCAACTGCCCGACAGCACCGAAAGTACAGGTGGTCGATTCTTCCGTCGACAGGTTGACATGCTGATCCAAGTGATGACGAAAAGTAGCGACAAACAGCCTCACAAACAAGAGCGAGTCCGGCGGTGCACGCAGATTTTTCTTCTTGCTCGGCTTCCGTGTCGTCTCGTTCGTGAGCCCGTCTGCATGCGCTGCAGCATGTCAGTCGGCGCGATGTCCAGCATGTGTGAGGTCTACCATCCCCATCCGCCACCGTAGCCTCCCCATCCACCGTAGCCACCCCATCCTCCGAAGCCACCCCAGGGACGTCCCCATCCCAAGCCTCCCCACCACTCCTTGGACACCTTGCCTTCCGCACCGATGACGGCAGTAGGCTCGTTTTCCGCAGCTACATCAGCAGCAGCCTCAACAGGATGCGAATGTCGCTCGGTAGGACCCGCTGCCATCGTGTCAGTGCTGGGTGTAGCTGGTTCCGATGCAGCAAGGGCTCGGAGCGCCGGCTGGTAGTCAGTAGCTGAGGCGACGCTTGCTACAGCAACTAGCGCGGTGACGGCGAGAGCAGTGCACTTCATGGTCGATTTGGTCGGTTGGTCGAGTACTTGCTCGCTAGGTGCTGGTGTGGTAGTGCCAGTTGGTTTGTGAGTGCGATCGATGTACGAGCTAGCGAGTGGGCTGGTGTTGCGACGAGTGACTCGTCACGTAGCGTCATGGTGACTGCTTCAATTGATTGAGTTGATTGATTGCAAATCGAGTAGATGGTTGAAAAGTCGGCGCGTCTCGATCGCGTTTCCAGTCACGAGCGTGGAATAGAACTTCGAGCGAGGTTTGAATTCCACTGTAGTTTTGTCGACATGATGGACGGTTGATGGTCGTCGAAGAAGGTCGCGGAGGGTGGTAGTCCGGTTCCGTCGCTCATGAATCGGTGGTACCTGCTAGAAGACAACCATAAGTAGAATGGTGAAGGTCCATAAGTAGAACGGTGGAGGCGTGTGTATCTCTGGCTGGTGATCAATGTTGGTGACCGACGTCGATGACTGCGTTGTGTCCGTCGACATCAACGTCGACGTGGTGACCAAACCAGGTGGCTGCTGAGTTGTGTGTGGACGTCGTCTATGTTTGGTGGCTTGACAATGAATGCAAGGAGGGCCCTTGCGATGACAGTTTGTGCAAGTGGTACGAATACCAGTGCGTTTGTTTGAGATGGACATTGACACTTTTCGGCAATCGATGACATAGAAGGAGAGACTGGACGGAGCATGCTAATCGCGCTAAGAGAAAACGTGTCCGTCTGAACGAGTCGGCATGTTCGTGTCGATGTGAACATGCAGATACAAAGACATTGGTCGTGACAAGATGATCTGATCTGAACGTGCTGCTGGAAGAACGTGCTGCTGGAAGAAGGTGTTGACCTTTGCGAGGTGGCTGGCTGACAACTGGCTGCAAAGCCTCGACAGTATATATATTGGCGAGCTCCAACTGCCCGACAGCACCGAAAGTACAGGTGGTCGATTCTTCCGTCGACAGGTTGACATGCTGATCCAAGTGATGACGAAAAGTAGCGACAAACAGCCTCACAAACAAGAGCGAGTCCGGCGGTGCACGCAGATTTTTCTTCTTGCTCGGCTTCCGTGTCGTCTCGTTCGTGAGCCCGTCTGCATGCGCTGCAGCATGTCAGTCGGCGCGATGTCCAGCATGTGTGAGGTCTACCATCCCCATCCGCCACCGTAGCCTCCCCCATCCACCGTAGCCACCCCATCCTCCGAAGCCACCCCAGGGACGTCCCCATCCCAAGCCTCCCCACCACTCCTTGGACACCTTGCCTTCCGCACCGATGACGGCAGTAGGCTCGTTTTCCGCAGCTACATCAGCAGCAGCCTCAACAGGATGCGAATGTCGCTCGGTAGGACCCGCTGCCATCGTGTCAGTGCTGGGTGTAGCTGGTTCCGATGCAGCAAGGGCTCGGAGCGCCGGCTGGTAGTCAGTAGCTGAGGCGACGCTTGCTACAGCAACTAGCGCGGTGACGGCGAGAGCAGTGCACTTCATGGTCGATTTGGTCGGTTGGTCGAGTACTTGCTCGCTAGGTGTTGGTGTGGTAGTGCCAGTTGGTTTGTGAGTGCGATCGATGTACGAGCTAGCGAGTGGGCTGGTGTTGCGACGAGTGACTCGTCACGTAGCGTCATGGTGACTGCTTCAATTGATTGAGTTGATTGATTGCAAATCGAGTAGATGGTTGAAAAGTCGGCGCGTCTCGATCGCGTTTCCAGTCACGAGCGTGGAATAGAACTTCGAGCGAGGTTTGAATTCCACTGTAGTTTTGTCGACATGATGGACGGTTGATGGTCGTCGAAGAAGGTCGCGGAGGGTGGTAGTCCGGTTCCGTCGCTCATGAATCGGTGGTACCTGCTAGAAGACAACCATAAGTAGAATGGTGAAGGTCCATAAGTAGAACGGTGGAGGCGTGTGTATCTCTGGCTGGTGATCAATGTTGGTGACCGACGTCGATGACTGCGTTGTGTCCGTCGACATCAACGTCGACGTGGTGACCAAACCAGGTGGCTGCTGAGTTGTGTGTGGACGTCGTCTATGTTTGGTGGCTTGACAATGAATGCAAGGAGGGCCCTTGCGATGACAGTTTGTGCAAGTGGTACGAATACCAGTGCGTTTGTTTGAGATGGACATTGACACTTTTCGGCAATCGATGACATAGAAGGAGAGACTGGACGGAGCATGCTAATCGCGCTAAGAGAAAACGTGTCCGTCTGAACGAGTCGGCATGTTCGTGTCGATGTGAACATGCAGATACAAAGACATTGGTCGTGACAAGATGATCTGATCTGAACGTGCTGCTGGAAGAACGTGCTGCTGGAAGAAGGTGTTGACCTTTGCGAGGTGGCTGGCTGACAACTGGCTGCAAAGCCTCGACAGTATATATATTGGCGAGCTCCAACTGCCCGACAGCACCGAAAGTACAGGTGGTCGATTCTTCCGTCGACAGGTTGACATGCTGAGCCAAGTGATGACGAAAAGTAGCGACAAACAGCCTCACAAACAAGAGCGAGTCCGGCGGTGCACGCAGATTTTTCTTCTTGCTCGGCTTCCGTGTCGTCTCGTTCGTGAGCCCGTCTGCATGCGCTGCAGCATGTCAGTCGGCGCGATGTCCAGCATGTGTGAGGTCTACCATCCCCATCCGCCACCGTAGCCTCCCCATCCACCGTAGCCACCCCATCCTCCGAAGCCACCCCCAGGGACGTCCCCATCCCAAGCCTCCCCACCACTCCTTGGACACCTTGCCTTCCGCACCGATGACGGCAGTAGGCTCGTTTTCCGCAGCTACATCAGCAGCAGCCTCAACAGGATGCGAATGTCGCTCGGTAGGACCCGCTGCCATCGTGTCAGTGCTGGGTGTAGCTGGTTCCGATGCAGCAAGGGCTCGGAGCGCCGGCTGGTAGTCAGTAGCTGAGGCGACGCTTGCTACAGCAACTAGCGCGGTGACGGCGAGAGCAGTGCACTTCATGGTCGATTTGGTCGGTTGGTCGAGTACTTGCTCGCTAGGTGTTGGTGTGGTAGTGCCAGTTGGTTTGTGAGTGCGATCGATGTACGAGCTAGCGAGTGGGCTGGTGTTGCGACGAGTGACTCGTCACGTAGCGTCATGGTGACTGCTTCAATTGATTGAGTTGATTGATTGCAAATCGAGTAGATGGTTGAAAAGTCGGCGCGTCTCGATCGCGTTTCCAGTCACGAGCGTGGAATAGAACTTCGAGCGAGGTTTGAATTCCACTGTAGTTTTGTCGACATGATGGACGGTTGATGGTCGTCGAAGAAGGTCGCGGAGGGTGGTAGTCCGGTTCCGTCGCTCATGAATCGGTGGTACCTGCTAGAAGACAACCATAAGTAGAATGGTGAAGGTCCATAAGTAGAACGGTGGAGGCGTGTGTATCTCTGGCTGGTGATCAATGTTGGTGACCGACGTCGATGACTGCGTTGTGTCCGTCGACATCAACGTCGACGTGGTGACCAAACCAGGTGGCTGCTGAGTTGTGTGTGGACGTCGTCTATGTTTGGTGGCTTGACAATGAATGCAAGGAGGGCCCTTGCGATGACAGTTTGTGCAAGTGGTACGAATACCAGTGCGTTTGTTTGAGATGGACATTGACACTTTTCGGCAATCGATGACATAGAAGGAGAGACTGGACGGAGCATGCTAATCGCGCTAAGAGAAAACGTGTCCGTCTGAACGAGTCGGCATGTTCGTGTCGATGTGAACATGCAGATACAAAGACATTGGTCGTGACAAGATGATCTGATCTGAACGTGCTGCTGGAAGAACGTGCTGCTGGAAGAAGGTGTTGACCTTTGCGAGGTGGCTGGCTGACAACTGGCTGCAAAGCCTCGACAGTATATATATTGGCGAGCTCCAACTGCCCGACAGCACCGAAAGTACAGGTGGTCGATTCTTCCGTCGACAGGTTGACATGCTGAGCCAAGTGATGACGAAAAGTAGCGACAAACAGCCTCACAAACAAGAGCGAGTCCGGCGGTGCACGCAGATTTTTCTTCTTGCTCGGCTTCCGTGTCGTCTCGTTCGTGAGCCCGTCTGCATGCGCTGCAGCATGTCAGTCGGCGCGATGTCCAGCATGTGTGAGGTCTACCATCCCCATCCGCCACCGTAGCCTCCCCATCCACCGTAGCCACCCCATCCTCCGAAGCCACCCCCAGGGACGTCCCCATCCCAAGCCTCCCCACCACTCCTTGGACACCTTGCCTTCCGCACCGATGACGGCAGTAGGCTCGTTTTCCGCAGCTACATCAGCAGCAGCCTCAACAGGATGCGAATGTCGCTCGGTAGGACCCGCTGCCATCGTGTCAGTGCTGGGTGTAGCTGGTTCCGATGCAGCAAGGGCTCGGAGCGCCGGCTGGTAGTCAGTAGCTGAGGCGACGCTTGCTACAGCAACTAGCGCGGTGACGGCGAGAGCAGTGCACTTCATGGTCGATTTGGTCGGTTGGTCGAGTACTTGCTCGCTAGGTGTTGGTGTGGTAGTGCCAGTTGGTTTGTGAGTGCGATCGATGTACGAGCTAGCGAGTGGGCTGGTGTTGCGACGAGTGACTCGTCACGTAGCGTCATGGTGACTGCTTCAATTGATTGAGTTGATTGATTGCAAATCGAGTAGATGGTTGAAAAGTCGGCGCGTCTCGATCGCGTTTCCAGTCACGAGCGTGGAATAGAACTTCGAGCGAGGTTTGAATTCCACTGTAGTTTTGTCGACATGATGGACGGTTGATGGTCGTCGAAGAAGGTCGCGGAGGGTGGTAGTCCGGTTCCGTCGCTCATGAATCGGTGGTACCTGCTAGAAGACAACCATAAGTAGAATGGTGAAGGTCCATAAGTAGAACGGTGGAGGCGTGTGTATCTCTGGCTGGTGATCAATGTTGGTGACCGACGTCGATGACTGCGTTGTGTCCGTCGACATCAACGTCGACGTGGTGACCAAACCAGGTGGCTGCTGAGTTGTGTGTGGACGTCGTCTATGTTTGGTGGCTTGACAATGAATGCAAGGAGGGCCCTTGCGATGACAGTTTGTGCAAGTGGTACGAATACCAGTGCGTTTGTTTGAGATGGACATTGACACTTTTCGGCAATCGATGACATAGAAGGAGAAACTGGACGGAGCATGCTAATCGCGCTAAGAGAAAACGTGTCCGTCTGAACGAGTCGACATGTTCGTGTCGATGTGAACATGCAGATACAAAGACATTGGTCGTGACAAGATGATCTGATCTGAACGTGCTGCTGGAAGAACGTGCTGCTGGAAGAAGGTGTTGACCTTCGCGAGGTGGCTGGCTGACAACTGGCTGCAAAGCCTCGACAGTATATATATTGGCGAGCTCCAACTGCCCGACAGCACCGAAAGTACAGGTGGTCGATTCTTCCGTCGACAGGTTGACATGCTGAGCCAAGTGATGACGAAAAGTAGCGACAAACAGCCTCACAAACAAGAGCGAGTCCGGCGGTGCACGCAGATTTTTCTTCTTGCTCGGCTTCCGTGTCGTCTCGTTCGTGAGCCCGTCTGCATGCGCTGCAGCATGTCAGTCGGCGCGATGTCCAGCATGTGTGAGGTCTACCATCCCCATCCGCCACCGTAGCCTCCCCATCCACCGTAGCCACCCCATCCCCCCCGAAGCCACCCCAGGGACGTCCCCATCCCAAGCCTCCCCACCACTCCTTGGACACCTTGCCTTCCGCACCGATGACGGCAGTAGGCTCGTTTTCCGCAGCTACATCAGCAGCAGCCTCAACAGGATGCGAATGTCGCTCGGTAGGACCCGCTGCCATCGTGTCAGTGCTGGGTGTAGCTGGTTCCGATGCAGCAAGGGCTCGGAGCGCCGGCTGGTAGTCAGTAGCTGAGGCGACGCTTGCTACAGCAACTAGCGCGGTGACGGCGAGAGCAGTGCACTTCATGGTCGATTTGGTCGGTTGGTCGAGTACTTGCTCGCTAGGTGTTGGTGTGGTAGTGCCAGTTGGTTTGTGAGTGCGATCGATGTACGAGCTAGCGAGTGGGCTGGTGTTGCGACGAGTGACTCGTCACGTAGCGTCATGGTGACTGCTTCAATTGATTGAGTTGATTGATTGCAAATCGAGTAGATGGTTGAAAAGTCGGCGCGTCTCGATCGCGTTTCCAGTCACGAGCGTGGAATAGAACTTCGAGCGAGGTTTGAATTCCACTGTAGTTTTGTCGACATGATGGACGGTTGATGGTCGTCGAAGAAGGTCGCGGAGGGTGGTAGTCCGGTTCCGTCGCTCATGAATCGGTGGTACCTGCTAGAAGACAACCATAAGTAGAATGGTGAAGGTCCATAAGTAGAACGGTGGAGGCGTGTGTATCTCTGGCTGGTGATCAATGTTGGTGACCGACGTCGATGACTGCGTTGTGTCCGTCGACATCAACGTCGACGTGGTGACCAAACCAGGTGGCTGCTGAGTTGTGTGTGGACGTCGTCTATGTTTGGTGGCTTGACAATGAATGCAAGGAGGGCCCTTGCGATGACAGTTTGTGCAAGTGGTACGAATACCAGTGCGTTTGTTTGAGATGGACATTGACACTTTTCGGCAATCGATGACATAGAAGGAGAAACTGGACGGAGCATGCTAACCGTGCTAAGAGAAAACGTGTCTGTCTGAACGAGTCGACATGTTCGTGTCGATGTGAACATGCAGATACAAAGACATTGGTCGTGACAAGATGATCTGATCTGAACGTGCTGCTGGAAGAACGTGCTGCTGGAAGAACGTGTTGACCTTCGCGAGGTGGCTGGCTGACAACTGGCTGCAAAGCCTCGACAGTATATATATTGGCGAGCTCCAACTGCCCGACAGCACCGAAAGTACAGGTGGTCGATTCTTCCGTCGACAGGTTGACATGCTGATCCAAGTGATGACGAAAGTAGCGACAAACAGCCTCACAAACAAGAGCGAGTCCGGCGGTGCACGCAGATTTTTCTTCTTGCTCGGCTTCCGTGTCGTCTCGTTCGTGAGCCCGTCTGTATGCGCTGCAGCATGTCAGTCGGCGCGATGTCCAGCATGTGTGAGGTCTACCATCCCCATCCGCCACCGTAGCCTCCCCATCCACCGTAGCCACCCCATCTCCCGAAGCCACCCCAGGGACGTCCCCATCCCAAGCCTCCCCACCACTCCTTGGACTTCTTGCCTTCCGCACCGATGACGGCAGTAGGCTCGTTTTCCGCAGCTACATCAGCAGCAGCCTCAACAGGATGCGAATGTCGCTCGGTAGGACCCGCTGCCATCGTGTCAGTGCTGGGTGTAGCTGGTTCCGATGCAGCAAGGGCTCGGAGCGCCGGCTGGTAGTCAGTAGCTGAGGCGACGCTTGCTACAGCAACTAGCGCGGTGACGGCGAGAGCAGTGCACTTCATGGTCGATTTGGTCGGTTGGTCGAGTACTTGCTCGCTAGGTGTTGGTGTGGTAGTGCCAGTTGGTTTGTGAGTGCGATCGATGTACGAGCTAGCGAGTGGGCTGGTGTTGCGACGAGTGACTCGTCACGTAGCGTCATGGTGACTGCTTCAATTGATTGAGTTGATTGATTGCAAATCGAGTAGATGGTTGAAAAGTCGGCGCGTCTCGATCGCGTTTCCAGTCACGAGCGTGGAATAGAACTTCGAGCGAGGTTTGAATTCCACTGTAGTTTTGTCGACATGATGGACGGTTGATGGTCGTCGAAGAAGGTCGCGGAGGGTGGTAGTCCGGTTCCGTCGCTCATGAATCGGTGGTACCTGCTAGAAGACAACCATAAGTAGAATGGTGAAGGTCCATAAGTAGAACGGTGGAGGCGTGTGTATCTCTGGCTGGTGATCAATGTTGGTGACCGACGTCGATGACTGCGTTGTGTCCGTCGACATCAACGTCGACGTGGTGACCAAACCAGGTGGCTGCTGAGTTGTGTGTGGACGTCGTCTATGTTTGGTGGCTTGACAATGAATGCAAGGAGGGCCCTTGCGATGACAGTTTGTGCAAGTGGTACGAATACCAGTGCGTTTGTTTGAGATGGACATTGACACTTTTCGGCAATCGATGACATAGAAGGAGAGACTGGACGGAGCATGCTGATCGCGCTAAGAGAAAACGTGTCCGTCTGAACGAGTCGACATGTTCGTGTCGATGTGAACATGCAGATACAAAGACATTGGTCGTGACAAGATGATCTGATCTGAACGTGCTGCTGGAAGAACGTGCTGCTGGAAGAAGGTGTTGACCTTTGCGAGGTGGCTGGCTGACAACTGGCTGCAAAGCCTCGACAGTATATATATTGGCGAGCTCCAACTGCCCGACAGCACCGAAAGTACAGGTGGTCGATTCTTCCGTCGACAGGTTGACATGCTGAGCCAAGTGATGACGAAAAGTAGCGACAAACAGCCTCACAAACAAGAGCGAGTCCGGCGGTGCACGCAGATTTTTTCTTCTTGCTCGGCTTCCGTGTCGTCTCGTTCGTGAGCCCGTCTGCATGCGCTGCAGCATGTCAGTCGGCGCGATGTCCAGCATGTGTGAGGTCTACCATCCCCATCCGCCACCGTAGCCTCCCCATCCACCGTAGCCACCCCATCCTCCGAAGCCACCCCAGGGACGTCCCCATCCCAAGCCTCCCCACCACTCCTTGGACACCTTGCCTTCCGCACCGATGACGGCAGTAGGCTCGTTTTCCGCAGCTACATCAGCAGCAGCCTCAACAGGATGCGAATGTCGCTCGGTAGGACCCGCTGCCATCGTGTCAGTGCTGGGTGTAGCTGGTTCCGATGCAGCAAGGGCTCGGAGCGCCGGCTGGTAGTCAGTAGCTGAGGCGACGCTTGCTACAGCAACTAGCGCGGTGACGGCGAGAGCAGTGCACTTCATGGTCGATTTGGTCGGTTGGTCGAGTACTTGCTCGCTAGGTGTTGGTGTGGTAGTGCCAGTTGGTTTGTGAGTGCGATCGATGTACGAGCTAGCGAGTGGGCTGGTGTTGCGACGAGTGACTCGTCACGTAGCGTCATGGTGACTGCTTCAATTGATTGAGTTGATTGATTGCAAATCGAGTAGATGGTTGAAAAGTCGGCGCGTCTCGATCGCGTTTCCAGTCACGAGCGTGGAATAGAACTTCGAGCGAGGTTTGAATTCCACTGTAGTTTTGTCGACATGATGGACGGTTGATGGTCGTCGAAGAAGGTCGCGGAGGGTGGTAGTTCGGTTCCGTCGCTCATGAATCGGTGGTACCTGCTAGAAGACAACCATAAGTAGAATGGTGAAGGTCCATAAGTAGAACGGTGGAGGCGTGTGTATCTCTGGCTGGTGATCAATGTTGGTGACCGACGTCGATGACTGCGTTGTGTCCGTCGACATCAACGTCGACGTGGTGACCAAACCAGGTGGCTGCTGAGTTGTGTGTGGACGTCGTCTATGTTTGGTGGCTTGACAATGAATGCAAGGAGGGCCCTTGCGATGACAGTTTGTGCAAGTGGTACGAATACCAGTGCGTTTGTTTGAGATGGACATTGACACTTTTCGGCAATCGATGACATAGAAGGAGAGACTGGACGGAGCATGCTAATCGCGCTAAGAGAAAACGTGTCCGTCTGAACGAGTCGACATGTTCGTGTCGATGTGAACATGCAGATACAAAGACATTGGTCGTGACAAGATGATCTGATCTGAACGTGCTGCTGGAAGAACGTGTTGACCTTCGCGAGGTGGCTGGCTGACAACTGGCTGCAAAGCCTCGACAGTATATATATTGGCGAGCTCCAACTGCCCGACAGCACCGAAAGTACAGGTGGTCGATCCTTCCGTCGACAGGTTGACATGCTGAGCCAAGTGATGACGAAAGTAGCGACAAACAGCCTCACAAACAAGAGCGAGTCCGGTGGTGCACGCAGATTTTTCTTCTTGCTCGGCTTCCGTGTCGTCTCGTTCGTGAGCCCGTCTGCATGCGCTGCAGCATGTCAGTCGGCGCGATGTCCAGCATGTGTGAGGTCTACCATCCCCATCCGCCACCGCAGCCTCCCCATCCACCGTAGCCACCCCATCCCCCGAAGCCACCCCAGGGACGTCCCCATCCCAAGCCTCCCCACCACTCCTTGGACACCTTGCCTTCCGCACCGATGACGGCAGTAGGCTCGTTTTCCGCAGCTACATCAGCAGCAGCCTCAACAGGATGCGAATGTCGCTCGGTAGGACCCGCTGCCATCGTGTCAGTGCTGAGTGTAGCTGGTTCCGATGCAGCAAGGGCTCGGAGCGCCGGCTGGTAGTCAGTAGCTGAGGCGACGCTTGCTACAGCAACTAGCGCGGTGACGGCGAGAGCAGTGCACTTCATGGTCGATTTGGTCGGTTGGTCGAGTACTTGCTCGCTAGGTGCTGGTGTGGTAGTGCCAGTTGGTTTGTGAGTGCGATCGATGTACGAGCTAGCGAGTGGGCTGGTGTTGCGACGAGTGACTCGTCACGTAGCGTCATGGTGACTGCTTCAATTGATTGAGTTGATTGATTGCAAATCGAGTAGATGGTTGAAAAGTCGGCGCGTCTCGATCGCGTTTCCAGTCACGAGCGTGGAATAGAACTTCGAGCGAGGTTTGAATTCCACTGTAGTTTTGTCGACATGATGGACGGTTGATGGTCGTCGAAGAAGGTCGCGGAGGGTGGTAGTTCGGTTCCGTCGCTCATGAATCGGTGGTACCTGCTAGAAGACAACCATAAGTAGAATGGTGAAGGTCCATAAGTAGAACGGTGGAGGCGTGTGTATCTCTGGCTGGTGATCAATGTTGGTGACCGACGTCGATGACTGCGTTGTGTCCGTCGACATCAACGTCGACGTGGTGACCAAACCAGGTGGCTGCTGAGTTGTGTGTGGACGTCGTCTATGTTTGGTGGCTTGACAATGAATGCAAGGAGGGCCCTTGCGATGACAGTTTGTGCAAGTGGTACGAATACCAGTGCGTTTGTTTGAGATGGACATTGACACTTTTCGGCAATCGATGACATAGAAGGAGAGACTGGACGGAGCATGCTAATCGCGCTAAGAGAAAACGTGTCCGTCTGAACGAGTCGACATGTTCGTGTCGATGTGAACATGCAGATACAAAGACATTGGTCGTGACAAGATGATCTGATCTGAACGTGCTGCTGGAAGAACGTGTTGACCTTCGCGAGGTGGCTGGCTGACAACTGGCTGCAAAGCCTCCACAGTATATATATTGGCGAGCTCCAACTGCCCGACAGCACCGAAAGTACAGATGGTCGATCCTTCCGTCGACAGGTTTACATGCTGATCCAAGTGATGACGAAAAGTAGCGACAAACAGCCTCACAAACAAGAGCGAGTCCGGCGGTGCACGCAGATTTTTCTTCTTGCTCGGCTTCCGTGTCGTCTCGTTCGTGAGCCCGTCTGCATGCGCTGCAGCATGTCAGTCGGCGCGATGTCCAGCATGTGTGAGGTCTACCATCCCCATCCGCCACCGTAGCCTCCCCATCCACCGTAGCCACCCCATCCTCCGAAGCCACCCCAGGGACGTCCCCATCCCAAGCCTCCCCCACCACTCCTTGGACTTCTTGCCTTCCGCACCGATGACGGCAGTAGGCTCGTTTTCTGCAGCTACATCAGCAGCAGCCTCAACAGGATGCGAATGTCGCTCGGTAGGACCCGCTGCCATCGTGTCAGTGCTGGGTGTAGCTGGTTCCGATGCAGCAAGGGCTCGGAGCGCCGGCTGGTAGTCAGTAGCTGAGGCGACGCTTGCTACAGCAACTAGCGCGGTGACGGCGAGAGCAGTGCACTTCATGGTCGATTTGGTCGGTTGGTCGAGTACTTGCTCGCTAGGTGTTGGTGTGGTAGTGCCAGAGAATTCACTCACGGATCTTCTTTATAGAGATGACTTCCAACTCGCCTACACGTACCTTTGCCTCTTCAAACTCGATCTGCTGCTTCATCTCAATCTTTACAGACTTAACTAGTTCTCCCGACAGATTCTGCCCAGCAAAGCAACCCACCGCAACGTCATGTTTATTGAATAATCTTTAGATGAGCCCGCCAGTTTCCGTCTTCTCTCCCGTCTGTGTACCTTTATGGGTGTAACCGCCAGGTCATGGACCTACATCGCGACCGCCCGTATCCCTGCTTCAGCCTGACCATCATCACGTCGCGTCTCTCACACACCAGCGACTGGCCCCACTTGTGCAGGTCTTTGAAGCACTTTGCCAAAGTTACACACGTCATTCGCGCAGCAAGATCCCCAAGACTCGCAGCATGCGCGGCCAGAAATGCCGCCTGATCTGCATGCACGCCCTTCGCCTTTACCGTAGCTCCTTGACCGTGCGTCTAGTGCGCTCCACGAGATCCGGCTGTAGCTGCAGCGTCCGGCCGCACTCTGCTGTGACAAACTTCAGGTCAAAAGATCCTCTACGCCAAGTGCACACCAGCTATATGCCAACTTCACATATAAACTACTGCGAACGTCTAGTTTGTGGTCAACGCTATTTAAGTTTGGACAAATAGACGCTGTACTCCACTCTCTCTCTCTCTCTCTCTCTCTCTCTTTGTCTCTGTTTACAAGACTTATGGTGTCGATGCGGACGTTGATCAAGGGCGGCGGGTGGAAAAAAAACGAGGATGAGACCCTCAAAAAGGCTGTGGAGAGGTACGGTACGAGCAAGTGGGCGCGCGTGGCATCTCTGCTCCCGCGCAAGTCGATCAAGCAGTGTATAGCGCGGTGGTACGAGTGGCTCCATCCGACCATCAACCTGGCTGAGTGGAGTCGCGAAGAGGAAGAAAAGCTTCTGCATCACGCCAAGCTCATGCCCTTGCAGTGGCAAGCGATTGCGGATATTGTGGGGCGCACAGCAGCGCAGTGTCTATACCACTATGAGCGACTACTGGACGCAGCGCAGAAGAAGAACAGCGTGGTCGTGAGCGATGATCCGAGACGGCTGCGTCCGGGTGAAATTGACCCCAGTCAAGAGGGAAGACTAGCGTGGTCGGACCCCGTGGACGTTGACGAAGACAAGAAGGAGGTGCTGTCGGACGCACAGGCTCGATTGGCGAGTACAAAGGGCAAAAAAGACAAGATGAAGAATCATGAGACGCAGCACGAGGAAGCGCGAGGACTGAAGGTCTTGCCAAAGAAACGAGATCTCGAGATGGCGGGCTTGTTGTCGTCAAGTTCAAGTGTGGACATGAAGAAACGGAAGATTGATCGTGCGACCAAGATCCCGTTTGAGAAGAAAGCGTCAGCGAGATTATGTGATGTGTTGGAGGTAAAACGATTTGCAAATAAAATGGATGAGAAGTGTGACGATGTCAAGCAGCAGAAAGTGGATGACGGAGAAGTACAATTTGAACAGCAGTACCGAAATCGTACCCAGACTAGCAGTACTTTTTTGTTTGGACAAGCGTACAAGAATCGCAATCCAGTTGCAATTACTGGAAAAAAGAACGGAAATTTTTTCCACGCAACCAAGTCGGCGGGTTCCACTTCCAACAGTGGAGCATCGAAGAAAGAGTCAGAAGCATGTCAAGGGTCAAAAAGTCCTGTTGATGACTTTAAGCTTCATCCGAGTAACGTCAGAAGCAATTTTACGGCACCTCCAACTTCATTTTCTCCTCGAGTTGCAAGATCAAGAATACATCGTCACAGTTTTGATCATGGGAACTGGCGGGGCGGATTCCAGTCGTCAGGTGCAAGAAGTCGGGCTTCATTTTTGGCGTTGAAGACCGAATGCCGTACGCATTACGAAGTGCTTGGTATTGACAAGACAGCGACGAGCGACCAAGTCAAGAGGTCGTACCAAAAATTGGCGCGTGTGTATCATCCAGGTAAGCATTTCAATTGACAAGAACCATGCTGTTTTTAATTAATGTGTATGTTCACTTTCTAATCGTTTGTACCTGCAGATAAGTCAAAGGTGATGTCGCATGCTGATTTGTTTAAGGACATGACAGCAGCGTACAGCGTGCTTTCCGACAAAAGTGCCCGGGATGCGTATGATATTGAGCTGATGAAGAAAAATTCTGGCAATTTCTACAAGAACTAGCGAGAGTGCAAGGACCGAGAAGTGTAAGTGTTCGGCGTGACCAGCGGCGGCAAATGGTGCGTAAGCTTCATGCGCTTTATTCAATCTTGTATCCATGGCAGATAGTGACGGCCCCAGGGCCCTCCTTGCATTCATTGTAAAGCCATCAAACACATAGACGACGTCCACACACAATGTGAGTGATCGATGTACGAGCTAAGCGAGTGGGCTGGTTTGGCTGGAAGTTGCGACGAGTGACTCGTCACGTAGCGGCATGGTGACTGCTTCAATTGATTGAGTTGATTATCGCAAATCGAGTAGATGGTTGAAAAGTCGGCGCGTCTCGATCGCGTTTCCAGTCACGAGCGTGGAATAGAACTTCGAGCGAAGTTTGAATTCCACTGTAGTTTTGTCGACATGATGGACGGTTGATGGTCGTCGAAGAAGGTCGCGGAGGGTGGTAGTTCGGTTCCGTCGCTCATGAATCGGTGGTACCTGCTAGAAGACAAATCCATAAGTAGAATGGTGAAGGTCCATAGAACGGTGGAGGCGTGTATCTCTGGCTGGGTGATCAATGTTGGTGACCGACGTCGATGACTGCGTTGTGTCTGTCGACAGCAACGTCGACGTGGTGACCAAACCAGGTGGCTGCTGAGTTGTGTGTGACGTCGTCTATGTTTGGTGGCTTGACAATGAATGCAAGGAGGGCCCTTTATGATGACAGTTTGTGCAAGTGGTACGAATACCAGTGCGTTTGTTTGAGATGGACATTGATACTTTTCGGCAATCGATGACATAGAAGGAGAAACTGGACGGAGCATGCTAATCGCGCTAAGAGAAACCGTGTCCGTCTGAACGAGTCGACATGTTCGTGTCGATGTGAACATGCAGATACAAAGACATTGGTCGTGGCAAGATGATCTGATCTGAACGTGCTGCTGGAAGAACGTGTTGACCTTCGCGAGGTGGCTGGCTGACAACTGGCTGCAAAGCCTCGACAGTATATATACTGGCGAGCTCCAACTGCCCGACAGCACCGAAAGTACAGGTGGTCGATCCTTCCGTCGACAGGTTGACATGCTGATCCAAGTGATGACGAAAGTAGCGACAAACAGTCTCACAAACAAGAGCGAGTCCGGCGGTGCACGCAGATTTTTCTTCTTGCTCGGCTTCCGTGTCGTCTCAGCCTGTGAGCCCGTCTGCATGCGCTGCACGTCAGTCGGCGCGATGTCCAGCATGTGTGAGGTCTACCATCCCCATCCGCCACCGTAGCCTCCCCCATCCACCGTAGCCACCCCGCATCCCCCGAAGCCACCCCCAGGGGACGTCCCCATCCCAAGCCTCCCACCACTCCTTGGACTTCTTGCCTTCCACACCTATGACGGCAGTAGGCTCTTTTTCCGCAGCCACATCAAGCAGCAGCCTCAACAGGATGCGAATGTCGCTCGGCAGGACCCGGCCGCCAACATCGTGTCAGTGCTGGTGTAGCTGGTTCCGATGCAGCAGAAGGGCTCGGAGCGCCGGCTGGTTTTCAGTAGCTGGAGGCGACGCTTGCTACAGCAACTAGCGCGGTGACGGCGAGAGCAGTGCACTTCATGGTCGATCTGGTCGGTTGGTCGAGTACTTGCTCGCTAGGTGCTGGTGTGGTAGTGCCAGTTGGTTTGTGAGTACGATCGATGTACGAGCTATGGGCGAGTGGCTGTGCGTTGCGACGAGTGACTCGTCACGTAGCGTCATGGTGACTGCTTCAATTGATTGAGTTGATTGATTGCAAATCGAGTAGATGGTTGAAAAGTCGGCGCGTCTCGATCGCGTTTCCAGTCACGAGCGTGGGAATAGAACTTCGAGCGAAGTTTGAATTCCACTCGTAGTTTTGTCGACATGATGGACGGTTGATGGTCGTCGAAGAAGGTCGCGGAGGGTGTTAGTCCGGTTCCGTCGCCTGCGAATCGGTGGTACTCGGGTTAGAAGACAACCATAAGTAGAATGGTGAAGGTCCATAAGTAGAACGGTGGAGGCGTGTGTATCTCTGGTTGGTGACCAATGTTGGTGACCGACGTCGAGATGACTGCGTTGTGTCCGTCGACATCAACGTCGACGTGGTGACCAAACCAGGTGGGCTGCTGAGTTGTGTGTGGACGTCGTCTATGTTTGGTGGCTTGACAATGAATGCAAGGAGGGCCCTTGCGATGACAGTTTGCGCAAGTGGTACGAATACCAGTGCGTTTGTTTGAGATGGACATTGATACTTTTCGGCAATCGATGACATAGAAGGAGAAACTGACGGAGCATGCTAATCGCGCTAAGAGAAACCGTGTCCGCCTGAACGAGTCGACATGTTCGTGTCGATGTGAACATGCAGATACAAAGTAAGACATTGTCGTGGCAAGATGATCTGATCTGAACGTGCTGCTGGAAGAACGTGTTGACCTCGCGAGGGTGGCTGGCTGGACAACTGGCTGCAAAGCCTCCACAGTATATATACTGGCGAGCTCCAACTGCCCGACAGCACCGAAAGTACAGGTGGTCGATCCTTCCGTCGACAGGTTGACATGTTGATCCGCGATGACGAAAGTAGCGACAAACAGTCCCACAAACAAGAGCGAGTCCGGCGGTGCACGCAGATTTTTCTTCTTGCTCGGCTTCCGTGTCGTCTCAGCCTGTGAGCCCGTCTGCATGCGCTGCAGCATGTCAGTCGGCGCGATGTCCAGCATGTGTGAGGTCTACCATCCCCATCCGGGCCACCGTAGCCTCCCCCATCCACCGTAGCCACCCCATCCCCGAAGCCACCCCAGGGACGCCCCATCCCAAGCCTCCCCACCACTCCTGGACTTCTTGCCTTCCACACCGATGACGGCAGCAGGCTCTTTTTTCCGCAGCTACATCAGCAGCAGCCTCAACAGGATGCGAATGTCGCTCGGTAGGACCCGCTGCCATCGTGTCAGTGCTGGGTGTAGCTGGTTCCGATGCAGCAAGGCTCGGAGCGCCGGCTGGTAGTCAGTAGCTGAGGCGACGCTTGCTACAGCAACTAGCGCGGTGACGGCGAGAGCAGTGCACTTCACGGTCGATTTGGTCGGTTGGTCGAGTACTTGCCGCTAGGTGTTGGTGTGGTAGTGCCAGTTGGTTTGTGAGTGCGATCGACGTGCCGAGCTTGTAGCGCGAGTGGGCTGGTGTTGCGACGAGTGACTCGTCACGTAGCGTCATGGTGACTGCTTCAATTGATTGAGTTGATTGATTGCAAATCGAGTAGATGGCTGGAAAAGTCGGTGCGTCTCGATCGCGTTTCCAGTCACGAGCGTGGAATAGAACTTCGAGCGAGGTTTGAATTCCACTGTAGTTTTGTCGACATGATGGACGGTTGATGGTCGTCGAAGAAGGTCGCGGAGGGTGGTAGTTCGGTTCCGTCGCTCGCGAATCGGGTGGTACCTGCTGAAGACAACCATGGGCAGAATGGTGAAGGTCCAAGGGGCAGAACGGTGGAGGGGTGTGTGAATTTTCTGGCTGGCATCGTTGGTGACGACGTCGATGATCGTGCCGGTGTCCGTCGACAAACGTCGACGTGGTACCAAATTAGTGGCTGCTGAGCGGTGTGATCAAATGTCTATAGCCAGGAAGCCACGAATGTAAGTGAGGCTCCCGCGATGACAGAGCAAAGTAGCGGTACGATGCCAGTGCTTGTTTGAGATGGACATTGACACTTTTCGGCAGGTCGATGACATAGAAGGAGAGATTGACGAGCATGTTGATCGCGCTAAGAGAAACGTGTCCGTCTGAACGAGTCGACATGTTCGTGTCGTTGTGAACATGCAGATACAAAGACATTGGTCGTGACAAGATGATCTGATCTGAACGTGCTGTTGAAAAATGCGCTGCTGGAAGAAGGCGTTGACCTTTGTTAGGTGGCTGGCTGACAACTGCCGCAAGCCTCGATAGTATAGAGTATATTGGCGTTGAGTTTCCACAGCTGACAGCACCGAAAGTAGGTGGTCGATTCTTCGTCGACAGGCCGACATGAGCCGCGATGACGAAAGTAGCGACAAACAGCTCACAAACAAGAAGGAGTCCGCAGTGCACGCAGATTTTTTCTTCTGCTGGCTTCCGTGTTGTCTCGCTCGTGAGCTCAGCCCGTGCTGCAGCATGTCAGTCGAGTCCAGCATGCGTGAGTCTGGTCATCTCCATCCGCCATCGTGGCCTCCCTCATCGGGTCAGCCACCATCTCTCTCGAGCCGCCCCAGGGACGCGTCCTCATCCCAGCCTCCCCACCACCTCTGGGATTCACCCAGTTTCCGGCACACGACGGCAGTAGGCTGTTTCTGCAGCTGGTCAGTAGCAGTCTCACACAGGATGAATGTCGCTCAGCAGACCCGCCATCGTATCAGTGCTGGGTGGCTGGCTGGGAGCCGGCTGGTAGCCGTGGCTGAGGCGACGCTTGTTGCCAGTAGCCAGGTGCAGACGGCGAGAAGAGTGCATCTTCATGGTCGATTTAATGGCCGGGCGATACTTCGCTCGCCAGTGCCGGTGTGGTAGTGCCAGCCGGTTTCCAGAGTGCGACGACGTACGAGCTATGAGCGGGCTGGTGTTGTGACGAGTGACTCGTCACGGCGTCATGGTGACTGCTTCTCACACGATTGAGCTGATTACTGCAAATGAGGCAGATGGCTGAAAATGGCGCGTCGATCGCGCTTCCAGTCACGAGCGCGGAATACTTCTCGAGTTTATGCTTCTGACCACTGTTTTGTCGACATGATGGACGGTTGATGCGTCGCCGAAAGAAGGTCGCAGGAGGCGGTATGGTTCGTCGCTCATGAATCGGTGGCACTGCTAGAAATATCAACCATAGCAGAATGGCGAAGCTGTCCATAGCAGAACGGCGAGGTATCTCTGGCTGCGATCACGTTATATCGACGTCGATGACCGCGTTGCGTCCGTCGACATCAACGCCGACGCGGCGACCGTGTTCAGGCGGCCGCCGAGTTCTGCGTGACGTCTGGGCGTTTGGCGGCTGACAATGAATGCAGGAGGGGCTCCCTGCGATGACAGTGTTTCAAAGTAGCGGTACGAATACGCGTGTTTGTTTGAGATGGACATACATTTTCGGCAATCGATGACATAGAAGGAGAAATTGACGGTTATTGGGTCGCGCCAAGAGAAACCGCGTCTGTCCGGAATGAGTCGATTACGCCTTCGTGTCGATGTGTGAACATGCAGATAAAGACATTGTCGCATTACATACGATTCGATCTGAACGTGCTGCTGGAAGAACGTGCCATCTTCGCGAGCTGGCTGACACCGGCCGCAAGCTCTCGACAGCATATATATTGGCGAGCTCCACCGCGCCGAGAGTTATATCGAAAGTACAGGCCGATCCTTCGTCGACAGGCTGACATGCTGATCCAGCGATGACGAAAGTGGCGATTAACAGCTCACAAACAAGAGCGAGTTCTGGCGGTGCACGCAGATTTTTTCGCCGGCTTCGTGTTGTCTCGTTCAGAGCCTGTCTGATGCACTCGCATGTCAGACGGCGGCGCGATGTCCAGCATGTGTGAGGTCTACCATCCTCATCGTTATTTGCAGCCAATCTCTTATCTTCCGGAAAGCCACTTGTGTCCTCAGTCTCAAGCTTCACTCACCCCCTGGGACTTCTTGCCTTCCGTTACCGATGACGGCAGTAGGCTGTTTTCCGCAGTTAGCATCAGCAGCAGTCTCAACAGAGGCCAGAATGTCGCTCGGTAGGGACCCGCTGCCATCGTGTCAGTGCTGAGTGTGGTTGTCTGATGGGCAGCGGTGAGCGCCGGCTGGTAGTCAGTAGCTGAGGCGACGCTTCTTGCTACAGCAACTAGCGCGGTGACGGCGAGAGCAGTGCACTTCATGGTCGATTTGGTCGGCTGGTCGAGTATCACCGCTAGGCGCTGGTGGGGTGCGCCAGCTGGCTTCAGAGCGCGGATCGATGTACGAGCCAGCGAGTGGGTTGAAAGCTTGCTGGTGTTGCGTGACGAGTGACTCGTCACGGCATGGTGACGCCACCTGATTGAAGCCGATTGCAAACGATGGCGAGGGGGAAATGGCGCAGCCCGATCGCGTTTCCAGTCACGAGCGTGGAACTTCGAGCGAAGTTTGAATTTCCACCGTAGTTTGTCGACATGATGGACGGTTGATGGTCGTCGAAGAAGGTCGCGGAGGCGGCAGCAACCTCGTCGCTCATGACCGGCGGCAGCCTGCTAGAAGACAACCATAAGCAGAATGGTGAAAAGTCCGATAGCAAATTACGGAGGCGCGTGTATCTTTCTGGCCGGTGATCAATGTTAGTGACCGACGTCGACGACTGCAAGAAAAGTCCGTCGACAGCAACGTCGACGCAGACCAAACCAGGTGGCCGCTGAGTTGCGTGTGATCGTCGTCTATGCCTGATGGCTTGACACGAATAGCGAGGGCCTCAGATGACAGTTTCAGGTAGCGGTACGAATGACCAGTGCGTTTGTTGGAGATGGACACTGACACTTTTCGCAATCGACGACACAGAAGAGAGACTGACGGAGCATACAACCGGCGCTAAGAGAAAACGTGTCCGTTCGAACGAGTCGGGCATACCCGGTCGATGTAAACATGCGCATACAAAGACATTGGTCGTGACAAGATGATTCGATCTGAACGCTGCTGGAAGAATGCGCTGCTGGAAAGCCAACGCTGACCTTCGCGAAGGCGGCTGGCTGAGCAACTGCTGCGCTCGACAGTATATTGGCGAGCTTCCACCGCGCCTTACAGCAATTTGAAGTATAGGCAGGTCGATTTTCCGTCGACAGGCCGACATGCTGAGCCAAGCGGTGACGAAAAATGCAGCGACAACAGCCTCACAAACAAAGAAGCGAAAGCCCGCGGTGCACGCACATTTTTCTGTTGACAGGTCGCACTCAGCCAGAGCCCAGTCTGTATGCGCTGCAGCATAGTCGGCGCGATGTCCAGCATGTGTGAGGTCTACCATCCCCACCCGCCACCGTAGCCTCCCCATCCACTGTAGCCACCCCATCCTCCAGCCAATTCCCAGGGACGTCCCCATCCCAAGCCTCCCCACCACCTCTTGGACTTTTGCCTTCCACACCGATGACGGCAGTAGGCTCGTTTTCCGCAGCTACATCAGCAGCAGCCTCAACAGGATGCGAATGTCGCTCGGAAACCCGCTGCCATCGTGTCAGTGCTGGGTGTAGCTGGTTCCGATGCAGCAAGGGCTCGGAGCGCGGCTGGTAGTCAGTAGCTGAGGCGACGCTTGCTACAGCAACTAGCGCGGTGACGGCGAGAGCAGTGCACTTCATGGTCGATTTGGTCGGCTGGTCGAGCATTTGCCGCTAGGTGTTGGTGTGGTAGTGCCAGAGAATTCACTCACGGATCTTCTTTATAGAGATGACTTCCAACTCGCCTACACGTACCTTTGCCTCTTCAAACTCGATCTGCTGCTTCATCTCAATCTTTACAGACTTAACTAGTTCTCCCGATGATTCTGCCCAGCAAAGCAACCCACCGCAACGTCATGTTTATTGAATACCCTTTTAGATGAGCCTGCCAGTTTCCGTCTTCTCTCCCGTCTGTGTACTCCCTTATGGGTGTAACTGCCAGGTCATGGACCTACATCGCGACCGCCCGCATCCCTGCTTCAGCCTGACCATCATCAATACGTCGCGCCCTCACACACCAGCGACTGGCCCCACTTGTGCAGGTCTTTGAAACACTTTGCCAAAGGTACACACGTCATTCGCGCAGCAAGATCCCCAAGACTCGCAGCATGTGCGTGGCCAGAAATGCCGCCTGATCTGCATGCACGCCCTCGCCTTACCGTAGCTCCTTGACCGTGCGTCTAGTGCGCCTCCACGAGCCCGGCTGTAGCGCAGCGTCCGGCCGCACTCTGCTGTGACAAACTTCAGGTCAAAAGATCCTCTACGCCAAGTGCACACCAGCTTATATGCCAACTTCACATATAAACTACTGCGAACGTCTAGTTTGTGGTCAACGCTATTTAAGTTTGGACAAATAGACGCTGTACTCCACTCTCTCTCTCTATCTCTCTCTCTCTTTGTCTCTGTTTACAAGACTTATGGTGTCGATGCGGACGTTGATCAAGGGCGGCAGTGGAAAAACGAGGATGAGACCTCAAAAAAGGCTGTGGAGAGGTACGGTACGAGCAAGTGGGCGCGCGTGGCAATTCCCTGCTCCTGGGCAAGTCGATCAAGCAGTGTATAGCGCGGTGGTACGAGTGGCTCCATCCGACCATCAACCTGGCTGAGTGGAGTCGCGAAGAGGAAGAAAAGCTTCTGCATCACGCCAAGCTTCATGCCCTTGCAGTGGCAAGCGATTGCGGATATTGTGGGGCGGGCACAGCAGCGCAGTGTCTATACCACTATGAGCGACTACTGGACGCAGCGCAGAAGAAGAACAGCGTATCGTGAGCGATGATCCGGAGACGGCTGCGTCCGGGTGAAATTGACCCCAGTCAAGAGGGAAGACTAGCGTGGTCGGACCCCGTGACGTTGACGAAGACAAGAAGGAGGTGCTGTCGGACGCAGCGGGTGGTCGATTGGCGAGCACAAAATGGCAAAAAGACAAGATGAAGAATCATGAGACGCGCACGAGGAAGCGCGAGGACTGAAGGTCTTGCCAAAGAAACGAGATCCCGAGATGGCGGGCTTGTTGTCGTCAAGTTCAAGTGTGGACATGAAGAAACGGAAGATTGATCGTGCGACCAAGATCCAGTTTGAGAAGAAAGCGTCAGCTGGATTATGTGATGTGTTGGAGGTAAAACGATTTGCAATAAAATGGATGAGAAGTGTGACGATGTCAAGCAGCAGAAAGTGGGGTGACGGAGAAGTACAATTTGAACAGTATACCGAAATCGTACCCAGACTAGCAGTACTTTTTTTGTTTGGACAAGCGTACAAGAATCGCAATCCAGTTGCAATTACTGAAAAAAAGAATTGAAATTTTTTCCACGCAACCAAGTCGGCGTGTTTCACTTCCAACAGTGGAGCATCGAATAAGAGTCAGAAGCATGTCAAGGGTCAAAAAGTCCTGTTGATGACTTTAAGCTTCATCCGAGTAATGTCAGAAGCAATTTTACGGCACCTCCAACTTCATTTTCTCCGAGTTGCAAGATCAAGAATACATCGTCACAGCTTTGATCAGTGGGAACTGGCGGCGCGGATTCCAGTCGTCAGGTGCAAGAAGTCGGGCTCCTTTCTTGGCGTTGAAGACCGAATGCCGTACAAGCATTACGAGGAGGCAAGCTAAGGTATTGACAAGACAGCACGAGCTAATTTAAGTCAAGAGGTCGTACCCAAAATTAGCGCGTGTGTATCATCCAGGTAAGCATTTCAATTGACAAGAACCATGTTGTTTTTAATAATGCGTATGTTCCACTTCCTAATCGTTTGTACCTGCAGATAAGTCAAAGGTGATGTCGCATGCCGATTTCCATTTAAGGACATGACAGCAGCGTAACAGCGTGCTTTCCGACAAAAGTGCCCGGATGCGTATGATGTTGAGCTGATGAAGAAAAATTTCCCTGGCAATTTCTGGAACAAGAACTAGCGAGTGCAAGGACCGAGAAGTGTAAGTGTTCGGCGTGACCAGCGGCGGCAAATGGTGCGTAAGCTTCATGCGCTTTATTCAATCTTGTATCCATGGCAGATAGTGACGGCCCCAGGGCCTCCTGTATCATTGTAAAGCCATCAAACATAGACGACGTCCACACAACTCAGCACACCTGGTTTGGTCACACGTCGACGTTGATGTCGACGGACACAACGCAGTCATCGACGTCGGTCACCAACATTGATCACCAGCCAGAGATACACGCCTCCACCTGTTCCACGGCGGACCTTCACCATTCTACTTATGGTTGTCTTCAGCAGGTACTTCACTGATTCATGAGCGACGGAACCGATCACCACCCTCCGCGACCTTCTTCGAATGACCATCAACCGTCCATCAAGTGTCGACAAACCACAGTGGGGAATCTCAACCTCGCTCGAAGTTCTAAATTGCCTTTCACCGCTCGTGGCTGGAAACACGATCGAAACATGCCGACCTTCCAACCATCAGCTTTGATCAACTCAATCAACTGAAGCAGTCACCATGACAGTTCGTGACCGTTTACCCGTCACAACACCAGCCCACTCGCGGGCTCGTCTACCGATCCCACTCACTCATCACTATCCAATGACACTACCAGTGCCCACCCAGCGAGGAAGTTATCCGACTCTCCGAACAGACTGACTGACGACTGACCAAGCGACAGACGAACTCGACCATGAAGATCACCGCTCTCGCCGTCACTGCTCTATCCACCGCAGCAAGCGTCGCATCCGCTACGACTACCAGCCGGCGCTCCGAGCACTTGCCGCATTGGAGCCAGCTACACCCATTGCCGACACACTTGTTTCCAGCCCGACCAAGCGACAATCCTCTACTCCTGTTGGAGGCTGCTGCTGCAGATGCTAAAGGAGCATAATGTCGACGATGACAGCAAGGAAAGGCCAAGGGGTGGTGGGGAGGTCTGGGATGGGGACGTCGCTGGGGAGGCTATGGATGGGGACGTCCCTGGGGTGGATACGGCGGTGGCTGGGGTGGATTCGGTGGCGGCTGGGGATGGTAGACGTCACACATCCAGCGACACCATCGACCCGCTTGACATCCTGCTGCGCTCTCACACGGGCGGAACAGAACAAGGCGACTGCAATGTAGCCAATCAAATGGAAATCGGCATGCTCATTCAGCCTCCCTTTGTTCTGTGACGCTCTGAGTTCGTCTAATGTTCTTCTGGTCACCACATTGGTTCAACACGTCACCTGTCAATGGAAGCACGCTCGACTACCTATTGTGTTGGTGCAACGGCTCGGTGCAAGCCTGGCGCTGCATACTTCCGAGTGTTTGCAGCCCGTCGTAGTCAGCCTCTCCCTCGTTACGATAAGACAAACACGTTCTGATCAACTCGCCTCGATCAATTTGCCTCAATCAAATCTTCTGATTCACACGTTCCGACCCGCTTGGTCGTATTGACACGTTCGACTCGTTACACGGATATTGACTTGCTCCTAGCTGATATTGACTTGCTCCCTTCAGTGTCCATTCCTGCTCATGATTGCCCATACTTTCTCGTAGCTGTCAAACCAAAGTGCTATAAAAATTGCCGTACCCTTTGCAATACTCTCAAAGCAAGGCGCTCTTGCATTTCTGTCATTTCCACCAAACATGCATTGAGCGTATCCGATAGACGTCAACACGTCATCTGATATCGGTCACAAAGGTTGAAGCTGGTGTTGAACACTCGACAAGGTTGAACACTACGACAAGGTCATCAGCTCTGACCTTTGCGTCGATACGGATATAGACAGAGTACAACACGACTCCACGCAAACCAGAAACAAACACTGACGTAGACCTCCATCTTACTGTTCGTGGCCACCTCGTAGCATGCACCACGAATCGATGAGTATCAGAACCAGTTCCAGGAATCAGCTACCACATTCCCAAAGAAACGGACAAACACAAACGTCGACGCGAAATTGCCTTTCACGCTCGTGGCTGGAAACACGATCGAAACACGCGGGCCTTCCAACCATCAGCTTTGCAATCAATCAACTCAATCAACTGAAGCAGTCACCATGACAGTTCGTGACCGATTTACCCGTCGCAACACCAGCCCACTCGCGAGCTCGTCTACCGATCCCACTCACTCACTCCTATCCAATTGACACTGCCAGTGCCCCACCCAGCGAGGAAGTTATCGACTCGACCACCGACCGACTGACGACTGACCAGAAGCGACAGACCTCGACCATGAGTCAGCTCTCGCCATCACTGCTCTATCCACCGTAGCAAGCGTCGCATCCGCTGACGACTACCAGCCGGCGCTCCGAGCACTTGCCGCACAGGAGCCAGCTACATCCATGCCTGACACGACTTGCTTCGGGCCCCGACCAAGCGACAATCCTCTACTCCTGTCAGGCTGCTGCTGGAGCTGCGGGAAAAGAGCATAATGTCGACGATGACAGCAAGAAGGCCAAGGAGTGGTGGGACGACCGGGATGGGGACATCGCTGGGGAGGCTATGGATGGGGACGTCCCTGGGGTGGATACGGCGGTGGCTGGGGTGGATTCGGTGGCGGCTGGGGATGGTAGACGTCACACATCAGCGACACCATCGCCCCGCTGACATGCCTGCCACACTCATCACACGGACGGAACAGAACGAGACGACTACAATGAAGCCAATCAAGATGGAAAATCGGCGTGCTCATTCAGCCTCGCTTTGTTCTATAACGCTCTGGTTCGTCTAATGTTGTTCTGGTCGCCACATTGGTTGCCAGCACGTCACCTGTCAATGAAACACCTCGACCACCTATAGTGTTGGGTGCAGCGGCCCGGTGGAAGCTTGGCGCTGCATACTTCCGAGATGTTGCAGCCCGTCGTGGTCAGCCTCTCCCCTCATTACGATAAGACAAACACGTTCTGATCAACTCGCCTCGATCAATTTGCCTCGATCAAATCTTCTGATTCACAGGTTCCGACCCGCATGTTCGTATGACCGTTCGCTCTTACTGATATTGACTTGCTCCTAGCTGATATTGACTTGCTCCCTTCGGTCTCTTCATTCCTGCTCAGTCGATTGCCGATACGTTCTCGTCCATCTGAAACAAATGCACTGATATTGCGCACCCTTTGCAATATCCCAAAGCAAGGGCGCTTGCATTCCACTTCATTTCCACCAAACATGCATTGACGTACGTCCATACACATCAACACGTCATCGGGTTTGGTCACAACGTCGAAGCTGGTGTTGAGGACACTACGACAAGGTTGAACACTACGACAAGGTCATCAACTCTGGCCATGCGTCAGAGATACAGATGTAGCCACAGTACAACCACGACTCCCACGGCACCAAACCAGGAAACAAACACTTGACGCCTACCGGTCCATCGTACATGATCGTAGCCACCTCGTAGCATGCACCACGAATCGATAATTATCAGAACCAGCCAGGAATCCTTCCACATGTCCACAAAACTACAGGGAACTTCAAACGTCGCTCGAAGTTGCCTTTCACGCTCGTGGCTGGAAACACGATCGAAACACGCGGAGCGCTTCAACCATCTACTATTTGCATCAATCAACTCAATCAACTGAAGCAGTCACCATGACGGTTCGTGACCGGTTACCCGTCACAACACCAGCCCACTCGCGAGCTCGTCTACCGATCCACTCACATACTCACTATCCAATCGACACTGCCAGTGCCCCACCCAGCGAGGAAGTTATCGACTCGACCGACCGACCGACTGACGACTGACCAAGCGACAGACGAACTCGACCATGAAGATCACCGCTCTGCCACACTGCTCTATCCACCATAGCAAGCGTCGCATCCGCTACGACTACCAGCCGGCGCTCCGAGCACTTGCCGCACGGAGCCAACCGCATCCAGTACTGATACACTTGCTTCCGACCTTACCAAGCAACAATCCCTATCCTGTGGAGGCTGCTGCTGCAGCTGCCAAGAGAGCATAATGTCGACGATGACAGCAAGAAGGCCAAGGGGTGGTGAGGACGACCGGGATGGGGACATCGATGGGGGGCTATGGATGGGGACGTCCCTGGGGTGGATACGGCGGTGGCTGGGGGTGGATACGGTGGCGGCTGGGGATGGTAGACGTCACACATCAACGACACCATTGACACGACTGACAGCCTGCCGCACTTCACACGGACTCACGAACAAGGCGACTGCAATGTAGCCAATCAAATGGAAATTGGCATGCTCATTCAGCCTCGCTTTGTTCTATAACGCTCTGAGTTCGTCTAATGTTGTTCTGGTCGCCACATTGGTTCAACACATCGCGTCAATGAAACACACGCTCGACTACCTATTGTGTTGGAGTGCAACGGCCCGGTCCAAGCTTGGCGCTGCATACTTCCGAGATGTTGCAGCACGTCGTAGTCAGCCTCCCCCTCATTACGATAAGACAAACACGTTCTGATCAACTCGCCTCGATCAATTTGCCTCGATCAAATCTTCTGATTCACACGTTCCGACCCGCTTGTTCGTATTGACACGTTCGCTCTTACTGATATTGACTTGCTCCTACTGATATTGACTTGCTCCATTCGATCGCTCCATTCCTGCTCAGTGATTGCCATACTTTCTCGTAGCTGTAAACCAACGCGCTAGTAAATTGCTGTACCCTTTGCAATATTCTCAAACGGCCTTCCATTCCACTTCATTTCCACCAAACATGCATTGAGAGTATCGATAGACGCTCAACACGTCATCGATATCGGTCACAAGGTTGAAGCTGGTGTTGAACACTACGACAAGGTTGAACACTACGACAAGGTCATCAGCTCTGGCCTTTGCGTCGATACGGATGTAGACACAGCACAACACGACTCCCGACGCAAACCAAGAAACAAACACTGACGCCGACCTCCATCGTACTGTTCGTGGCCACCTCGTAGCATGCACCACGAATCGATGAGTCTCGGAACCAGCCAGGAATCAGCTACCACATTCCCAAAGAAACGGACAAACAAAAACGTGACGCGAAATTGCCTTTCACGCTCGTGACTGGAAACGCGATCGAGACGCGCCGACTTTTCAACCATCTACTTGATTTGCAATCAATCAACTCAATCAATTGAAGCAGTCGCCATGACGCTACGTGACGAGTCACTCGTCGCAACACCAGCCCACTCGCTAGCTCGTACATCGATCACACTCACAAACCAACTGGCACTACCACACCAACACCTAGCGAGCAAGTACTCGACCAACCGACCAAATCGACCATGAAGTGCACTGCTCTCGCCGTCACCGCGCTAGTTGCTGTAGCAAGCGTCGCCTCAGCTACTGACTACCAGCCGGCGCTCCGGGCCCTTGCTGCATCGGAACCAGCTACACCCAGCACTGACACGATGGCAGCGGGTCCTACCGAGCGACATTCGCATCCTGTTGAGGCTGCTGCTGATGTAGCTGCAGAAAACGAGCCTACTGCCGTCATTGGTGCGGAAGGCAAGAAGTCCAAGGAGTGGTGGGGAGGCTTGGAATGGGGACGTCCCTGGGGTGGCTTCGGGAGATGGGGTGGCTACGGTGGATGGGGAGGCTACGGTGGCGGATGGGGATGGTAGACCTCACACATGCTGGACATCGCGCCGACTGACATGCTGCAGCGCATGCAGACGGGTTCACGAACGAGACGACACGGAAGCCGAGCAAGAAGAAAAATCTGCGTGCACCGCCGGACTCGCTCTTGTTTGTGAGGCTGTTTGTCGCTACTTTTCGTCACCACTTGGATCAGCATGTCAACCTGTCGACGGAAGGATCGACCATCTGTACTGTCGGTGCTGTCGGGCAGTTGGAGCTCGCCAACATATATACTGTCGAGGCTTTGCAGCCAGTTGTCAGCCAGCCACCTCGCGAAGGTCAACACGTTCTTCCAGCAGCACGTTCTTCCAGCAGCACGTTCTTCCAGCAGCACGTTCACATCAGATCATCTTGTCACGACCAATGTCTTTTTGTATCTGCATGTTCACATCGACACGAACATGTCGACTCGTTCAGACGGACACGTTTTCTCTTAGCGCGGTTAGCATGCTCCGTCCAGTCTCTCCTTCTATGTCATCGATTGCCGAAAAGTGTCAATGTCCATCTCAAACAAACGCACTGGTATTCGTACCACTTGCACATACTGTCATCGCAAGGGCCCTCCTTGCATTCATTGTCAAGCCACCAAACATAGACGACGTCCACACACAACTCAGCAGCCACCTGGTTTGGTCACCACGTCGATGTTGATGTCGACGGACACAACGCAGTCATCGACGTCGGTCACCAACATTGATCACCAGCCAGAGATACGCATACGTTAATGGGGTTACACGTTGTTATCGAACCGGTTTTATTGTGTGTCCACACTAAGTAAAGATCGGTGGGTCTGAGTGATGCAGTCTTGGTACCACGTACTTACGATACTACCGTGCCTTATCGGGTAGGGATAAGGGATAATTGAAGTCCTATGACAGAAGTCTTATAACTTCTATCCTAGGATCATAATGTAAAAGTCCTATGACTTCTGTCATAGGATCGCAATGTAGATGTCATTTAGACAAGGCTTTGGAGCTTTATTTCCATAGTTCAAGAATAATTAAAGTTCAGTTCCCCTTTTGAATCGTAGGATACAAGTGGCGAGTCAAGGCGTAGTGTGCTGTAAGTGTGTTAACCTTGTAACGGCGCTTACTCTTGTTTAACTAGTAGTCTCTAGTTAGTGTGTGATTCTGTGAATCGTAGTCCCTTTGGAACTGGGATTCTTAAGCTTGTACGGTTGCACGACTGTACGTTGTTGTTAGTTTGTTATAGCTAGGAGACTATTTGAGTCCAAGACTTCCTCTGTTAAGGAGCGCTAAGTATCTCCGCTACACTTGGTAGCACTTGTAGTCAATCTACACCTGAGTCTTCACAGACTGAAATCTCTGCGAGGATGTAAACGTCCAGGAACCTCTCTGAGGCCCAGCAGATCACGCTTGAGAAGCTCAAGGCGTTGATCGATCACGAACAAGTGGCTATTATAGTGTCGCAAGGTCTGGACGCACTTCGTGCACGTCTCGAGGCCTTCTCGAACTTTGATTCCATGTTGATCGGACAGGTGCATGACCACGTGGCATCTGCCATGCCCACTCGGTATGTCACAACGGACACTGAGTCAAGAACTCGTCTTCTAGTCTTAAGTGTTAAGACTTTTGAGGGTGGAAATCTTTTTTTGTGGGTTCGAGAGATGGAGGTTACCATCAGCTCGGCCTTGCTGCGGTCAGAGCAGCAAAAGGTGGGCCTGGCCTTATCGAAGTTAGGTGGGCGATCCAGGGAGTGGGCCGTCACTTCTGGTACCTCGACAGGCGAGGCTTTTCCCATCCGGAACAAGCTGAAACAGCAGCTATCTTGAGTGTTTGCACCGCCTAATCAGGCATATCGCGTGCAATCACGAGTCCTGTCAATCCGCCAGGAAAAAAGGACATTGTTGATTATGTCCAGGAGTTTCGAATTCTCATTGCTGCTATGCAGCTTGACCCTTTACCTGAGAAGGTTTTGGTAGCCATTTTCATGGAGGGTCTTCGCACTGGCGTTGCCAGAAAGGAAGCGTTTCGTGCACAACCATTGACATT